TGGTTGGAAACAGTTGACAAAAAAATAAAGCAAAATCAAATTACAAACAAACAACAAAACAAAACTTGACTGAAAAAAAAAAAGACTTATTATATACTTGTAGTGTAGTTTAATGAGTGAGTTTGGGACCTAATCTTATTATCGGAAAAAAATAGGCAGAAAAACTTAACATAAAGAGTCAGTACAGCAAATTACATTTTATACGAGATGTCTTTTCACACTCAACAAACCTTAGCTCCTTTATGTGGGCTGGAAGTTAAATTTGGACTCTTTGCCCCAGAATTTAACCCAATATTTATTCTAGCATTAAAGCATAAAAGCGCCACAAAAACAAGAAAGCTCCAGAAATCACATTGTATGATAAATGTACACCTAATTTTTTCAGTTATTTATTGTAATTCAAGTCATGCAAGTCCAATGAAGAAGCTTGAAATGGTACAAAGGTAAGAACTGAACAGCCAGAGGTTAAAAAAATAACATAATAAATAAAATAATAAATAACAAAACTCAAGTCCAAGCTCTGCCAAAGCTACCTCAGGAAAAAAGAACAAGATGGTAAACTTGAAAACATGGAGAGTCCAGCACAGTGTCCAGACTTAATCCCCATGGAGCTGGTTTGGGATGAACTGGACAGAAGAGTGAAAGCCAAGAAACCTACAAGTGCCACACATTTATGGGAACTTCTGCAACAGACTTGGGAAGAACTTTCTGTAGAATATTTGATTTCTATTGTAAAAATAACGAGCTACGAGTGTGTTCAGCTGTTATATCTGCCAAAGGTGGACACTTTCATGAATCAAAAGATTAGGATATGTTTTAGTCAACAGTAAAGCGTAAAAAACTGGAAAAAGTGTGGTGTTCTAAAACTTTTAACCGGTAGTGTACGTTGTTTTATACCAGATGCCTTTCCACACTCAACTATAGCTCCCATTCAGATCCTTTTACAGTTTACATCCTGCAGATAAGATATTTTTTGTTGTCCCAAGAGTTAAAAAAACAAATAAGAAAACACACCCAAGCAGCGTTACCAACTTTTCATTAACTTCTGTCATTTAAAAATGCTCTGGTTCAATATTTACATAACGGTGTAATTGTTTTGGATCATCTTGTTGAATTTTGTGACTATATTTGAACTCTGTCTTAGTTTTTGTTCAAATTTTATTTATTCTGTGTCTGCAGTCATGTGTGAGTGAGTGAGTGTGTGTGTGTGGTTGTGCTGATTTTGTTGTTTTGTTTTTTCTATGTTTATTTGAATTTATGTAGCTTCCTATGTAGCCTGCCCTGCTGTATCTGTCTTGTTGTTGTGACTATAAAGACCCCCTTAAAAAAACGAGATGACAAGACCTCTCAAGGAACTTATCCTCCAAACAAATTATTTCAGATCCTTTATACTGGGAGTTAACTTTGGACAGGGAACTGTACATGGGAACTGAACACCCAACTTATCTCTGCATCAGAACAGGAAAGCTTATCAAATTGCATTATCTTGTATGTTAAATGCATGTTTTTTGTTTTTGTTATTAAGATCAGATGCCTTTCCACACTCCACTGTCTCTATAGCTCCTTATATATATATATATATATATATATATATATATATATATATATATATATATATATATATATATATATATATATATATATATATATATATATATATATATCCCCTTATCTGGACTGGACCCAGCGCTTATTCTCATCAAAGCTCTTCAAAAACTGTTGTCTCTTCATCAGGTTTACCAACTACATGGACTGACTTTACACTACCATACCCAGCATCATTTTTTTACAGTGTACTGGGGGCTTTCCTCGGCTCTGTGCAGGTGGAGCTGTGCTGCCGTGGGCGAAGAGTGGGCGATTCGCTCTGACTCAGGCTGTGAGCTCCGGTCTGACGCACACACACAAACACACACACAGACACGCTTTTGTTATGGTTACATGTTTGTGGGGACATTACATCGACTTATATAAAATTCCTGGAGACTGATTCTAACCTGAGTCTATTTTAACCCATATCTGAATTGTAAATTAGCTGGTAGAGTGTTCTCCCTCTGATCCAAAGCTTGGCACTGTGAATCCAGCTCCCACAGATGAATGCTGTCATTGTGTCCTTGGGCAAGACACTTAACTCCCCTCGCCCCCAGTGTGTGTGCACACTGATGTATGAATGTGTGTGTGAATGGGTCAGTGATTCCCTGATGTAAAGCACTTTGATGGTAGCCTGATTCATCAGCTGGTTTCACTTCATGGACTGAACTCGCAGCATTAGCATTTGTTCGCTTGACAGTAGGCAGGTACTTTTTTTATTTAACCAGTTGCTGCTATTTGGTTGTGACGTATGTAATGTGCCAAATCCCATATGAAGAAGGGCTAAAAATGCCTTTCCCTTGATAAAATTCACCAAACATTCTCTTTGTTCCTGCTTTAAATCCTTGATCTCAGGAATCGTTGCCAACACAGAATATTTGGCTTCCTCTACATCCATCTCGACCGCTTTGTTTACTCTTGTGTTGTATCACAAAAGGGACCCAGACAAGCTCTTCACAGCTCTTTGCTGACTGGACGGTGTGCAGTCTACAACTTCTGGGGTTCTTGCAAACTGTCTTTTGTATTCCGATTCCTGACCTAGTCACAGGAGAGAAATGAAATTGAGCGGAGACCCTAGGGGCACCAGCCCGAATACTTTGAAGGTAGAAAAGCTCCTTTTTTCCCCATCCAGTTTACTGAATGTCAAATGTCTAATAATAAATATGTAGATGAAATGTTGTTAATTGTAGGGGTACGATTAAAGTACTCCTTTCCTACTCCTTTTTTTGAACATTGAATGTTTTTAACAATGTTGTTTTTCTCTGCTAAAAGTAAATATTCTGAGAGTATGGAAATAAAATTTAAAATGTGACCGTTTACCAGTAAAAATAAAGGATTTACATCGGGGGGACCTGATTCTTAGTTAAGTTTACAGATTTTAATCCCCACGAAGCCCAAATACTGTTGTCATGTTTTTGTGTTTGTGGGGTCATTACTTTGACTTTGTGAATTACTTGGAATGAATTACTTTATGGGGTCATTAATTTCCTAGAGACTGATCTTAACCATAATCACAACTTGTACTTTCCTAACCTTGACCTAAATTAAACTTCTCTCTTAATTTTAAAGGTCCACTATGTAACTTTTCTAGAGGTGGATCGATTACTTAGGTGTTAGTGTTTTGCCTGGAATGTTCCACAGTGTGTCATTAAACTTGCCTAACTCCATGAAGATCAGCAGATGATGCCAGAGGAGCAAGTTTAAGATCTGCAGACAGATGCTTTTCATTATATTGTTTGAGAAATAAAAACCCTGTGTCTTGAACAGATGTGATTAGGTAGATAAGTTTGATGTCACACGGTGGAACATTTCAGGCAGAGTATTAACATCTCTATGGAGACAAGCCGTTAACAGCTCCTCAACCATGAGCAGCTAATTAGATTTTTGGGTCCATCAGGTTATTGTGCAAATTTTAGTCCCCACAGTGTAATAAATTACTGTCCGCACACAAACAGATACGGGAGGAGACTGCGGGCCACGACAGGCTACACGAGGCTGCCTGTTGCCATAGAAACGGGAATCTCACACAGACGGCCGGCGTTTTAGACGAGGTCCGCCCACGCGTCCCCAGTGTGAAATACCTGGGCTTCACCGGGGAGAAAAGAGGCCACTGCAGAAATACATGTGGTTTTGCCTTTTGAATCTGACATGGGCGAAGTAACAGGATTATGTTTTCTCTCAGAGGGTTAAAGGTCCACTATGGAACTTTTCTACTTGAGGATCCACCACTTGCTTGTCTCCATGGAGATGCCCGATATGTTCCACAGGTCTCTCTTGCTTTTATTGAATTACAGGTATTTTATTGTGAAAAAATACCTTCAAAAACAACTCGTCTTTACAGTGAGCGGCGTCGCTTTTCCACAAATTTGACCTGTACCTTGGTCTCCCAGCGCCACCTGCTTGTAACTATAAAATTTAATGCCATATTGTGGAACATTCCAGGCAAAGTAATAACATCTACATCGGGACAAGCACATGGCAGATTCTCCACTAGGAAATGTACATATAGTTCACCTTTTAACAAACAACAAATGACATTTTAAGGATTTTTATTTTTTTTTTGCCAGATGCTTTCTTTCTCACTCAGTAACCAAGAATTTAGTCTTCAAATTAAACACAAAATGCAAATATAGCCGGGTTTGGGTTTAAACTAGACTGTAAACCCAAATAAGTTACCAGAACTCAAAATAATTGAGGAAATCGATTGCTAGATTGATTGATGAACTTAAAAGTGACATATTTGAAATTAATGACTTATAGTTTTCTGTTAAGACAGCTCGGTTATTTTCATTTATTATGACTTAAAAATAAATTAATAATAAAATAAATATAAAATAAAATAATAAATTTAGTCCCATGTGCATTTCAGACTGTTTGCAATTTTTTTTATTATGATAGATTTTAGTATTTATTTGGTGAAGTGCTTTGAAATTGTATTGTATTTTAACAGGTACTGTATAAATTAAGTTTATTTTTAAATCATCCTTATTTGAAACAATAGAAATAACAGGACTTTATCATTCCCAGCGTTACTTAATTCTACTATGTTGTACCTCATCTATGTTTTTGAGTTATGCTCACTTATACCGACGAGTTCTTTTTAATTAAATAAAATAAAGAACATGTTACAGCAACTGGACATAGTTAAGTTAGTAGGATTATTTGTAAAGCTTTGAGTATACACAACTTAATCTATTTAATTAGTTCGAATGTTCGGGTTTACAAGAAGATCACTCCTTCATTTATTTAGCCTATTACATATTTTATTTATCTATTGGCTGGTTATAAAGGACTTGTCAAAAGCAATATAGACTATTTTACAGTCCAGAAAAATAGATTTAATATGCTTCATCTGCACCATGTGACCACAGGTACCACCATTTAACTCTACGGACGACAAACACAACTATAAGTCACATTTCTTTCATTTATTCAACAAAAACTGCATTTCAAAACCCAACTTAAATATTACATAGAAGATCTTGTATTGATTTCAATACCATTGTAACAGAATTTTCTTACACTGTAAAACATAGTATTCATTTTCATACATACAGCTTTAAATCATATTACAGTATTTTATTTGTTACAGATAATTAAAATGAAGCCATATTCCCAATAGTAACAATATGCCCAATTAGTTAATTTTAGAAGTTAATATTATATGTTTTCGTAAACTTAGTCACATGTTTAATATAATATCTTAAACTCCTTTGATATTTCTGTGTAAAAGAGTAGTATAAGTAGCTATGGGTCAGGTTACTGCATTTTTAAATAGCGAGCACTGAATGTTTTGTGAATATTCATGTTTCTGGAAGCCCAAATATTGTACAAAATTAGAAAAAAAAAATATGTGTGTTACAATGTATGGACTCATGCTGGATTTAAATGACAAAACTATTACGAATACTTTGCAGCGAAGGTCATCAACAATCCCGGGAGTGTGACGCTAACTGTAGGCATGCTCTGTCTGAGGCTTTATTAGACTTTCATTTTTGCTTTATTTTAACGCAAGCTGATCAAAAAGAACTGACTTAGGTGGAACTACAACAAGTCAGCTGATGTCTTCTATTAAACAAGTCTCCATTTTTGTTGAAAATCAAACTCAACTTAACCTAAACAGGACTATGAATGCATAAATTGATCACAGACTCCTGAAAATGTTCTGTTTTTTGTTGAGTTTTCAGACAATCTTAAAACTTTTTGGACCATTTGCGTGCATTTTGTCGCCATTACTCGTAAACATTCCACCATTAGAGATACACGTAGAACACCCCCAAAGTGACGTCGCTGCAAAGCCTGAATTAGCCTAGGGTTATATAAGGTCAGGAATATAGGACTATCAGCACAGGGCAAAGTACATTACATCGATTTAAACTGATTTAGGTGAAAGTTACAGTGATGGACATACAATACACACTGGGGACATAAAAATAGACACTGAAACGACTTCAGTGCGTCATCAAAGACACATGTCCAGAGCTACATCCAGGAAACTCCAGTGCTCTCAAAGGCAAATGTCCAAAACATTAATCTAAAAATATGAAACCTGGTCTTTTATATTAATGACAAAGTTAATTATCCTACTATGTTCACCCTAAAGACAAAATAAGTGAAAAAACAGTAACTCCATCTGCCCCCATTTCATTCAAAGGGTCCATATTACGCTATTTTCTGATCTGTTATAATGTTTTTTCCTCATCACAAACAGACCTGGAGATGTGTTTTGTTTATTAGACTTTAGTTCTTCTCTCAAACAGAAAACACTCTGTTCCATCATGTTTTTAAACTCCATACACCTTCACTAGAATCATTTGGATAATTTCAGCTCTGGATAAAATTGTCCACATACTGAACTTAAAGGTAAAAGCTGATATCCTCAAAACTACATGAGATCTCAAGGTGGAAGAGAGCATTTTGAGCTTTTGCAGATGTAAACAGACTAATAATAAAGGATAACTCAAAACACAACTCCAGGTATTGTTTTTCAGCATTATAACATGACTTAAAACTCACAAAAGTCAATTTCGCATAATATGAGTCCTTCAAACATTAAAGAGCTCAACAGTTCAGCTCACCTCTTGCAGAAGTAAAATTCACATTAATTTTATTCTTAAACTTTTCCAAAAATAACTGCGTCATGGGTAGTACTTATCACAGCTCTCTTGTACATTAAAATGATTCAATTTTGATTCATTTTAGAAAAGTCTATAAGAAAAAAAGACTGGTAAATTTACTTCTGGATCCACACTGGGCTTGGTTTTCTCCATAAAAGTCTTCAATATTAACAGTGCTCATGGTTCAGTGCTACAGTTTTATTCCCCTTATAAACAACTCTTCATTCATTTTAACTTCACTGGTCAAAAAACAAAAGCTGCGAATTTGACAAACTGAGACAGAAATGTGCTACAAACAACCATTCTGCATTTCAACACAAATACAGAAATATAAAAAGACACAATTTTGACTATTTCATTCAAAAGTGTTAAAGCTCCTATATTACTTAAAATGGACACTCATGAGGATTAAACCCTGTTATAATGCTGTGACCTCAACAAAGTTCATTCACACATGTTTGAGTAACCTTTAATTATTAGTCTGTCCACATCTCCAAAGCTCAAAAAACTCTGTTCCACCTCGTGATGTCATCAAGTGGTAGTTATCAAGTTAACAGCAAATTTTTACCTTTGAGTTGACAGCCCTAAACTGTAAATACACACATGCAAACACTGCACTTAGAAACTCTACTTTTTTCTTTCTTCCTCTCTTCTTTTTATTTACTTATTGTTCTTTTGTTGTTGTGTTTTTTCTTTTTGTTTGTGTGCTAGTCTTATATTTTGTTATTAATGTGCTCGGTATCCATTCCCTCAATAATGAAAAACAAAGTGGAGCACTTCCTGTATTACCACATGACATCACAAGGTGGAACAGTGTTTTCTGAAGAGAAGAACTCAGTACTGATAGACATGCACATCCAATAAAATTTGTGACTGTGTGCTGGGGTCCAAAGACAAAAATTGTGCAAAAGAAAAAACAAACAAAACATATCTGCACTCCACACTGCAGTTCTTTGGAGCTCTCATATTTTTTATTTAATGACACCACAATGTGATGTTTTGGGGTCAAGCCCGGCCTGAATAAGGGCTTGACCCTGAAACGTCACATTGTGGTGTCATTAAACTGATTAAACTACAGTGTGGATCTGTTTTTTTTCTTATGCACAATAAGAAAACTCATCTTAAATATGCAGGGTTTGTGTGTTAAAAATGTGTGAATGAAACAAAACACAACTCCAGGTATGTTTGTGATGAGGAAACAACATTATAACATAGACTGGAAAATAGTATAATATGGGCCCTTTTTCATTATAAATAAATACAAGTGAAAAGTACAATTGTCTATTCTAAAGTTAATAGGATTGTTCAGTATTTTATAATCAGCTCTCTTCAGAGTTTATTTAGATATTTAAAAAAACAGCAGTGATTAAAATATGGTACTAACAAAACAAAACTTTTAGCTCGACGGGAAGTTCACGAACTTCAGTCTGTAAATAAAACACTGAACTCTCCATTTAAAGGTGTACTATGTAACATTTCTGGTGGAGGGTTCGTGACCAGCTCGTCTTCATCGAGATGTTTTTGCTTTGCCTGGAATATTTCACATTTCATTACCGTATTTTATGGACTATAAAGAACATGTAAAATCCCTTAATTTTCTGAAAAATTGACAGTGCACCTTATGTATTAATTCTGGTTGTGCTGGTTGATTTTCACAGATATTCCACTGAGTCATGTTCTTTAGTCCGACAGAAGATGACCAGCACACAAGGAGCAAGATGTTGTTTTTTTTTTTAATGGCTTAGAGTTTATGTAAATTAGCCAAGTGTTTTTTAAGTTTCGTTTCTGTAAAATGTAAACAAATGTGCGCAAAACTGCATTAAACTCGTTACTCAATCTATATTTGAGTCCTCCTTGTTGGAAAAAAAAAAAGTCTCAAGTCTCAAGTGTCATCAGTTTGTTTCGCTTAATGCACCTTATAATCCCGTGCGCCCTATGTATGAAAATAAACATGAGAATTCAACATTACTGATATTGTGCCTTATAATACGGTGTGCTTTATAGTCCGTAAAATACGGTACACGTGTTTTCAGAACCTTAAAACATGTGTTCTCAGTGTGAGTGTGGTCACATCGTCACAGTCCTGATATGTAACTTGTAACTGTTACAATAATTACTATATGGACTTACTAATTTATTATTCAATATATGAAAGATGGAATAATATGTTTTGGGGCTCAATATTTATTGTATGTACAATATTAGTGCAAAAAACTGCAAGATTTTATTTTATTTTTTCTTGTAATACTATAAGATCTGAGCTGTAGAGAGCAAAATAAATAACTTCTATTTATTCTTCTAATTATTACTTAATTCTGCTGTGTATTTGTTGCAGCTCAGGCCTTTTAATGGTACTTTATATTTTAAAAAAACAGGTTTACTGGGATTATTCTGCTTTATGATCTTTTATCACAACAATTCTCTATAGCAATACAATTTGTCATGCTTCAGAATGTGTTATCATAAGAGGTTTAGTAATTTCTGGTGAAGCTACCTGCCTGTGTCCATGGAAACAGATGCCCACTGTGGAAAATTTCAGGCAAAACGGTAATATCTCCATGGAGACAAACACGCGTGGCGGACTCTCCATCAGAAAAGTTACACAGTGCATCTTTAGCAGATATATTTTTGCACTGTTTTATAAAAAGCACAGGTTTGTGATATCGTAGTGGCACTGTTGGTTGAGTTTGAGACAGCCCTCTTCAACTGTCCCAGTCTCTGTCGCTCTGAGCCTCGTCTTCATCAGAATCAGAGGAAACCTTCTTCATCCTCAACATGGCGGCTTTTATGCTCCTCTCCAGCTCGTTGTCAGGACTGCTCTGGCCCTCACACCGAACAGGAACCACCTACAAGGACAAGACATGACAACTAAATGAAACAAAATGGTGATTTGTGTGAAAGAGATTGCAGTGTTTGGTGATGCAGAGTGTTGGGGTTCAGTTGCATCAGATTTTGTGCAGAGTAAAAGACGCAGAAATGCTGACAGCAAAAGTGAATGAAACAAAATTGTGTTCAAAGTCAAAGACATTTTATTCTGTCTTTGAGCTAAATGAAAAGTAATTTAGCTCAAAGATGGAATACAATATTTTACACATGGATACTTTTCTACTTATTAAAAAGTATTTAAAACTATTTAGCAGTTTAGTAGTTAAGTTTACACTCAAATTCTGTTTCTTTGGGAGGGACTTTGCAGTGGTACCAGTCAGGAGCTTACATATATACATTCATATTACCCATTTATCTCTTGTAGGTTTAAAGCTTTGTTTAAATCCTCTGAAGTTTGTCGTTTTTTTATACCTGGCAGAGTAAAGAGTGTAGAGCAGCCATTTCCAGCCCAATTTCAGTCCCCAAAGATTTTCAAGGGGCCCCCAGGGGTTCTCAGAAAAGAGGTTCAAGCTCAATTATGAGAATTTTAATGAAGATATACCAAGTTAATTGCCACTATGAAGTATTTTATAGCCAGTACTGTTCTATAATATGTTTAGTAACCAGAAAAAATGTTTTGTTTTGTCTGGAAGAATGATGTAGTGGGTGCCAATGTACCCACGGAAAAAATAGGGGTCACTGAGAGAAAAAGCTGCTGGTCTAGAGCTGAACTTTAGTCGTTCAGTCAATTAATATGTCACTGGTACAAAGTTTGTGTCAGTCAACTAATTATTTTATTCAGATTAAAAGATTTTATCCACAACTGCAGAAAGGGCATGGAATGAGCAAGCTGAAGGTTTCAGAGTGAATCCTGAGCTTAATTAACATTTTTTAACCCATAAATACACTTTAATTTTAGAACTTTTCTATTTAAAAAGTTATTTTTGCATGAACTCCTGTCCTGTTAGTGTCTTTTGAGTGCAGTTTGGGTCAGATACAGGGTCAGATATCTGACCCTGAGAGTTTTTAGTTTTGAGAGTTTTTAGTTAAAGTTCAAGGCTTTTGTACCTGTAAATTTATCATTTAAAAAGTGCTCACATAAGTGCACAGTCCTGGTTCATGTCCTGGTTTAATTCTTAGTTTTATCTCCTACCTTTATGGTTTTATTATTGAAGCCTCTGCGGTGCTAAAGTGTTATAAGTGGTGACAGTTAAATCAGAGAAAGTCAAAGGCATAAAAGGGCCCATATTACACAATTTCTGATCTATGTTATAATGTTGTTTCCTATTCACAAATTTACCTGGAGTTTTGTTTTGCTTCATTCACACTTGCTTAACACACACACAGAATATTTAAAATTTGTTTATCTCTCAAACAGAAAACACTCTGTTTGACCTTGTGATGTGATAATCCAGAAGTGCCCCACATTGTTTTTATACTCCATACACCTTCACTAGAATCATGAGGATCATTTTAGCCCTGGAATTGCCAATCTCTACTGAACTAAAGGAAAAAGATGGCTGTAAACTTGAAAACCTCTTGACATCAGATCATTGTGACCTTTGGAAATGTGAGTAATCCTGCATTATTAAACATGTGTGAATGAAAAACAAAACAAAACACAACTCTGGATATGTTTTTGATGAGGTAATAACATTCTAACATGGCTTAAAGCTGAAAGATTTTATTTTGCAGAACCTTTAAAGTTGTCAGAGAGCAAATGGATGTGGAATAGAAGTATTTATTTGTGGCTATTAAACTTGTATTAGTCATACAGTGATTCAAAGATTCAAAGTTTGTATTTTCAAATCTCAAACACGTAACAGTGACTCACCTTCTTCAGAGTGACTCCTTGTCGAATTGCAGACATCAGGTTGCTCCTCAGGTCGCCCACAGGAGGCGCTGTCCCGGGAGCAGGAGTTTTTCTGAGCTGGATCTGCCCACGCTGCAGTGACGCCAACACCTCGTCCATGGTGCCTAAAAATACAAACAACATTTATTAAGAACTGATAAATGCTGCAATAACTCAGATGACAGCACAATATTAGAAAACAATAAACCACACTAATAACCTTTTGTATAATCATTCATAAAGTTTCTTCACACAATAACTGTAACTTGAGAGTTTTGTCTTGTCTTTAAAATCAAATATACTGGAGGATTCGTTACCTTCTTAGTTCCATGGAAAAGTTATTGCTCTGTCTAGAATGTTCCACAGTACAGATTAGGGCTGCTCGATTATGAAAAAAATCATTATCCCGATTATTTTGGTCAATATCGAAATCACAATTATTCAAATGACGCATTTATTCAGCAATTCTCTCTCTCAAAAGAAAACAAACCTTTTTTTATCATTTTTGCAAAACTTTCAAACTGAAAATAAATATAGCCTACAAATATGTACCTTAGAGCAGTTTTGCGATGTTTAAAACTAAATTAATAAAATATACTTTGAACATGAAATAAGGCATAGAAAAACAAATGTATCCAAAATAAACTATATATCCAGCTGTTCACATTCTCTATACTAAATAAATAAATAAATAAATAAATACACTTATTTATATAAAAAATATCCCAAAATAAACTTTGTTAAGCTTTTATTGTTTCAACTCGATTATATGAGTTTAGAGATCGTTTAACACACAAATCGAAATCGCAATCAAATCAATTAACTGCACAGCCTTAGTACAGATTAAACCTACATATCATGAGAAAGACAAGCGGGTTACAGCACTACGCTACATTACAGTTCAGATCTGTGGAGAGTCGCCCTATTCACAGAAGGAATTGTTTTTGTATTGTATTGTATTTTTGAGCAATAGAAACACCTGTAATGAATGAATAAATGCTAGATCAATATGTTTAATGTCAAACAAATGGACAGACCTCCACCAGAAAAGTTGCAGAGTGCAGCTTTAATTAGGGGTGTGCAAAAATATCGATATATATATCACTATATCATATCGTTTAATGTGATGAAACAGTATTGATATCATGGGCCGCTGTATCGATATCTCGCCAAGAGTATTTTTTTGGTATATTTTACTCAATTTACTCAACTCGTTTATGCAACACATTTGATATTTTCATTGGTTTTATGATTAAAATGTTTGTGTTTCATATGAACTTTGCATAAACTTAGTGATTTAACAAAGAGCATCACAGCCTTGATTTAGCCTTAGTTTTTTTTATTGAACCATATGGAAACAATTTGAAATATATCGTATCGAACCAAAAGTGCACTGTATCAAGATGCATATCATATCATGGCCTATGTATCGAGGTATGTATTAGAGGTCTGCATGGGAATTTCAGTCTCGCTCCCACCTGCACCTACAAAGGACTGTAATTTTCATTCCCGCTCCTGCCCACAAATCCCACAAGACGGGGACGTTCACTTTCTTAAGCTCTATCAAACACTGAGAAGGGGAAAGGAATTGTCTAAAATGTGGGCGAGATTAGACCACATCAGCAAATTTAGGCAGTTTAAAATGTTTTTATTAATGCCAAATAAAATATCTACCACAAGTTATGCATGATAGGAATACATTAATCATTTGCATATTTTACTTTACACTCATATTTACTTTGTGGGACTGCAATGAGCTTTCAAAATGTGTCCTGCGCCACACTGTTTTGTATCGGGAGTGCAGGGATCCAGTTCGTATTGGCAACTTCTTAATGACACCCAGCTCTACCTTTAATAGTCTTTAATAGTCTAACAAAAAACACAACTGATAATAGCATTTGATTTATTTAGTGCTTTTTAAGACACACAAAGCGCCCTGGGGCAGACTAACAGAAACAAGCCTGCCAATCTGCATTATTGGCCTCTCCGTCCACGAACACCCCTCCCTCGCAAACCACGTTTATAATTGGCAATGTGGGGGAAGTGTCTTGCCTAAAAGCACATGAACAGTTTCCACAAGAGCCACTGCTGCCCCTCTTGATTTTCCCATCCAAGTCCTAACCAGACCCAACCCGGCTTAGCTTCTGAGATCAGACAAGGATCAAGAGGGTACAGCTACAATCTTTAACATTTTACAATTCCTGTTAGGCCTGGCACAATAATTACTATATTGAGTTATTATTCAATACACGAAAGATGGAACAATCATTTTTGGGTGTCAATATTTATCGTGGGGACTTTTTATTTTGTACTAGTGGGGAACCTTTTGTCATTTTTCTGTACTATGATAACATTTGAGGAGAAGCGGTTTCATTCTGCGATTTATTTATTTATTACAGTTAAAGTTTTTAAACTATATTATACATTTAGAATAGTTTTTGTGGCATAAATTAATTCCAACATCACCATTTATCATTTATATTTACTTAAGCAGTATACCATTCATCATTTGTCGTGACAGGCCAAAGTTGTGGGAGTTTTTTTAATGGGGTTATGCTAAAAAGCAGTAGCGTTAAACTGCCTCACCTCCAATATATCCAGTCTATTTTCGCTTATCCTAAAATGAGTTTACTTTCCCCTTGAATGACCCCAGTTTGACAAAATCCCAGGAGCCGAGGAGAGGTAAGACAGTCCTGTGTGTGTTCTTAAAGGGAAATAACATGGATTTAGGAACAACTATTTGCAATAAAAAAGACCAGATTGATCACGACTGAATCGAAATCGCAATTTGAATGGATGTAATAATCAAATAGCAATTTTTGAAGTACGATAATTTCCTCCAGAGCAAAACACCCTGTCTTATTCTGCATAAATCTGCTAACATGTCCTGAAATGTGACTCTTGTATTAATTTATATTTCAGTCTTCTTGACAGCTCTTCTCGATGTGTTTAAAATGTGAACTTTGAACAGAATCCTATTATTGAAGCACAAGTGGATATTTTCCCCATTTAGTCCCACTTTACACACAAACTACTTCTGAGAAAAATAGTAATATCTCTGACAGTTTGACAGGGCTGTATCTGCGGAGGGTTTTCACAGAGGAACAGAGCAGGAGGAAGAAGAGAAAGAATTGTAATGTAATGACCCCATATTTAGTGTCACAGTCAGTTCACTTTTTGACTCACAAACGGTTACGAACCTAAAATTTTCATTCAGAAATGTGTTACAGAATCTCAGAGAAGGTATAAAAATGGTAAAAAATATATTCATAAGCAAATCACCAAATTAACACTAAAAAAATGTGATTTAAACTGTGTAAGGAAGAAGGTATTGTAACTTGTTGCTTGCTCACAACAAACCCAATGGCACATCGCTCATTCACATGCTTAGATTTTGAGGAAAGATACATTAAAGCCTCATCTTATACATTTTCTATTCATTTTCAGAAATTTCAAACTACTTTGGGTAGATCTGTCTTTTTCTATACTGTTGCCAAAAATAAAAAAACAGAAACCACAGAATGGCAGAAGGTATGAAACAGAAGTAATAGGCAGTGAAGAAAGGGGTCTTTTCACAGGCACAGACAATTCCTGCTAACAGTGCACTAACCTAGAAAAAACGAATGAATGAATGAATAAATAAATAAATAAATAATACGAAGGAGCAGAGCCATGAGTGGAAGGGGTTTTATAACCTGACTCACTCCAGATTAATATGTGTAGCACTGAACTGATCTACACGTTATCAATTTGGAGCAGCTCTCACTGAAAGCTTTCGGAAAGTACTGAACATCATGACGACTCTTTAAATCTGATCGGTCGAAGCATCACAGCAGCAGAACAAGACGAAAATCAAACTTTGGGTAAATCCCTGTCCACAAATGCACAAAGCCAAAAAAAAAAAAGGCTGTATTGACACTAAAATAGGCTGAAATTTGTCTGCTGGCGTCACCATGTTTGTTTTGGCTCGTTTTGGCGCTTAACCTTTGGGTTCTGCACAAATCTCAGTACTGTGACGTGATTGGTCTCCCAGTTAACCCCACAGCGGCCGCACTCCAAGATGGATTCTCATAAGTTTGTGAACTCACACTTTTGAGAGAATCCATCTCACTGTGTAAGGTTCAGTGTTTTGTGCTGTGGCCAGGAAGAAAAACTAACTACATGAAGCCAGAATACAATCATTAAAAACCTTCAAAAACCTTCCCTTCAGACCAAACATACAAATCATTTTTTTGGCATTTTCTTGATAAATAAAGGCAACAAATTTGACAGATGGTTAAAAACTAAAAACAGTGCTTTTTGTCAGACATTAAAAATATATCACCACAATTTATAACAAAGTTCAAGTGCCCCCCAGACGTTTAGACAATCAATAAACGCGGTTTCACTGAGACAGGAAGAAGACAAAGATTTATGTTCAGGACAGTAGCTTATTTGTCCCCACAGACCACAATGTAAAAACCCACTTTTAAACCACCCCTATTCTGATGTTACAAAATCCAATACAATTTTAACGGTCTGTCTGTTAAGTAAGTGCTTTATTATCGTGCCAAGTTTGCCCACGACTTGGCTGCCGTCTTGTTGCTTATTCACGCGATTCAATGGGTTTAATGGAAGGAAAACAGAGGATGACAATAATATTAATCATGTTGGCAGCTATCACAAAAAGACTGTGAAAACCCATGTGTTCAAACATTAGAGATGTTACATAAATGTGCAAATGCCTAAACTAAAAAGAAAAAGACTCAAGTAACTTACAATAGGACCAATTATCTCATGTTAAGATGGCAACAAAAAGGCAGTTTCTGTTAATCTTCTGTGGGTGGTTCTTTCTTTGTTTGTTCGTGACAAAATTATTGTGAAAAGCAAAATTTGAAAATGTTTTAAATTCAGTGTTTTACAAGATTTAAAATGACAACAGTGTTTCCCAGGAGGATTTTGTTAGTTTTAAAGGTGCAGTGTGTGACTATAAAGTGGAGGGTCAGCCACTTGTCTCCATGGAGATGTTATTTCTCTGGAAAGTTCCACAGTATGGCATTAAACATATCTGTCTTGTATTTATTCAACTAAAATACCTGGAAAAACTTGAATTATTGACTTATTTATTTATGTTTAGGCTTGCTTCTCCATAGATCTGACCATTAACTTCTCCATTGTGATAACCAAGTTTATTTTCATACTGTGGAATAATCAAGGCAAAGCAGTAACATCTCCATGGAGACCAGCAGAAAAAGTTACACAGTGCACCTTTAACAAAAATCTATGGGGAACACTGGGATTCATTTTGGTCTCAATACAGATTTTTAAGGTAAACTAGAACTCTACAATTTGGAAAAGAAGCAAAAATGAACTATGTAAATTACAATCAAATTAAAGTCTTTAATTGAAATCTTTCTATTTGGGATTGCCACAGTAAAGAAATTATTTTACTGTTTCTTTTAATGCAAGATGCCTTTCCTATAGCAACCAGCCACTAACTGCAACTACAGTAAGACACAGCAACAGACCCTGAAACCACTGTTACACAATAATATGCTGGAACATTCTGTTATATGTACTTGGTGTATTTAAATATAACTTTAAGGGTACTTGTATTTAAACAGGGCTCCCACTCTTTTGGTATTATAGTTTTTTCGCATTCAGAATCCTGTCAGTGCATTTATTGTCATCTATTTTAAACAAAAGGCGCAGACATTCAGAAATAATCATAATAGTCTAATGATAACTTAACAGAACACTGTAGTTGTGCGAAAGAGACTTTTCCAAAACTTTCATTGAATTTACAACTTCTATGACTTTTCCAGGCCTGGTAAATTACATTTTTAATCTCCATGACTTTTCCAAGATTTTCATGACCATGGGAAACCTGTTTAAATATGTTGATGTCTATATTAAAAGGGGCTGTACCTAATTTCTCTCTGAGTATTTGATTAAAATGCGTTATGCCCCAGTACAGAGACATAAAGGCAGATCTCACTGTGTGCCGCCTGGATCTAATTAATTATAAATATTTTTTAATCCTCCACAAACCAGAAGGTAACGCTGGTGAGCAGTTAGCATGCTAGTTGTTGTTAGTCTTACTGTGAAGGCCAAACTCGACCCTGTCCTCTGTAAATTATGAAAAGTGCAAACAAACTCATCAAGGTGAATAATTACGATGTTGAGGAACACATCTGGACAGTAATTTTCCTTTTTTAAAACTGTAAAAAATGTGTACAATGCATTTTATCGAACAAGGAAGTGAATTTAGTTTATCTCATTCACAAAAAAATCTGCCAATCTGTTGTTAATACAAACATGCTCCTTACCTATATTCTGTTTCAGTGTGTTTTTAGCTGGAAACGGTGGCTCTCTCATCTCACTCAGCGGTTTAGGCTCATCCTCTTTGGGGGAAGTTTTTAGGAGACCACTAGAGGGCAGAGGAGGCGGAGGTGGTGGAGGAGGAGGAGGTGGCGGAGGAGGGGGAGGGCAGGTTGGGGGTGTCATTGGGGGTCCGGTGAAGATCTGAACCGGTATATCTTGAACTGGTATAGGTTTTTCCGACTCCTTCTTGGTCTTAGGGGTCTTTCTGGTTTTTGCGACAGGGCGTGTTGGAGGAGTGGAGGTGGGACCCAGGCTGATGATGGAGAGGGGCTGTGAGTCCTGTGGAGACCCAGAGGAAGGCGACTTTGTCTGGGATGTCTTCAAAATGTACTGCCCCTGACGCTTCTGGAAGAAAGGAAAGAAATGTAGACAGACTGAGTATAGCTAGATAAGAAAAACACAGTGAGTTTAATTTAATTCTAAAGAAAACGCTCAATACTTTTTTTTATCCCAAAGTTAATGCATTTTCAACCCAAAAAATGTTTCTTTAAAAGGAACTGTGTAACTTTCCTGGTGGAGGGTCCGCCACCTGCCTGTCTCCATAGTGATGTTATTGCTGTGCCTGGGATGTTCAACAATATGGCATTAAACATATCGTCAATCTATTCAATTATGAGCATTTTTATTTATCAAAACTAGCCAATAACATACATTCCTACAGTGAGCAGGCCCACTTCTCCAGAGATCTGACCTATAACTTGGATTGGTGATGTGGCCTGGTCGTCTGATTGAGATAGTTGAATTAAACGTCATACTATGGAACTTTCCAGGACCAAGCAATAAAATCTAAATGGTAAATGGTCAGATTTTTATATAGTGGTTTTTCGACCTTCAAGGCACTCAAAGCGCTTTACAAGAAGGAAACACTCAGGGGCTGTTTACGCAAGAACGCTTATGGGTAAAAAGGACAAAAATATTTTATCGGAAGTGCCTTTCATTTAGATGGCGATGCCATTTTTGGAGCTTAAAAACGCAAAAAATCTGAAACCCCCCTCCAGAGTGGAAAAGCTGATCACGCTTCGCCGTAATGTTTCTGTCTACACTGCCCAAGGCGCAAAACTCTGGTCAGATCTGCTCACGTCGCCTACGCATTTACATCACATACACACAGTACACAGAAACTTGGCATGCATACCCAATCGAATTCCACACAATTTTGCGTCACCGTATGCACGCAGATTTCCACGCTCGTCTAAACACGGAAAAAAAAGTGAGGATGTGACGTCACTTTTGCGTCTTCTGTTCAGACGGTCATCATATAAATGTAGCCCAAGTGTACACAGACACTGGGGGCGAGGAGGGTTAAGTGTCTTGCCCAAGGACACAACAACAGCGTTCATCTGTGGGAGCTGGAATCACACCAGCCAACCTGGATCTGACCACTCAACCAATGATGTTTATGTCAATAGCAGGATTCGAACTACAAACCTTCGGATCAGTGGACAAACGCGCTTAACAACTGAGCTACTCGACTCCATCGTCTACATGGTGTCGAGCAGGTGGCAGACCAGAAAAGTTACACAGTGCACCTTTAATATTACCAGAGGCTGTTACTACTTCTGAGAAGGCAAAAACAATGCAGATCAGACCACAGAAAAACTTTTTGTGATTTAGTTTAGACACTACTGATTTCAAGTGCAACCAACCAGTTTATTCTCACTGCATTTTAAATACTTTGCACATTTCATATTTTTGTTTGTGCAATGTTTGTGAGGATAATAACGCACTGTATGTTCACAAAGGGCCCACACAACAGCAGTGTTTTTAATTGGCTTTTTGAAACAATAAATGCACTTTTGTTTCCACATAAATCCGCTTTGTGTTTGTGGAGCGTGCAGTGGTTTAAGGTGAATCTTAAAAACAATATCCCTGACACAAGATGAAAAAACTCTGCTTTCATTTTCCAAAAGGCCGTCTCTAAATCTTGCATTTCCATGACAACCGAGCTCACGACTGCATCCAGGAACAAGCAGAAACGTACACATAACTGAACCTGCAGCTTTGATCGTGACGAAATGTGAAAAATATTGAGGAATAAATGGTCTGTATACAGTATGTGCCAAGAGTTTTATAGATGCCTGTGAACCACTTTCTGACAATTGTTTTTGGTAATTGCCTAAAGATATGTTGCAATGGGAAATCAGTGTAATTAAACTATTTAGACTTTCAGCTTCTACTGGGGTCTATATTTCTCAGATGAATATTATGTTTTAAAGACTTAAAAGTTATTATATTTTAAACTTGACTGTAGTTTGTTAGGGGCTAAATCCAAAAAGCTTTTCTAATGATATTATGTTCTTTACACTTAACGACAATAATCATGTCTGTGGAACTGAAAAATTCCATAACTTTTTGACACTACAAAATTCTATTAAAAGCGTCCTGTGTGATCTTTGCATCGATAGGGGGGAGCAGTACAACAGACTTTGGGAATGGCTGATTTAAACAGTAGAATGTGACTTTTCAACATTAAATCGTGGTACTTTATTTTATATTACCATGTGGTCTTATACCTGTGTAATCCCTCAGTGGTACAGGGGTGTATATTAGTCTATTTACTTTTATTCTGCTCAAGATCTTTGTGACGCTATTCAAAAAAGGTTAATTTCTGTCCTGTAAATGTGACTTTTTTTAGTATCTATGGGCTCTATTTGATCTACAGCAGGGGTGGGCAATAATTTTTTTCAATATGAGAAACAAAAAATATTGTGGAGGGCCGGGTCAAAACGTTTAACTCAATTTGCATCATATTAATTGTATTTCTCTATAAAAAGCAGTGAATATCATTGTTTTGACAAGCTGGTAAGACTGGTGAGAGTATATGTTATGAATAATCAATGAAAAAATTAGGTTGCCTTACAAAAAATGTCATTTTAAAAACACCTCTAAAATAAAAGCAATGCAGCATGAGGTAAAATGATAAAACATGTCTATTTTGTCATTCCAAATGAGCTTAAACAGGCCGGTCAGAGTCAACCAAGGGACGTATGTGGCCGAGGAGCTGGACAATGCCCAGGCCTGATCTACAGTATCGAGCTCAATTGGGTTTAATATTGATTAAACGGTAAATGGTCACGTTTTTATACAGCACTTTTCATACATCAGTGTACACAGACACTGGGGGCAAGGTGTCTTGCCAAAGGCCACAATGACAGCATTCTTCTCTGGGAGCTGGAATCACACCGCTCAACCAGTGATGTTTTATGTTGAGAGCAGGACTCAGACCTCCAACCTTCTGATCAATGGGCCAACAGAGCTCCTAGTATCTGATTTTCACTACTTCTGACAACCCTATATTCAAGTCTAGGCTCTCATTACTGTTTGAAACCAGAGTTTTCAGTCCTTGTAGTTGAACATTGCAGTGCTAAAAGCTAGAGTGTATGTGGTGTTTTTTTCATTTTTTTCATAAAGACATAAAAGACTTGTACCTCTCTGAAGGAGCGTAATCGACCAAGTGTCCTCTCTCTCTCCTGATCCACCCACTGCTTCCTCCTCTGCTCCTCCTCCTTCCTCTTCTCTCGCTTCTGCACACCAACACACAAGAGACAGGGATCATTTGAGGAAAATCTCTATTCTAAAAGCATTTCAATGGCAATACAATGGAGCCTAACCTACTTAGCAAAATCCACTTTATGTATTAGCAGAAAGGATATCAAGAGGAAAAAAATATAATCATGACAACTTTAGAAGCAAGCCCCTTTCACCCTCAAATTTTATATTGCATCCCTAATTAGTAGTGATTGGAAATAGAAGTAATATAATAATAGTAACATGAATATAAGGCTTAAAATGATCGCAAAATAACTGCTATACTCCACAAAATATTTCCATTAGTACCATTTCCTATGGTTTTCAGCCTTACATTTCAGTGGCACAGTCTTCTATTTTGTAACGATACCATCTTGTTTATGCTTATTTTTGGTTACATTTGATAAATAATTCGTACCAGGTGAACTTGATGGTGCTGTGTGAAGACCTTGGTGCTCTGTTTGGCTGTCAGCTGCTTCTGCTCGTGAGCTTCGACGCACTGGTCCTGAACAGAGGAACGACATTAAGCATTAAGATCGTTTAATAACAACCGGACGCTCAACATCACTTTATAATTTCATACATTATTCATTCACCCCATACCCCATGATGGTAAGAAGCTATAGTGAGGCTGTCAATCTGCCAACACTCATCAACACACACAATCACACAAGGCAATCACTTCTTGGGTTCTTTTTCAAGACAAAACACTAGGCGATGTAGTTACCTTGTTGACATGTTTCGGCTACTACATCTCCTACTATATTGTAATTAAAAAGAACCCAAGAAATTAATGTATAAATAAACATTTTTGGATTGATTCTTGCCAATGTGAGCCAAGTGCCAAGTGTCTTGCTTAAAGACACTATTGCAACCCGACTGTGGCTACTGATACTCCCAGTGGTCTCCCATCTAAGTAATAATCAGGCCCGGTCCTGTTTAGCGACTGAGATAGAAGAGATTAGGAGGTATGACCATTAACTGTGCCATGAAAAGCACAGAGCAATAGAGCTGTTTTTATTTTATTTTACAATGCAGTGAAGTGTTGAATTGTAGTCGCTTCATTCCACAATATACAAGATGATATAGTCGTTGAAAGGGCTCAGTTATGTTAGAATAGAAATATAGAAAAGTGGAGATGAGTAGAATTCTTTTGCACACAAGCATTTACACTTTAATACACAAGAAATACTTTGTGCAGTAGTTAAAAATACAGAATAAAGCAGAATAAAAAAGATGATATGTGAAGCAAAAAGATGAACAAAAATATCAGGACTTTATTTATAGTTAGTAGATGAATATTCGTAGTTTATCTGAAAGACGCTGGATCGGCCAGGAGGACGAGCAGACGCCAACTTGGACTGACTGAAATGAAATCACTGAAATCTAAAAATACATCAGTGCAAGAGCGTAAGTAAAAACATTAGCGAGAGAAGGAAGAGAAGGAGAGAGGAGGAAGAGGAGGAGAGACTTCCTGATTTGATTATAACTCTAATGAAATTATATTGTGATCTATGATACCGTACCCACGTACCAGGAGTGCTTTTTGTTGTTGTTTTTTGTATGATTAGTTTTATAGTGCACAGACTGCCTTAGAAGCATCCAGATTGGTACAATGTAAGTAACATTATTTCAAAACATAAAGGCTGTGTTCACAATTGTCTTGGTTTGGTCTTTGTTTGATCCAGACATAATCCTGATGGAGATTTGGTTTAGGCGGGCAAAATCCTGGTTAAGACCGTCATAGTTCCCATACAGTTGTTTAAGTCTGGATTTGGTTCTGGTTAAGTTCTGAGACAAGTTTAGTCCTGATTTGATCCCAGTGTAATCCTGATGAAGATTTGGTTTGGCCCTGGTTAAGTTCTGATTTGGTTCAATCCCAGTTGTAGATTTGGTCCATTCTAGTCTTGGTTTAATCCTAGGCTAGTCCAGGTTTAGTTCTAGATTTAGTCCAAGTGTGCTTTAGACATATCAGGTTACCTGACCTGCCAGAACCATACGCTTGTAGATCTGGAGCCATATCCTGTCCTCATGATTTCAAAGGGCATGATTGACAGGCGGACTGACCAATTAGAGAGACTCATGTTCGGCTTACATATAAAAAGGAGAAAAATCTACATAAAAGACTTGAGAAACTGTGCGTATTTTTACAGAATCAACAATCGAAGCACCACACTATTACTTAGTGCAGGTAAAAGAAGTTAAATATTTTGGGCTTAAGAATTTTTCAAGAGGATTTGTCAATTTTCAAGAGGAGATGTCTTCGAGCCACGTGATACAAACGTTTGGATGGAGGATTTTTCCCTCTATTGTCCCGAACAGAATGTAAAAGGGACTGGCTGGTCAGGCAACTTATGAGGGGCATAGGTCAAATTAGGCTTTAAATTACATTATTATGCCTAAATATAATGGAATACTCAAGTACCCAACTCCAAGTATGTTAATGACAAGAAAACAATATAACATGGTTTAAAGTTTAAAAAGTGAGATAATGAATATCCTTATCCTAACCTTCTTGTTCCTCAGATAAGCTCTCCGCGCACAGATGTTTCCTCTCTTGGTCTCCAGAGTTTGAAGGCGTTTCTTGAGCTGTCTGAGCGCTGGGCTCTCAGACTGGACCCCGGTCTGGACCAGGCTCTGCAGCTCCTCTGGGTCCTCACACACATCGTAATACACCACCTCCTCCTTCAGCTCTGTACAGAATATAACAAGGTAAGTCATTCAAGATTTTAAGGAAATTTGATTACACAATATTGCTTTATATGTCACTGCCCAATCTCAGCTGATCTGAGAAGATAAACAGGGTTGGGCTTAGTTAGACGACCGTGAACACCAGGTGCAACAGTGGGGCAGCAATGGCTCTAATGCAAATGTTATTGTGTCCTTAGGCAAGACACTTCACCCACATTGCGAAGTAGTAATGCGGCGTGTGAGAGAGTAATTGGAGGTGCAGATTGGCAGCCTCGTTTTAGTCGATCCCAGGTTACCTGTAGAGAACACTCCTTATTTATTTTATGGTGGAGTCACATTCATTGACTGCAAATTCTGAATAGTACAGCTACCATCAATGTATATTCTAGTATGTAGTATAATCTTGGCAATTGTGTTTTTATCTAGTTTACAGGACAATTCAATTTTAAATTACAGAAATGAATGTTTTTCCCCAAATGCATATACTCATGTACACATGCCATGGGATCTGCTAAATATTGTTGGCCGCTCCCTCTAGTGGAGAGGAAATGACATGGTACACCTGTTGAACAGTCATGTCACTCTGCCCTGTTGAGAGACACTGTTGTACAATGGGTCCCAAAGTGGGGGTCATGAGATGACTTATATACTAGTAATTATAGAATTTTGACAGTGTGGTTGATGTATTTTTGAATTTATACAGTATATTTTACTGAAATTAAATAAACTACTCAAATAAAAAACAATTAAATAAATGTGTTTTAAATGTGTAAAATGAAACTATTACTGTTACACCCCTCATTACAAAATGTTATTTTTCGTGGTTTCATAGTTATTTTTATTTATTTACTTAGTCAAATGAGAACAGCGTGGAGGGGGCAAGCCCATATAGAACTTCGGAAATAAAACTGGCTTTTTGCCCATATTTTCTTTTTTTTTTAGAAACTGAAAAGTTGGGACTCTTGGTTTCGTGTTAATTTTTCAGACGTAGTGTTACCTTTGATTTGTCTCCGTACAGTGTCGATCTGGGCCATAAGCAGCTGCTCCTCATTCTTCAGGATTTCAAATTTTGTGTCGTAGATTTCCAGTTGAGTCTCGTAAAACCTCAGCTCTAGTTGATCCACAGAGTCCTCCGAGTCTGGACCAGGACCAGAGTCAGGACTGACGGGGGCGGACAGGGCCTCCATCTGAAACAACAGAACACATATTATGGTAATTGACACTGGGGATGGGACAAGTAATTAACATTTAGCTTTCAAATGTTCAAATTTATTTTAAATCCAATACAACCACTGTGTTCAGGAAAAAAAAAAGAAAAAAAGAATATTTCTTGTATTTCTAGTGTTAAAGACAGAATGTTGCCTGCAGTGTTCCACAGTATGACATTACGCTTACTTATGTGGCATTTGTTCTGTAATTACGGTAATGGACACTAGGGGTGGGACCAGATGCACTTTCCACAAGTTTGGGTTCACGAGAAAAGATTTTGACATCAGTGCACTGGGTAAGTTTTCTGGTGGAGGGTCAGCCACCTGCTTGTCTCCATGGTGATGTTATTGTTGTCTGAAAAGTCCCAGTATGGCATTAAACATAACCGTGTTACATTTTTATTTATTGACCTAAAAAGTTGCTTTCTTACTGTGAGTGGGCTCGTCTCTCCACAGATCTGACGTGTCTGGCCCTGTGGTATCTATCACCTGCTGTCTCCATAGAAATAAGTAAGTGTAATGCCATAGTGTGTAACATTCAGGGCAATATCTCCATGAAGAAAAGCTGGTGATAGACTCTCCACCAGAAAAGTTACACAGTGCACCTTTAAGAAATGAACATTGAAAATCCTTTTAATTTGTTTTAATAACACAATAAGACAAAACAATAAAATAAAACAAAGATCTAATCTAATCAAATATTGTGATTGATAAATATGAGAAAAAAAACTTTGATCAAACATATCGGCCAGTCATTTTCCATTATTTTATTACCATTCAATAGACATTATTATAGATTTATTTTATGAATTTAGAACACAAAAAACTGTATCTTATTAAAACAGGTGTGATTTTGTCTGGACTGGAGAATTCAGATCTCTGTGTTAATCCAAAGCCACAACAGAAAAGCCGGAAATCTCCTCAAGGTCAGAGTAAAATGGGCAAATAAAAACAAAACAAAAACTCCCCCAGAGCTGCTGCCATAGGCCTCACAGGGCTGGGCAGAGTCAAGGTCGACAAGAGCACAAAAATAAACTAAACAGTAATGGTTTGTTTAGTCAAATGATCATGAGAAATCAAATGGAGTATGAAATTGCAACAGACAAATTCAGAGATATTAAACAGCCCATATTACGCTATTTTCTGATCTGTTCAAATGTTGTTTCCTCGTCAAAAACATACCTGCAGCTTTGTTTTGTTTCTTTTCACACATGTTTAACACATAAACCCTGCATATTTAGGCTGTGTTCTTCTCTCAAAAAATCACTCTGCTCCACCATGTGATGTCAAGTGCTACACTGTTTTTAACCTCCATGCATCTTCACTAGAACCATTTGGATTATTTCAGCCCTGGAATCATAGCCAGGCTGGTGCCACTTAGTGCCTCCCCTCAATTAAATTTCTCTCCAGTGACTAGGTCAGGAATAAAACACTACACTAGACAGTTTGCAAGAACCCTGGAAGTTGTAGACCGCACACCGGCCAATCAGCGAAAAGCTGAACCAACCCGAGTTGCCATAGCAGACTGCATACGCTATCCTCCTTTGGACTTCCTTTGTCAAATACAAACTTTGCATTTTTTACTGCACCTTTAATTTGCAAGATCACCTCACAGAAATGCCAATAGTCATTGACAGACATGTTCACTCTCTGCTTTGTTTGTTGTTGTGCTGGCAATTACTTGGACAACACTGAGCGTTCCGGGGCATTACATACATCACAACCAAATAGCAGCGATTGGTTAAATAAGAGTTTCCACAAAGTTAAACTGGCTGATGAATCAAGCTACTGGAATTGCCAATCTCCACTAAACAAAATGTTAAAGGTAACATGCTTTCCTACTGTGAACAGGTCATCTCTCATCTCGCCTGTTTGTACTACCTGCTTGTGTCTATGGAAAGTATGTCATAGTTGGAACAATCTAGTCAAAGCAATAACATCTCCATGGAGAGAAACAGGTGGCAGATCCTCTACCGGGAAAGTTACAGAGTACATCTTTAACTTAGACCTGCTTCTGTTACAGGCACAGACATTTTCATTACAAATGACTCTGTCACTAAGTCTGTCCAAATATAAGCATACATTTGTATTACAGACTACTGCATCATGTAACATTCAATGTAACCATTTCACAATATTATGCAACTATTTCACTGTGCCCTAAAACCATCTCAGCACCTTTCACGCCCCCTACACATTTCTACCACTTGTGATTCTTGAATTGGTACTTGATCCTGCTGGAGGTGTTCTTAGGGTGACCACATTTTCAAAATGCAAAACTGGGACACATGGGTTGGGATGTTTGGTATAGATAAAATTGTGAAAAGAGCATGCAATATTGTGCATTCTCTTGTCAGTCATAATCTGAGAGATTTCTATCATGCATTTTTTTTGTTTTATGTTAATTTACAAACACGGTTTTGGGAAAACAAATGACAATTTATGCTCCTCTTTACTGTTGGCAGGGATCAGGTTAGTCAAGAATTGTGATAGTCCTGTTTTAGTCCTGGATTAGACGTGATGTAGTCCTGGTTTAGTCTTAGTTTAGTCCTAGTTTAGATCACATTGGTCAAAAATAGGGACACCTGGAACATTTCTTGTGTAAAACTGGGACAGATCACTGGTTTTGTATAAATCTGCAGGGACAGGTGACACAGGGCTCAAAACTGGGACTGTCCAGGGTAAATCGGGACATCTGGTCACAGTAAACAAACACTGTTTACAGTAAAGCAAACACTGCCAAAAAAAAAGTTTTAAGATTGTCTGAAAACTCAAGACAAAATACAAAATTGATCTAAAGTGCACATTTTCAGGAGCCAGTGATCAATACAAGCATTCATGGACCTGCTTCGGTGTTTGATTTTCAACAAAAAATGTGAGAGCGACTACCTGAAAAAACTGTAGGCTGATGCTAGCCAACTTGTGACTGTAAAGTTAACAGCACAAATCAGTATGTCGTTGTTCCAGTTAAGTCAGTTCTTTGTGGTCAGATTGTGTTAAAATAAAGCACAGATTAAAGTCTAGCCTGAGTAAGAGGAGGGGCCATTAGCTAAACCGCTCTTTGTTGTGTTATTTACGACGACGCAAGCTCCCAGTTTTCTAACATGGAAGTCAGTGTTTCTTTTATCAAGTTGTTTTAGATAAATATTGTGATTTAAACTGTCCATATTATAAAAGAATGATTCACAAGTGTCAAAGATTATATCTATATAGCAAACACAAACAAAATAAGTCTTCTTTAATGTTTTGCCACGTTAGTTTTCCCTTGCATAATTAGACGGTACTTGTCAAAACCTGCACATGTATGAATAATCCACAAGAAATCTGAATCTGAACATCAGTAGCTCTTTATATGACATTTCAGTAATCAGATAATGATCAGTTTTCTGGCTTGCGTGTGAACACAGCCAGAAAACATAGCTGCATTTGAGGCTGCTAATTGTTCTGTAGCTCATAATCTTGCGCTAAAGCTATGTAAATGAATTATTCTATCTCCAGAGACAGGAGGTGGACTGTGCAGCGGCTGTTGGCTGATCTCATTACAAACACATGTGTCTCGTGCTGATTTCAGTTCTGAATCGTGACTTTATGGAGCTTAACAGGATGAATAATTTAGCTGCAAACTGTATCCAGGTGAAGAGACACTGATCTGTTTAAAAAATGCACAGCCCGCCCTCTCCTGCAGATACTTTCCCCCAAAATAAAACTAGGGGGAAAAAAGTTTGAATATGCACACTATGAAAGGGTGACTTACAGATTACAGCAGCGGCAAGATTTATTTTTCAAGATATGGAAAAAATTCTTTGATTATATGGAAAACCACAGAGGACTATCGCTAAACTGAACAAACAAATGTATTATTATTATTATTATTATTATTACTACTATTATATGTGTGTATATATGTGTGTATGTGTATATGTGTATGTGTATTTATATATGTGTGTCTTTTTTTTTTCTTCTTTATATTATTTAAGTATTATTTATTTTTCTTTTCTCTGGAGACGGGGGTGGGGGGGTGAAGGGCGGGGGGGTGAAGGGCGGGGGGGTGAAGGGCAGGGGGGCTGGGGGGGAAAAAAAAAAAAGATGGTCACATTGTATTACTGTTAATTATATTATTTATTTATTTTTTCTTCTACTTCTGTGGCATCTGATTTGTCTGCACAAAAAATAATAATACAAAAAAATAAAAAAATGAATATGCACACTGAAGGAGAGAAGTATTTTAAAAAAGGGGCTCATAAATAGATCAAAGGACGAAAGAGTCCGAGTGGAATACCAAGCAGCCCTTTCTCACTCATTTTGGAAATTCGGCGTTTGTAAGGCTACACATGCATTTCGGTTTCCTGTTATATGTGAAATTTTGAGGACTTTACACCATTCTAAAGACACGATATTTTGTTTTGTTTGGTTAGTAAAGTGTAAAAGAGTTACATTATTTGCAGTTGTTGTTTCCAAACTCTGCACAGAATGACAAAAAGGGTATGTGGAGAGAGTTATAGGGGAAAAATATGGTATTGTATTGTGTCTTTATTTGATACACATTTTAATTATTTGGATTTCCCAGGCTAGCCTAAAAGTTTAAAAAATTATGAAGTGGTGCAGAGGTTTACTTCAAGCGCGTCCAAGTGGGGGATAGGTGACAATAATAACATAGACATTAACACACCAATGTTTTGTTTAAATCAATCTCAAACTCTATATGAAGTACCAGCTAAGGAAATATTTGCTTTCCAAACACTGGAGGTGAAGGGGAGTTACCTGACCAACTAGAATCACACACTTTAAAAAAACTTTACAAAGACGAGTGGGTCTGGCGCCGTATCCTGTCTCCCTGATTTCAGAGGGTGTGATTGACAGCTGGATTAACCAATCAGAGGTGTATGCTCCGTTCGAAACAAAAACATGGATGTTTACACATAAAAAGGAGAAAAATCTTCAAAATGAACTGAGAAATAAATGAAATTTTTACAGAATCAACAATCGAAGCGCCAAACTATTACTTATTTCAAGTTAAAAAAGTGATATATTTTGTTCTGAATGTTATGAGAATGTCGAGGAGATGTCTTCCGCATTTGAGGGACACATGACACAAATTAGCGACTGTGGTTAGACCACCTCAAGTTTGGATGGAGATTTTTAAAGCTTTATGGTCTGTTTCCAATCCCTTCTGGATTCGAACAGAATGTAGAAGGGACTGGCTGGTCGAGCTAGAAGGTGAGTCCAACCAAATGAGCTTGCACACTGCACAATATGTAAAAATATGTTTTCCTCAGTGCTAGTGCTGAAGATCCCAGTGTAGTGAAAGTGAAAGTTCAAAACTGAATGTTCAATGTTTAAATGTAGTTAGAAACTCACTTTGTTTTAATAGTAGTACAGAACAGTATTTGTGCCCACCCTCTTACAGACCTTTTCCTTGATGTTGTTCTTCTTGCAGTTCAGACACATCTCAGTGGCTCTCATGTGCTGCAGAGTCTCTTTGGCCAAAAGAAAGCGTAGTTTCTCCAGACGAGGAGCTACACACGCCCAGGCTGCTGCTCCAAAACGATTTTTATCCTCCTCCATCTGTCTCACCATCCCTGCATGAAGGCATAGATTAGAAGAACCATATTGGCCACGTTCTAATACACAATGCTTAGTAAAATGCTAAATGGATTGAGGAAATACAAATCTAACATACATTTGTATTTTAAATTATGTAAAGTAATAGTTAATATGTGATATAAATAGAGTAAACACTAGATAATACAATAAAATAAAAAATAAATAAATAATCTGCACCTCAAATAGCTTTTTAAGCAATTTCCATTTCCATACACACATTTTTCATATATTACAAACACATAGTTTATTTTTAAAATATCTAAAAATACATCAAGATGTATATTCTGCTCACAACACGCCTCATATAAGCCCCAAACATCTGCTAAAATAGATTCTATCCATGCAAATTCAACACCACCAAATTTAGTGTAGCTGAAAGGATGGATTTCACTAAGATCATTTGGATTGTGCAAGATTTTTCAAAGCCCTTGTTAACAAAAAGCAAAAGATTAGGCAGTTTTGATTCTGTAAAATCTGCTAAACTCACAGCTGAGATCTATTGAAACTGGGACACACCAACCATCTATGATCTTAGTCGCTCAGTTATACTTTCACTTTCTTTCATATGCAGGTAATTTTTCACACATTTCAACACATTTAGAGTGTGAAAGCTTCCTACAATATCTCACTAAAAAGCACTAAGGGTTCACAGAATCCATCTGGCTCATCAGAAACTTGGGTATGTGAAGAGAATGTTCACCAAATATTTATTTTTTACACTTTAGTAATTATTGTAGTCACTACTTACTTTAAATTTACAGTTCTCCAATATTGCTCCAATATTTGGCTTCTATACAAACTTCAGTTGTACCAAAAAAATTTGCAACACAGAAGAGCCATTCATTAATTCGGAGACAACATCCAAATCTACAGTAAAGATATGCATCTCACCATATGATATTTATTGTTATTTTGGAGAGGCAAATGCAAATACAGATAGGCTACTTTGTGCTTTTAAAATATCTTGAAGAGATACTGTCACAGTCCTAAAAATTAAAGTAAAAACATATTTCTTCATGTTGTCTGCACTAAATGTATCATGGTTTATGTAGTTTCCTATGTTTACTTGCTGTTACTACAATAAAACTACTATCAATACGATGTCACAATATTTAGTTTATTTAGTTACATCCCTACAAAATACTACAATAAACAAACTCATCTTCATACCTGCCAAAGCTTTAGAGGTCTGAGCGAAGTAGTTGACTGTGATGTCTTGTATTGAAGCCACTGCGTTTTCTGCTTTAACTCTCCACTCCTCTGCCTCCTTCTGCAGCTCCGCGATCCTTTTGGGACCCAACTCTTCAAACTCCAATGATTTCTGTAATGAGTAGAAATAAAGCAGTCATTCAGATAATGTAATCAGCAAACATTTTAATATTTTGTCTCCACATGGGTCCTATACAGTAAGGTGCTGAAAATCGGATAATAATCTAGACTAAAACTAGTATCGAAACTAGATTCATTTGTCATTTGAGCAGGTATCGATACACAAAAAGCCACATTTACAGGACAGAAGTGAACCTTTCTTGAAAATCTTTAGTGTGATCTTGAGCTGTATCAGTAGTATACACCCAATGACAACTATGGAGCCTCCCTGTATGACAAATTACACAGATTTAAGACAACATGATTATATAAAAGTACACAGGAATAATATACGATTTAATGCTGAAAACGTCATTCTATTCAGTATATTATTCCTGTGGTGGATACCTCTGTCACAACTCCAAAGTGTTAGTATTATTTCATTTCATTTCATTTTCATTAAGTCAATTACAACACACATAGTTTAATTTTCCATAATTCCTTTATTTAGACTTATATTTTCTAATTTTGGGTGCACACATTTTAGTTAATCTGACTTATACTTGTTCTTTTTTTTTTCATTTGAGTGGCCAGGAGCACGATTTAGTTAATTTTGCTAAGTTTGTTTAAGGTCGCTTTATTATCACTTATTATTTTCGGTATTATAATTATTTGCCTTACTTACTGATTAAGTTAGTACTTTTAGTTGATTATTTAGTGTAATTCTCCCTTCTTGTGTTGAGTTTTAGTTGGCCCTCATGCATTTAAACACCCCTGTTCTTTGTCTGTTTGGGTTAGTTTTGTTCTGTTCAGTTTTATTTAAGTTACTTTTTGGTTAATGATTTACATAATTTGAGTCTTTGTTAAATTACTTTTTTTTTTTTTTACTTTATTAAATTTTAACTTTCTGTTTGGTCCACTACAATTCCATAGTATCAAAATCTAGTTTTGTGACAACACTAGTATACAGTCAACCTGCTAACCTTGTAGTTAAAGCTGCTCTATGTAACTTTTCTGGTGGAGGATCCATCACCTGCTTAGTCTAGAATGTTCCACACTAAATCATTATACTTACCTATATATCACTTATTTCACAATATGTTTTTATGGCTCAAAAATACCTTGAAAAACTTGTATCTTCATTGTGAAGGGGCTTGCCTCTCAACAAATCTGACCTGTAATTTGGCCTGGTGGCATCACTTGCTTATCTGTCTCCTCGTCTGTCTCCAAGGCAGTACAAAAGTTGCATGTATGGGAAACACTGTGTACTATAGTGTTGTGGTGGTCTATTCAAAGTAAGTCATGTGAGTGTAACTGTGGCCCAGCTGTAAGTCTATTATAAGAAGCACTTGTACTTAACAAATAATGGACCGGTTTACGGACCCTGTGGCGAGATTCAAACTGTGTACCAACAAGACCTGTCACGACAATCACTATGACAACACACACTGTCAATAAATAAATTAACATACATTTCTGGGGAACAGTATTTATTTGTGTTTATTATCCTTGTACTAGAGGGAGTTGTTTTTTGTTCTTGTAGTTTGTGAACATTTGAGCTGTTAAGGTTTAAAATTATTCATATCTACTGTATCATGCATTATAGATACGTATTATAGACTAACTCTATACATTTTATGCTATTTATTTTTGCAGCTCATGTTTCATTTACAACTATAGTTCACTTAGAAAAGGGTTTATGGGGATTATCCTGATTTAGCGTTATTTTGACTGTAATATCAGCAAAGTTACCAATATAACATGCATAAAATTTTGATCTTGTGACTGGCCTATAAACAACAATAAAGAAACACACAGAGGACAAAGGACAAAAATGATCAAAAATTAACAAATAAGACAAAAAATGAACAAAAAAGATAGTATTATGATTAGTGCATTAGTTTTGTTTAATTTCAGTAAGACATTTTTCTACAGATTAGCAAATAGAATAAAAGACTTACTGTTCCAATGGCCTTTTTGTCACACATAATGATTTGTGCAAGTGTAATTTGCTAGAACTCATATGATCAAGTCTAAGCTTCAACGTTTATCTTCATAACAGACTCGGTGCTGTTTAAGTCTTTCAATGATTGTCTATAACTTACTTTTAAAATGCCAGTTGGCTTGCTTTTTTCTTTTTTTAAAATTTTAAATCAGCAAACAGCAGTTTAAATTCTAGACTTATTTTTGTCAATTGACTTGAAATAAAAGTAAAATACATAATACTACTATAATGAATAACTGTACAATCAAACTCATTCACCATATTAAATAGTGATATACCTAAACAACTTCTGTATCAATTCTAACATTGGTAAGTTTGAGCTACTGTGACCAAGTAATTTCTCTCATACAGTCATGTAGGCATTTACCAGGATCTCCATCTTGCAGAGGCAGGCCAGCTCCCTCATGTCTCTGAATGGCTGCAGCAAGAACTGGAAGAAGGTTGTCGCCACGGTGACCAGGTCATGGTAGGCATCATCCTCTTGTTGGTAAATGTCGAGTAGAGCCACCATCCTGTCTGCCGCAGTATGGCTCTGCAGCAACTGGAGAGAATATGGATGTAAGAAGGGAGCAAATAAGAGACTAGAGCTAATTTAGAAGGCGGTGGAAATGTGTACTCAAATAAAAGTACAATTACATTACTACTAAAGGTATTATATATTATTAATTTGTCATACAAATTCAGCTTTAACCTCCTGTCATTAATCACTTTCCACCCTGCTACTGTGATATTAGTTTACTTATTACATCGACAAAAAAGTCATATCCAAGATATTTAACATTAAACCTGGACAAAATAGCATTACTGAATTACTGATCTGCTTTTAGTAGTGAAAATTATAAATGATGATTATGAAAATCATGGACAGCATTTTCCACAAAAGGAGCAGGGATCAGTTTGGAAATAACAGAAGACACAATGGGCCACCTGTGACTCTAGTGTGAACTGTTGTTGTGCCCTTTGGCAAGACACTTTACTTGCTTTGCTTAGTATGACTATGGGGAGTGAGTGATAGGTGGTGGTGGGCATAGATTGGCCTCACTTCCATCAGTCTAAAGCAACTACATAAGACAAATGCATTATTATACCTTGACCTTGACTAATTCTGAAATAGTGATACAGAAAAAATGTTTCTAGGTGCTATTTTTATTACAGAGTATGTAATTAAGCATGTAGAAATCCATTAACTCTTCACATATTATAACTACAACAATCTATAACTTCATTTCAGTTGTTTCAAAATGCCTTTTTATTGCATTTTCAGAATATCTGTCATTGTTTCTAGTTTTTATAAATTAATTCTAATGCACAAAGCTGTGCATGTATAAGTTGTGTTTTTTCTTCTTCTTCTTTCTTTTCCCCTTTGTTTTGTATTATATTTCACTTTGCCACTGTTGTCTGCTGTTAACTCGTTGATCTAAAAAAACAATATGATGCATCTCAAGGGGTTATTCCTCTTGATAAACAAATGTCATACACAAATACATGCACATTATCATTCATGGGACCCTGATTCTAGTCATTGGATGATTTCTACACCTGTTCACCTGGTCCACCTGCCAGTCTCACCTGTCGCAGTTCACTTTTGGCACGTGACATCTCCTCCTGCATGCTCTTCTTCTTAAACTCCTGCAGATTTTCAAAGTAATCCTCCACATCTTGCTCATTTTGGGAAAACAGTGTATCTAGGACTATTTTGCGTCCACAGACATCAATGGCCATGCTAAAATATTTCTCCAGTTTTCTGCACGGCGTGTCAAAGTCCCTCTCATCTTCATCATCTCCTGTGGTCACTCTTCGGCTCAGGAAAAGCAAATCCCAAATATTTCCGTCTTCAAACTCCGACAAATCCGGGAAGGAGTTGCCTAAAACATCTGCGACACACGAAAACTGTTGATGTATGTTTTTTAAATCGTTTACAGAGAAAAGACCAGCCCAACTCATCTGACAATCCTCTGACACTTCAGCTTTGCGTCTCTGCCTTTGCAAAGTCCGATTGTGACAAGTGACAGCGAACTTTCCCTCGATCACGCTCCATTGTACAATAAAACCAAGTTTAAACGTCTCGGTTTCCTCAAATATGTTGCTTTTCACCGCCACCCATCCGTCCAAGCTGTCCATACGCTCACAATCAACGTTATTCATCTTAAAAACATTGGATTTCTAGCAGCTGCGGAAAAGGAGCTGGCTCTGTTTACAACGTCCGCCATTTGCATGACGTAGAAAGCGTTCACGGACTATGTTACTGTCAGAAATTATAATACTTCGTTGATATGCATACAAATGTCTTATTCTTTATTTCTACATCTAATCTATCTTAATAATAAAAATATACAAAATAACTTACATAAGCTTACATAAATATTTTAGTAAGATGATTAAATGAGGAAAAATATATAAGTGGCATGAATATATAATGTTTTTGTGAAACTTACAAATTGTTTCGATTCTCTCGGAAGGCACCACAATGACAGCTCCCAAGGTTCAACTTTAACCTTCAAATCACATGGTTGGGAAAGTCCCACATCTTTCATCACAGTGACTGAGTTAAAAATCAAAATTAACAAAATAACTTGTTTGCCTCCCTTACATTAAAGCATTAAAACATTTCAATTACACTTTTTACATGCCATGTTGAGTTTATGATTTATTCACAAAAATTAAATAATACTTTTTATATTAGCATCGTATAGTATTCAGTTGGATTTATACCGTTACCATAAAAATTTAAACTATAAATAATACTTTTTGTTTATTTTTTTATGTTTTTTAATCGGAAGGTTCATACTCACATTGCCCCCTCCCTCTCACAGCTGCAAACAGTGAAGGTGAGCGTAGCGGGGCAGATTGCACAGGTCAGGTGCAGACTGGAGAAAAATAACCATATCATTTGCGAACATGAAACTTTTCTCTGTCGCTTTGACTTTGTTAACTTCCTCGGTGGCTTTTTACTTTTATACACCCCTACCTGATGGCATACGGGAGCCAAAGAAGCTGATGCTGCTGGATGCAACTTTCAAAACAGTCTCGAAATTTGTAAGAATAAATACTTTTTGTGGATTTTGTTTTATTTAAATATATTGAACTATATAAGCAGGATGAATGTACCTTAAATATGGCACAACACAATTGTCAGTCATTCAGAAGCTGTGGACTTTGGTTTTACTTAGGTTAATTATTAAAATAAATTTTGTGGCTCATGCACGTGGCAATTCAGCCTGTGCTATTTAATAAAAAGTAACACTTATCATTAAATAAATGCAAAATAGATAGTTTAATACTATATTGTGATTCATTCAGCCTACATTTCCGTAGAGACCTCCAGAACAAAAGTTATATAGTGCACCTTTGACCAAAAGTGTATTATTAAATTCACTTTTGTCAAACAGCTCAAATGATCACAGATTATTTTATTTTAGACCCATCTTTTATTTGTTTGTGCACAGGCCGCTCTGAAGCAGCAACTTGGCTTTGGTCATCCCATTAGGACCATAAGAACATTCAGAGAGACCCTCCTCGAGTCTGACGCCGGGGAAGACTTTGTCCCTGGAGTTAAAGTGACTGATGTGTCTTTCTCTGGAGTCCCAGTTCGAGTGTATGAAACGTCTGGGGGAGGGGGAAGTCTGCGGAGGGGGCTGCTGTATTTTCACGGAGGAGGATGGGCTCTGGGCAGTGCAAGTAAGTAAAAATCTGAAATGTTATAGAAATGGATCATTTGTAAAGATTAATTATTTTTAGGATGTGTTCATTCTTGCAGAATCTCCACTTAAAAACTATGACCAAATTGAGACTAAACCTAGAACTATACCAGGACTTGGACAGGATTAAACCAAATCTACTTGAGGACTCAAACTAGGCCTAAATCTACACCTTTAGTAAGGGACACAGAGGTCAAAGTTGTCCAAAAATCATTAAAACAAGTATAAAAAGTATAAATTTTAACAGGTATCAATACTGAAAAAAATCGTTATAAACTTGTCTTGAGTATATTTTATCTATTTTAGAGCAAGTTTGTATTAAAGAATTATCATTATTTTGTGTTGAAAATGACATACTACTGTATAAAAAATTGTTTGGGTTTTTCTGTTTTTGTTTTTTTTTCATGTTGGTTTTGGTTTCGAACAGACTTATGGTTCAGTTTCAGATTGTTGCAAAGTGAAAGGTGTTTTATAAAAGTTTAGTAACACTTTATAATAACTACAACTTATTTAGCCTTTATAAAGCATGAACAAAGACTTAATTAATAATGAAGAAATACATTATTAAGGCTAAATAAGGTGTAGTTATAATAAAGTGTTCCCAAATCTTTCTTTCTTTTGTCAGAGAAAGGTTCATACGACAAACTCACCAGGATGATGTCTGCGGAGCTCAATGCTGTAGTCGTCTCTGTGGAGTGAGTAGTGTTAATATTAACAAGACACTTGTACATACATTATGTGCACTTGGAATTAGAGTGGCCACTAGAGGCATGCACACACTCAGTTCAGACAAGAATGCTGCACATGTACCTAGTTTGCACTAAACTTGACATTTTGATATCATTTGATAGCAAAAATGTAGATTTGAATCAGACTTAAAATAGCCTGAAACAAGTATGTACAAATTTGAAAAGCCACTGTTAAGTAGTTTTTGGTATATCATCAATTATATTTTTTACTTTTTTTATCATAATTGTATAGCCATGTTCCTCCTGATGATATTTTCTTGTAGATATCGTCTTTACCCAGAGGTGCAGTTCCCTGAGCCGTACTTGGACTGTCTCGCTGCAGTAAAATACTTCCTGTCTGAGGAGGTTTTGTCCAAATACTCAGTGGACCCTGAGCGAGTGGGAGTATCTGGAGACAGCGCTGGGGGCAACCTGGCTGCAGCAGTGGCTCAAGAGGTGCACAGATTACACTAAATATATGATTAGATAATTATTATATTTATTGGTGACTTTCAAATTGTAGAATGTGATAATGTCGTACTCCCAGATGAGGGGCAAATATCGTATTCAAATGTAAAGCCTGGTAATTACAGATATAAGAAAAGAAATTACTAGGGGTGTAACAATATAAAAGTCTCACGATACAATATCATCATGGTATGAACCTCACGATATGATAGTTATTGCGATATCGTAGGAAAGCTCACGATATGGTGGGGACGCTCACGAGTAGGCAAGGCAAGGCAAGTTTATTTGTATAGCACAATTCGTACACAAAGTAATTCAAAGTGCTTTACAGAATAAGAAATACATTAAAATAATCATGAAGATTAAAATTAAAAAAGAGAGACATAAATTGGAGAGAAGAGTGCGGAATTGAAACCTTTCAGTTATATGCACAGTTAAACAGAAATGTTTTGAGCCTGGATTTAAACAGCGTCACAGAAGAGGCCTGTCTCACATGTTCAGGAAGACTGTTCCAGGTTTTAGCTGCATGAACCTGAAACGCTGACTCCCCTTGTTTAGTCCTGACTCTGGGCACCAGCAGGAGGCCGGTCCCTGAGGTCCTCAGAGTGCGAGATGGTTCATATGACACTAACATGTCACAGATGTACTTTGGTGCTCGGCCATGGAGAGACTTGTACACAAGCAGAGCTGCTTTAAAGTCTATTCTCTGAGGCACAGGAAGCCAGTGCAGAGACCTGAGCACAGGACTTATGTGCTCGTACTTCCTAGTTCAAGTAAGGACCCGAGCTGCAGCGTTCTGGATGTTCTGCAGCGTCTCACAGCTCGTTTGGAGAGACCAGTGAGCAGACCATTACAGTAGTCTAACCTACTGGAGACAAACGCATGGATAAGTTTCTCCAAGTCTGCTTTAGACAGTAAACCTTTGATTTTTGCGATGTTTTTTAGATGGTAAAAGGCTGCAGATGTTATTGATTTGATGTGGCTGTTAAAGTTCAAGTCTGAGTAGGGATGTAACAATATCCAAATCTCTCTGTACGATATTTTCACAATATACATCTCACAGTACGATATTTATTTATTTTGTGGAAGCTAACAAAACTGTTAATATGCTACTTTTTTTTGAGTAAATTGCCTTGGCAAGACTTAAGAACTAAAACTTAAAAGTGCTTAGAACTGTTATTTCTTCATGAAGTCTACACTAAAATGGAGCAAAGGATCATGGTCTATGTAGTTCCTTCTGTTTTTTTAGCTATTGCTGCATGATGAACTCTTAATTTAAGCAAAGAGACTTGCAATTTGATAAATTGTGATGGTCCACGATATTATTGTTAGAACTCATGATATTTCGATTATTGTTACATCCCTAGAAATTACCTGTCCTGTATCTCCATTAAATGTTTTAGGCCCCTAGGATCTTTGAGTGAACCCAACCAAAAAAATACAACAACAAATGTTAGTGAGAAGAAACATCAGCAGTTTTTGAGTGTTCACAATTTTTGAAACTGTAGATGCAATGTTTTGAAATCCATATAGAGCAGAGTTATAGAGCAGTTTAAAGCTCTTACTTGAGATCAGACTTTGTGAATGAAAATATATTTAATGTTACTATGACATAAACAGCCAATAGCCATCTTACTAAAGCTTAAATCTTAATTATGTTCATTAATATCCCTACTAGCATTAAACTTGCTCTGTTTAATCGCAGATCTCCCAAGACTCCAGTGTGAGTGTGAAGCTCAGTGTTCAGGCTTTGGTTTACCCTGCTCTACAGGCCCTGGACTTTAACACACCCTCCTGTCTCCAAAACCACAACATCCCCATTCTCTCCCGCTTTGCCCTGGTGCAGTTCTGGATTCAGTATCTCGGAGCAGATCTCTCTCTGAAGGAACAGTTTTTATCCAACCAGCACAGCGGTCTAGAGCAGCCTCTCCTCAGCCCTGAGTTAAGAGCACGATTTAACTGGACTCTGCTCCTCCCTCCAGAGCATCAGAAGAACCACACACCGGTTGTAACAGACAAAGGATTGGAAGGAATTTTGGAAAAAGTCCCAGGATTCTTGGATACCCGTGCTTCTCCTCTTTTGGCCAGTCCAGATGTGCTATCCAAATGTCCAAAAGCGTATATTATGACTTGTGAGTTTGACGTGTTGAGAGACGATGGTTTGATGTACACGAGGAGATTACAAGACGCTGGGGTCCAGGTCACAAATGCACACTATGAAGATGGCTTTCACGGCTGCTTTAGTATGCTCTTCTGGCCCCTGGAGTTTGATGTGGGGAAGAGGGCGTTTAAAGACTATATCAGATGGCTTCAGGACAATTTGTAGAAGACTGTGAAGACTGTCTGTTAAGACCTGCCATGATTAAAAAAAAACATACAGTAAAGGCGTTAAACGATAATATTGAAACTACTTTAAAATAGAGATTAACAATAATGCTAGAATAATCCCAGTAAACCCTTTTTAAATACACATTATCATTAAAAGATATGGTCTGCAAACATAGCAGAATCAATCAGTGATTAACCATAAAGTCATTTATTCAGCAGCTCAAATATTATTGTATTACAACAAAAATGGAAACTAGCTATTTAGTTATAATCTGGTGCTGTAGATCTGTTTTTAGTTTTGACTTAATGTCTCTGTATATTGTCGCTTTAAATAAAGACTTAACAAAAATACCCCAAATCTCCCCACTTTTGCAAAGTAAATGTACCCATGATAAGTATTGAGCTCCAAAATAAATTGTCAGCTATCATGTATTGGCAAATATCGGAAATGGGGCACAACAGTGAGACAAATTTTGGATATTGGTGCCTATTCAAAAAAATCCACCATTTCTACGTTTGTGCACCTTTTATTATTTCATACAATCACCTTTTTGTCCAATTCGCCTGCAGAAACACCTGAGTCACTCCTGCTCTTGCTGAGTCATATCAGTAGGTCATATCATGTGTTGACTTTTTCATTAACAATAATCAAATTATAGTGTTGCACAAAAAGTAATGGACCTTGAAGTTCCACACAAAATAGCAGAAATATTTCCTTTGTATTCTTGTTCTTGTTTCAGTATTTCAAAATTTGTCACTACAAGCTTAATTTCTGTGCATTTTTAACTGATTCCTTTCACAGCTTTTATAGGCCTATAGATATTATGCTCTATTTTCTTCTTTAACTTTAAAACAACAATAATTTTATAAAAATATTTTATGCTTTTTTTCCAAGTAAAACTATCAGATACAAGTTTTAAATTATGAACATTGTAAATCTCAGTATAGATGTAAAATGATTTAATTCAAAACAGCAGAAACAGCTGACTATATGTGCATTTTTTTTTGTTTTGTTTTGGGGTTTTTTTTTTTTACATTTTTGTATAATCCAAAGTCTTTTCAAACAGTTGTGGGTGTGTGGGGACTTTAGGGGATAAGTGCAAACAGTGCATGCTCAAGATGCAGGACAATACAAGATTTCATGCATGTTTAAGATCATGATTTAGGAAAACTACTGTAAATTGGTCAGTAATGTAGATCTGTAGATGCCTCGAACAACAAAAACATCCTCATAATTTCACATATCAATAAATTTGTTCAAACTTTGCTTCATTTTCCCGCTTCATATGTAAACCTATCTGAGTGTGTCCCTTGCAGGCTCCTGTACCGCTGGACATGCCTGAGGACATTTGAGGAGCAGCTGGTCTCTGTCTATTTCTGTCCCGGGCCTGAAGAGCTACAGTGGGTCAGTCTGTGGACACTGTCAAACTTCAGTAAAAATCAGCGAGAGAATGGCCTTCCTCTGAATGAACCAGGTAAATAACTACAATATTTTAGGTGTTTAAAGGTGCGTTGTGTAACTTTTCTAGTGGAGCTTCGGCAAATGTTTCACAGTATGACGTTAAACCTTTCAATCTTCATGGAGACTAAACCAGACCGAGTTACAGGTCAGATCTGTGGAAACAAAACCCGTTCACAGTCAGAATGCCTGTTTTTCTGGGTATTTTTGAGCTATAAAACCACCTGTAATTGAATAAATGTAAAAAAAAAAAAGCTGTTTAATGTCCTATTGTGGAACATTCCAGCAGAACATATCCACAGAAACAAGCAGGTGACGGACCCTCCACCAGAAAAGTTACACAGTGCACCTTTAAGTACATATTTGCATGTAACTGGAGCCGAAGCTGTTTTTAAATAAGTAGTGACAGAGACTTTTGTTTACTTTTTCACACTCAATCAAGTGTAATTCCTTTGGTGACTTTTTCAAAACAGTAAGTACAGATTTTACATTCTTCCTCCAGACTTCCTCCTCTGCTTGTTTCAATGATTTGTATAAAAGTGCACCAAAACCTTAATGACCCCTGCAGGACATTCGCACTAACTAGATTTCTAAGTCAACAAGTAACACTTTTACTTTGATTTAACCCCCAAGTTAGAATTGATACATACTAAGTAACTCTCCTGTTTCTCTTGTAATGGTGTTTTTATTCACATAATCACAATCCGAGGGTGAAAAACAACTAAACAAGATTTAAAAAAACATATAATATAAAAAAATTCTGTCTACTAACTTACTAATTGGACTGAAAAAGGACCAGCCACAGCACCACTGAGCAAAACTGTAAACATAACACTGAATTTTTATATTTACTTGTTTGCTCTTTTCTTTTGTGTTCACTTTTTTATGTTGATTATGTTGTTTAATTAACACATTATGCATTATATTAAGCACTCCCTGCATTCTGTGATCTAGTGTTTTTTTTAAATGTGTTATTTATTGCGTTGTTTATTTATTTTATTCACAGCTGCTTTGTTGTGACACAAGTTGCTTTAAGTTTGACACTATCTAAAGCTGCACTATGTAACTTTTCTGGAGGTGGTCCTTCACTTGCTTGGAGACGAACAGGTTATTGTTTTACCTGGAATGCTCCACAGTATGGCAGTAAACATATCTATCTTGCATTTCTTCAAGTGTTTTTAGTTATCAGAAATGTAATGAAAAACATTTGCTCTTACTGTGAGTGGGCTCGCCTCTCCACAGATCTGACTGTAATGTGGATCGCGTCATGTGCTTGTCATACTGCAAAACATGTCTGGCAAAACAATAACAGCAACATAGAGACAAATAAGTGACAAACCGACCTCCTCAGAAGTTACACGGTGCCCTTTTAAATGAGACATAAATCATCATATTTGCCAAAATCTCTATTTATTTTCACTTTATTTAACCAATTTTGTAATACCTGGAGGTCCGAATCATACCCTGACTCCTCTCTGGTTTAGTCGACCTCCTCATGGACCTGTTTGAGATCCGTGGGGGGCGACTGGACGTGATCGAAGAAGAGTCAGAGCATCCAGACTTCAGCCGAGAGTCCTTCCACATGGAGGGTCCTGGTGTGGGGGGGCAGGGCGGAGGAGCCGCCCAGGGCCACAGGGGGACGCTGCAGCGATTCTCTGTGGACACAAACGATTCACTACGATTTGAAGCCTGTGATACTCCATCTCCAACCAGGGCGGACGACGGGCAGGATGATGTGTTCAAAGACGTGGAGGTAGGGTCTGGAAATGGGAGACATAAAATAGTTGTGGTTCTGTGGTAGTGGTGGGAGATATTACCAAAAAACGCAGATCAAAACTATAAAAAATCTGACTGGGCTATAATCTTCTAAACTGTGCCATAAAGGGATGTTTCTACTATTTTTAGATAATTTTACTTCACTTTTTCTGCTGTTAATTCTTGTCAATATCACTTGCCCCTGTGGTGGGCTAGTCTCTGGTTTTGTCATGATTTAGCATTTTCATAGACTGGGTTGTGTATCAGATTTTTGGAATTTTATTTATGTATTTCGTAGAATGAAAATGATGAGATCCGTAACAAGCTCCAGGAAAAAGTTACAGAGATGGAGAACTTTGCCGGACATTTGGAGGAAATCTTTCTCACTGTGGAGGTAAAATTGTGATTATTATGTGTTATATAGTTCACCTCTAATATTGCACCTTGTAACCTGAACTGAACCTGGAATAGAACAGGACTAAACCAAGTCTACATCTGGACTAAACAGCACTTAAACCAGGATCAAACCAGGACAAGTGTGAAGTATCCATAATTGGAATAACAAACTAACTGTTCTTTCAGGAGAACTTTGGCCGTCGGGAGCAGCACCTGGAGCAGCATTATAATGATGTTCTTCAGACTCTGTCTCAGAGATACGACGACAGAGCGGCCGCTCTGGAGGATGAGAAGAAGTCCAAACTGGAGGCTCTGTACAGACAGCTGTTGGACTGTGGTCGAGCGCTGGACTCCTCCAAAGAGCTGATCGAGAGTGCGCAGGAAGTGCACCGTTGTCATGACAAGAGGCTGTTTCTCAAGGTCTGTGTCTGTGATCACTGGAGAGAGTAATAAAGTGCAGGGTACAGGATCATGACTTCATGTAATCATTACTCTTTTTTTTCTTTTTATCTGTTTTGGGTGCTGTGGCAGATGGTGATGCCCACAATCAAGAGGTAAACATCTTAAAATTTCCAAATATTGAAACATCTTTTTACACCCTCTATAAACTTGCTTCCTCTTGATCAGGATAGAAGACTTTGCTAAAGAGGACATGGACCTGACCCTCTCCACGTCTCTGGAGTTCTCCACACCGCTCTCAGATCTGTCTGATGTTAAAACCATGATGGACTCCATCAACGTCGTCCCAGGTTTGACACAAACTTCACTTCTGACCTATTTCTTCAGTATAAATACATTTTATCATTCATTAACTAACACTAACGTATTTAACTTGAACTAATTAATTGAAATTAATAAGAAATTCTCCAAGAAGGAGCGACACCCCGCAAAGTTACAGGTGAAAAGGTGAGCCCACTTACAGTAAGAAAGCAGGTGGCAAACTTACTAATATAGTCATATAATTCCCCTTCAAATACACGTGAGACATGAAAATATCTAAAGGTTTTATGGTTGGTGTAATATTATAGTTGAGAAAACATAAGGCATGTGAAGAATGAGATCGTAGGAGTTAAAGTTAGTTTAAACTCCCTCTGTGATTAATCAGTTACTAAAATTCATCGGCCAGTTATATTAATCTACATCATTATTACTTTTTTGTTGTGATTTCAGCTCCGTCCGCTCCGGTCATAAACCCTCAGAGTCCAAACTCAGCCTCTCAGACATCTCTGCGTGTTTGCTGGAGCCTGTTTTCAGACGACACAGTGGAGTATTATGAGCTCTACTACCGCCCTGTCTTGGAGGACTGCCCCTCCAACGACTCCTCTGCCCCCCCAGGTAACACTCACCCATATTTACCTCATCTCCATCATGCTTTTAACTGTATGTTCTGTTTTTGTTATTTACCCCATGTTTAAATGTTGTTCCCGCATCATTTGGATAACTGAGAAACCCTGCATTGTCTTGCATTTGAGGCTTTAGTGCTCTGAAAATGTACATTTTGACTTACCCCCTATCCCCTCCAGAGCTCTGTACTTACTTGCAAAGATTCAAAAGCTTCAGACTCCGGGTCTTATATGTAGAATTAAAAATGGTCACATTATTCTAAAACAACAACCCATGTAATGTTTTTTTCTTTTTTTTTCCTTTTACTTTTTATTGTATTGCCATTATAATGTATGCATTAAAGGGTTGGGGCTTCCTCATATATATATTTTGAGGACTTTTTCCCATTCAAAAGATGTAATATTGTGTTTTGAATTGTTAATTGCTTTGGTAATGGCATAGGTCCTTTTTTTTACCCATGGATAGATATTTAATATGTTTATTTTATAATATATGCAATTTTTGGTATTTTACTTATATATTTTGACCATATCTGTGTTGTTTTTGCAGTGAATAAAGTGAAAGTGAAGGAGACTCACTGCACTGTGTCAGAGCTGCTGCCAAACGCTCAATACGAACTCTGGGTCACGGCCACCAACACGACCGGAATCAGCCCGGCCAGCGAGAAAGCCCTCTACATGACCGGTAATGACTAAATACTGAGACTAAACTAGGATTTGGCATGTTAAAATACACATTATACACATTACACATTATATTTTAAAGGTTCGCTGTGTGACTTTTCTGATGTAGGGTTTGCCGCCTGCTTGTCTTCATAGAAATTATTGTTTTGCCTTGGATGTTCCACTGTAAGGCATTTTATTAAATTACAAGTGTTTTAATTGCTAAAAAAATACCTTGAAAATTGGGCTGTGAGCAGGCCGTCTCTCCACAGATCTGACTTGTAACTTGCTTGATCGTGCCATGTCACACTGTGGAAGATTCAGGTAAAGCAATAATATCTCCATGGAGACAAAGAGGTACCAGAAAAGTTACAAAATGCACCTGTAAGTAGTACAATGTGCCACAAAATATTATCTTAAGACAGTGGAAATCTAATAATCACAATTTTCTAATGTGCTGGGTACCTCACAAAAGCCAGTTATTATTAGTGCTAATTCTTACTGGTCTGCAGCCTTAGAAATTAAATCAAAATCAAAATGATTTGGCTGCTACAAATTATACATACCGGTATTTTTTTCCAATTCTCTCCATTTAGAAGATTTTCTTAAAATTAAAATTTAACAAAACAAAAACACACAAACACTTTTACAAAGAGTTGCCCTTTTCTCCTTTGATCATTCATGTTTCAATTATAATTTCTTTTCATGCTCTTTTATAATCAGAATTACAAGAACTATACTTTCTACTTTAAAAAAATTTGTCATTTTCAAACAGCAATTATTCAGTGTATTTCTTGCCATTTTTTTTAAGCATTCAGAAGACATATTGTGCTTGTGTCTGCTATATAATAGTAATCTATGACACCTATAAATCATTATGTTATAATTTGGACATTTTAAATCTTAATATTTATCTAAAACAACTTAATAAAAGAAACAAGTCAGCTCATTTTCACATTAGAAAACTGTGGTGCCCAATGGGAGCTGACGTTGCCGTAAATGTCATCGTAACAAAGAGATGATTCCTATGTGACGATGCCGAACCCTACATGTATCACGGATTAAGAGAATAAAATTGGAGCTGAAAATAAGTGATAAACTCAAACATGCATGAATCACTCCAAATACAGCTTGGGCGAGTAAATGCTAAATGGTGAGGGGAAACAACTATAACATGGTAAAAAGCTCTAAAAAGTCCAATATTTTGTTTGCTAAATGAAATATCATATGCAAAGTCATGTTTTGTTTTGTCGGACAGTAACAGTATAAACCCGTCTCCCACAGTGCCCTGTCCTCCCGTCCTGAACCAGAGGGGGTACCTGAGCTGCCCCGAAGCCGCTCTGATCCGCTGGGAGTCAGGCAACACAAACCCGGTCGACTCGTACACCGTGGAGATCAGAGAACTGACCAGAGACGGATTGGAGAGTGACGTCAAAGAGTAAGATTAAAGATGCACTATGGAACTTGTCTCCTGCTTGTCTCCGTGGAGATGGTATTGGTTTGCCTGGAAGTAACGTAAAGCCTCAGTAAACTTATTTATCTCCATGAAGACAAGCAGATGACACCACTACGACAAGTCACAGGTCAGATCTGTGGAGAAGCAAGAACCCTCTCAGGAAAACAATTCATGTTTTTCAAGATATTTTTCTGCAATATGTTTTTACAGTGCAGTATCAAGACATTTACTTTCAAATTTTAGAAAAGTTTATAATGGACTGAGATATTACTGCCCATCCCAGATAAAAATAAATGCTATTTAGATACAGTAATTTGTCATAAAGATGGATTATATGACATACACTAAAAAGTTTTAGAACACCCTAATTTTTCCAGTTATTTATTGTATTTCAAGTCGTGCAAGTCCAATAAATAACTTGAAATGGTAGAAAGGTAAGAACTGAACAGCCAAAGGTTAAAAAAATATATATAAAAGAACAAAACACAAGTCCAAGCTCTGCCAAAACTACCTCAGGAAAAAAGAACAAGATGTTAAAACTTGAAAACATGGAGTGTCCAGCACAGTCTCCAGACTTAAATCCCATCAAGCTGGTTTGGGATGAACTGGACAGAAGAGTGAAAGCCAAGAAACCTACAAGTGCCACACATTTATGGGAACTTCTGCCCAGTCAGAACTTTCTGAAGAATATTTGATTTCTATTGCAAAAAAAAAATGCCATGAGTGTGTTCAGCTGTTATATCTGCCAAAGGTTGACACTTTCATGAATCAAAAGTTTAGAATATGTTTTGGTCAACTGTAAACAGTAAAAAACTGGAAAAATTGTGGTGCTCTAAAAACTTTTGATCATATAATGGGAAAGGGTAAATAAAAATAATAATTAATCACTATTTCACTATTTTTCCTGTAGTTTAGGATGTTTGTTGTGGATGCAGCTATTGGTTTAAAGACTCTAGGTATGGTGTCACACTCTTGGATAGGGGCAAGAGCCAGTATTTCCTAGTCTTAATTCACCAGAGCCAGTAACAAAGTATCTGGCGAGGGCTATTGTTCTTCATCGGTTTCTTACAGTCTTTTATTATTATTTTTCCTTGCAAATGATCGCGATCGATTTTGAGGGCCTGAACGTCGACGAAAAGTCCCTGGGTATCAGATCGACCAGTCCGGCCAAAAATTTGATAAAATGGGTGTCGCAACAGTGCCCAAAGTGACCCCAGTCAGCAGCGCCCCCTGGAAATTGCAAAAATTTAAACTATATGAACAGTCGAAAACCAAATTTTGACGCAGGCAAACGAAATTCGGGACAGGGCTAGAGATCAGTGAGACAAGCCCAAAGATGAATTGGAGCATGCCTCTATGACGAATAAGACGATGGCCGTATTGGATTAAAAATTTGCCGCCGTTTTAACTTGCGTGTCCTTAAAAAGATTCAAGTCCCTGGTGTTTGGTCCAAATGAGCTCAGATTTGCTATGTCACATCTACAGATTTGATATGTCACATTTACTCCTTAGCACGCCAGCGAAAAAACATGTTAATTTCCTGTTTGTTTGGTGACCTCTCATGGCCACAGGTATTTGGCCTAGAGAGCTCAAATTCAAATCACAATTGCAGCACAACTGAGCATTTTTCCTGGTTGGCCAGCAGGGGCACAATGACTCCTGAAAAACATTTGCATTATTTGCATTCTCAAACAGGTGCATTATGTAATTTGTCTGGTGGATGAGCTGTCAGCCTGGGCAGCTGTCAGGAAGTGAGGGTGGCATGTCGCATCCGTCACGAGTGCCCAGCGGTTGTGGCTTTAATTACCCTGTATTTTGCCATGAAATATACAAAAAGTAAATTTATAAATGTTGAACCTGATCATTTCTATTAGCCACTAGACTGAAGCAAATTTAAACAAAAAATCTGTATTTTAACTATATTATTTTTAGTTGTCCTCCCCTGTATTAAATAATATTGGACTGTAGAATGATGTCTTCTGAAACACACCAACAACAATAACTGTCAAAAAATATTTAAAAACAACAAACTGTGAAACTTCAAATTTGGAGAAAGTTTTAAATAATACTCAGTCTCTTTGTGTGCCTATAGGGAAGCACTGTACTGTATTCATGTTTATTATTGCCTCACTTTGTTTTGGTTTAAACTCTGAACATGAGTTTGTTGGGGCTCTAACCGTTACAGAGCTGCTGATTCAAGACACTTTGTCCCAGAAAATCTATATTTAGCCTCAGCTCCCGCGGCAATGCTCAACACAGCAGCCAATACTGTCCTTGTCACTGGGAATTAGGGTGAGGAAATCTGGGCTCATTAGTCTGAGGTGGTCTGCAATAAGTGATCTTCATTTATTTATATTGTCAAGGGTTGTGCAAAGGTTAAGACACGCATAATAAAAAAGTAGAAAGAACACAGGTGCTCAGTAGATCTACCAGTCATTAATTAAAATAAGGCCTAGTTCCATTCAGATTCAGTCTATGTGTCATTCTGTAACTGTTTAGTCCTCTGAAGGTACTTAAAGGAGCTGCAATCAAAGTCTCTGCAACATACAGGCTATTTCGCAATTCATAGGTATAAGTACTGAATCAATACTTAAAATAGCGATATCGTATATTTTAATTTGATGATAATTTTTTTTTTTTTGTATATTTTGCTAAATTATTTTGGGAAAGACCTACAATTGTGTTGCTTGTTTGGACAAAGTGAACTTGTTTATGCAATACATTTCCCATTTTCATTATTTTGATGAGTAAAAGGGGTGTTTTTCATGTTAACATTGTACAAACTTTGTGGTTTAATCAAGATTTTTAGTATCACAGCCATGATTTAGTCTGTTTTTTACTGAACTGTATTGAATTAGTTTGAACTATATCATATCAAATTATATTAAATCGCTGTATCAAAAAACATATTGTCATATCAGCAGCTTCTTAATGATACCCACTCGTAATCAGTAGTATAACTCTTTCCTAGTCTAATGAGGTTCATTTGGTCTTCTGATAATTTATGTTATTAGGTTATTTTTTCAGATCAAGAGTTTGTTTTTTTTTACTGCTCACTAACAGTCTTCCTCAGAGTGGTCACGTGATGTTGCTGTGACGTATCCGGTCAACTGATTTAAACAGGTTTTGGAGCCGTATTCCTACCTTCGAAGCAGGATGACAGCACCATCTGTAGTCTGACTTCCTCAGGATAATATCCCAGGTGTGTGAGAGTAAAAAGGCCCCCTCGTCCTGGTTTATGGTCCCATCCTGCCTCCACTGGTAGGAAGACAGTGCCGAAACCTGTATAAATCAGATAACTGGACCTGTCACAGCAACATCGCGTGACCATTCTGAAGAAGATCGTTAGTGAGTAGTCAAAACTGTCAGGTATGAAAACAAACTCTTGGTTTGAAAAAAAAAACTACTAAGATAACTCTTTCCTGTTGTGGATGTCATGTTGAGGACTTTTAACATAGACCCACAGTATATTTAGTTTAGGGTTAGGGTTTACAGCACTGACTCTAACTTCCTTATGATTTTTCTCACTTAAAGGTGCATTATGTAACTTTTTGGTTACCATCCGTTGACTGCTTTGTTATTGCTTTGTTTAGAGTGTTCCACGTTTTCTGTATGTTTTTGAGCAGATTGCAAACCCGTTCATCATAAAAGTTACATAGTGCCTCTTTATAGTTGCCCAAACTTTATGTATTGTATTTGTGTTTGTATTACCACTCATCTCTCCTGCCTTTGCTCTGGTGGTCCTGCAGGTCCATCGTGGCCGTCCCCTCCTGTCAGTGTCTGGTGCAGCTGCAGCCGGGACAGTCGTACGTGATCTCAGTCCGAGCTGTGAACATCGGGGGTCCCAGTGAGAGGAGCCGGGGTCTCACTGTCCACACCACAGGTCAGACCCCTGACATTACACACAGTTAGAAGTGAATCAGCTCAAGATTTGTGACTTGTAAGATTGTTTCAAATAAATGATTGTATTGTATTTTTTATTTGTGAAAGGGCAAAGCTTGTTAAAGGTGCACTATGTAACTTTTATTGTTCAGACATACCTAAAAATACATGCATTCTTATATTTTTACTCTTCAGTATAGATTATAAGATGATTGTGGTTCTTGCTTAACCCTTTTATTTGATCCTCTTGTGTGCAGGTACTTACTTCAGTCTGTTGGAGGAGTCGTCCCATCAGTGCCTATGCTTCTCTGAGGACATGCTCACCATCACTTATGGGTATGAGGACCCGCCCATCAGCGCCATGGCCTTCGATGACACAGGATTTACCAGGTAATTATTACCTCCGCCAAGGAGGTTATGTTTTTGCCGGCGTTTGTCTGTTTGTTTGTCTGTTTGTTTGTTTGTCTGTTAGCAACATAACTCAAAAAGTTATGTACCGATTTTGATGAAATCTTCAGGATTTGTTGGAAATGTGAAAAGGAAGAACTGATTTCATTTTGGGGATGATCTGGAAGAAATCCTGGATTCTGGATCACTTTGAAATTTTAGTTAACATTGTGGTAAATGGGGCCAAAAAATTTGTTTCTCAATATCTCGGTTAATTATTGACCAAACCCCATGAAATTTGACTCAGGGATGGACAATGGGATCCTCTTTCATATTCCAAAGGCTGATCCGGATCTGATCCAGAAGACTGATTTTATCGCAATTTATATAAAAAATGGGGGGGTAGTCCTTGGCGGAGGTCTGCGCTCTCTGAGTGCTTTTCTAGTTTACTATATTATGTATGAACTGTTTATTTGTAACTTATGTAACTATACCAATACATTGTTTAGAATATTTTTTTACAGGTTGTTTGAGCAAGCCATTCGAGTCATTCGAGAAGTCCTCTTTCTTTTTCAAGTCCAGATACATGCACTTACATACATCCTTGTGCCCTCTGCTGGCAACAGTGGTGTTTTTACTTGTTTTTATAGCTATAGCCTCAAATTATTTAGGTGTAGATATTGTGTTCAAAAGTATTTTCAAAAGCCTAAACAAATAATACTGGACTTTGTACTTGTTCTCCTCTTCTGGCCTCAGGTGTGTGGCGGTTCTGGGGGACCTGATCCCGGTCCGAGGGCTTCATTACTGGGAAGTGGAGGTGGATGATGAGACGGAGTACAGAGTGGGCGTGGCCTGTGAAGACACAGACAGGAACTCTTATCTAGGCGCCAACAGCACGTCCTGGTGCATGAGACACATCCTCACCCCAACACGGTAAAGCTTTCATATTTGTACCTATATTTACAGATATATATTTATACTGATTATGCACAAATTATTATTGATCTTAAGGGTCTATCATTGTCATTACCATATAATAAATAAAAAAATAAATAAAAATATGCAATTGGACAGGAGTGGAAAGAGTACTGTGAGTAAAAAGTATAGTTAAATGGTTAAAAATGTACTCAATTAAACAAATATTCTGCTAAAACTGTACTTCACGTTCTAGTTACTATTTAATTTTGAACCAATTTTGAACCATTATTTTAAATCAGTATTTTAGAAACAATAACATTCCACACTTACACACAAACTGAAATTGCTTAGTTTTTTCCCATTTTGCAATTTGATATTGATATAATTGTAGTAGTATTGAAGGAGGCAACTGATATTAAAGATTGGAATTAAGAGTTAAAGCAGGATTCACGGGGCCTTTGTGAGTGTTTGGTGTAGAGTTTTGGGTTGAGAAATATTACCAATCAAATACATACAACGTAATTCTTCATCCTCTTATTTGTAGACATAAATATGAATTTCTTCACAACGGCTGGAGTCCAGACTTAAGAATCACGGTGAACCCAGTCCGGATCGGAGTGGTCCTGGATTACGACCATGGGACCCTCTCTTTCTACAACGCTGACCTCAAGCAGCACCTCCATACTTTCTACTGTCACTTCAGCAGCTTTGTGCACCCGTGTTTTGGGCTGGACAACCCCGGCGAGCTCACCATCCACAACGGGATAGAGACCCCAAAGTTCACCTTCATCTGAGAGGACTGTTAATGCTACTGATCTACAGGACATCACTTAACTATGTTTTAATCATAGTGTATGGTTTTAATACATATTTGTATAGTACTTTCAATGACACTCAGATACATTTTATTTAAGCAAAATGTCAATAGTTTCTAGAAGCGTTTACGTCAGATATCTGGCCTCATACTGAATCAGTGCAATCAGAATTACAAATAAATTATGTCTTGTCCCAGATAAGACTTCAGATCCAGGCTGATGGTGGATCTGCATTTGGTGTTGGAACGCTTTAACGAATGACACTGGATGATCTTAAGCTGAATTTGAAAAACACAAGATAAAAGAATTTGTAATAAAAATTATTTTAAAACTATGGTCTGCCCTGTTCATTTCACTGTCAAGTAGGAAGTCATTTATAAACATATTGAGCCACACAACACATTGACGATACTGAATGGAGACGACACTTAGTGAGGATGTTTATATAAACCTGTTGTGCATCTGTTCCATACACACATTATATTATCATAGTGTTAATGACAGTTACATAAAGACCAAGACAAAGCACTTCTTTCATATATTTTATTATTCCATGGGAACAGACGTACCGTTTTCCAAGATTAGAAAAAGTATTCAGTTTACACAGTTTTTCTTTTGTTTTGAGGAAAAAAACGCTACAGCTAAGCTTCCAATTGAGCCAAGAGGTCAGGCAAGCACAGAGTTTGGGGGAAAGAATTAAATTTTGCTAAACTGAGATACAATCTTTAACATCAGAGTAAGAAGCAAACTGGCTGTATAATTTGAGTTTTAAAAAAAAAGTCAGTTTGAAAATATTTTTTTCTTACACAAAGGTTCAAATCACCTTTAAACAATTTACACTGTTCAGTTTGAAATCCAAGCTGCGGCATTGTGTCCTGCTGGCTTTTGATACTGATTTATACAAAAATAACATTCAAAAACAGACTGTAAAAGTTGTAAGAATGTTGGTTGGTAGAAGCACCGTAACAAGAATTGTAACTTTTTATTCTAAGTTCAAGCAATTAACCAGTTTAATTTTTGCTGCATGTAAGGAAAAATACTATATTAAAACAGTTGGAGATTTTTTAAAAAGTCAAATTATTCTTCAAATTACTTACCAGTCTAACTTGCACAACTAACTGTACAAGCCACATCTGTACCCTAAGAAATACTGCAATAATTTGGTCATTTGTTGTCATGTTTAAACATTGTATTGTACAAAGATTGATTCCTCCTTTTGTTTAACTGTGTTCAGAAGACTATAGTGAAGATTAAGTCTGTACTGGGAGGGTCACGTCTTGTTGCTATGAGTCTTCTCCTCCTCTTCATCGGAGGAGTCGCCTCCATAGGGCACCAAACCAGATGCATCCACGGACACTTTTGCTTTCTTTCTCTGGATTTCATCTTGATCACCTGTCAAAATAAGAGAACACACAAAAAGAGAAAGACAAGAGAAGAGAGATGCCCATTGAAGAGGCCAAAGTTAGCAGCAGGATCAGGTTGGGTTTTCGTCACAGCCATCCGCAAACACGACATCGGACCAGCACCAGGGGGCGGTAGAGAGGTCCCAGGACACATGTGAAGAGAGAGAACAGAGGAGACAAAAAAAGAACATATACAAGAGCAGAGCGTTAGTAAGTTATGGTGATTCAAGGGGGTTTAAACAGGTCTCCACTGCCACCATGAGGACGGAGGCAATAATTTGGATCAATACGACTCCAGAGACAGGGATATTAATAGTTGGGGATGAAAGAAAAATCTAAATGTTGCATACCCGATGGAGCAGGGGAGGGCTTAGCAGCTGTAGGGGGTTGGGGGTCTCTTGTTCGTTTGCGTTGAGCAGCTGGAGGAGGGGGGCCGGGGCGGTGAACACAGGAGGAGGTGGAGGAGGCATCAGAAGACTGTAAAACATGTCAAAACTGGTAAATAATCTGGTCATATAGTTTAAAGGGCCATTATTACACTATTTTCTGATCTATGTTATAATGTTGTTTCCTCATTTAAAACATCCCTGAGTTATTCTCTCAATACAGAAACCACTCCACCTTGTGATGTCATGTGGTACTACAGGAAGTGCTCCACTGTGTTTTTAAATCTCCATACATCTTCATTGAATGATTTCAGCCCCAGTTTCTACAGAACTAAAACGGTAAAGGTAGCTGTTAACATGAAAACTACCACTACATGACATCACAAGGTGGAATAGAGCATTTTGAGCTTTGGAGATGTAGACAGACTAATAATAAAGGGTTACTCAAAGCGTGTGGATGAAACAAACCACCCTTTTGATAAGGTAACAACATTATAACATGGCTATAAATTCGAGAGAATCATTTTTCCCAAATGTGGGTCAAAAATTACTTTTCCTATTAATTACATTGTCCTTTGAAACATTGAAGAATCTAAAAAGGTTTACCCTAATCATTTGTATTAGTGACTGGCTCCTAGAATCCATTGAACTACAACAAAATTCACTGTACTTAAAGCATTCCCTCCCATTTGTGTTTAATTTTGGCATGTAGAAGTTGTGATGTCACCTGAAACCAATAAAGACTCAAACAAATGTCAATCACACACAAATAAGACGATGCCACAGAATGCTCAAAAGGAGTAAGCAGAAGTACAGATATTTATAATGGGAGATTAACCTTTATCTCCATAAATTAAACAGCTGTTTATTCAACATTACGTAACCTGAGTGAATATAGATAGGCTGATACTAAGCAGCATCACACTGGGAATAATACGTCTTGTTACTGACCGTTCTACGACTTTTTCCCCCACTGGTTTGGAGACAGGAGCAGGTCGCTCAGGGGACTTGGTGACAGGCTGTGGAAACAAAGAAACTGGGTGTAAATAAAGGAGCCTGTTACTGTTATTGCTGTTGCTTGGGAATTTTCACAGTATGGCATTAAAGTTGTCTATCTAAATGGGGACAAGCAGGCAACAGCACCAGGCAACGTTACATAGCACAAAGTTGAATCTATAAATGGTCACATTTTTCTATAACTATAAAGGTTGGGGAAAAACAGAAGGGCTATCCACTCAATGAAATAAAATTACAAAATTATGCATCAAAAACTTGTGATAATTGTTTCTTTTATTTGACCCAGATAGTGAACTTTCAGTCTCTTTGCTCATCTCTTTTTCTATGTCAAGAGTTCAGCACCCCACCTATTCCTACAAAGGTTGATTCAGTATTACCACATCAGTGAAAAATTATAATACTACAGTGTCCCTCTGACCTGCTCGGCCTTTGGAGCCTGGGGGAGCTGTTTGGGACTTCCTGTGTCTGCGGCGTTCACAGATCCTTCAGCCTCCACTTTCTCTGCGACACCAGGAGCCTAAACAACAAAAGCAAACACAAACAAACAGACATTCAGGACAGGTATGGGCAATTAGACTCTCATTTTGACGATAAAGTAACAGCCAAGATAAAAAAGGCTTTCAGAGGCTACAGGTTATGCAAGTCTTAAATCAATTTGTGGACATGCATCTTTACAGGTTTAGTACAGGGCTGATCAGAAGCAAGCAAGTTTGTTACCAATCATTTTTGGGGTCAATATTTATTGTGGGTACTTTTCTTTGCACTAATGAGAACTTTTTTTTGCAATACAATAAGATTTGAGTTGTAAAGGATTGAATTTGATAACTTCTATGATTTAATATAGATACAAACTCAGTACTAAAGTAACAATTTAGGCTCAGCATGTCAGTGGTATAAATAAGTTTCAACAGTATCGTTTATAGTCTATATTTACATCAACAATATACTTGTACTAATTTGATGTAACCTGACGTGTATAGCCTTTAAGTGGATATGTGTTAAATCCAGTTTATATGAATTCCAAACTAATCAATTTTCATTAGAAATAAACAAATACTGCAAACTGTTAAAGTGACTTGTGCGTGGCCGTTACCTGGGCGACGTAGGGCTGAGGTGGTCTGGGGCACATCGGATACTGAACCATAGCCTGAGGAGACGGAGGGGTGGTCGACAGGTTAGATTGACTTGGGGCAGCGTTGGTATTGCTCCAGTAGCCCACTGGGTACGCTGCCGGGTAGGCGCCCGCATACCCATTGGCTGGGTAATTATACCAAGATCCCTGGTTAGAGTAAGTGCTATTAGGAGGATATCCATGACTTGCAAATGCTGAAAGGAAATGGAAGCTCGAGTTAATATCTAGATCTTGAGTATGTACTGGCTGGTCTTTTTACAACTGATCGTATTGATACAGTTAAAAATATGAAAGTGCCATTTAGAAATATAAAAGATGAGACATGAAAGTTTTTAACTGTAATAAAAAACAGTTTTTGGACAGTACACAATTTTCACTTACCTCCACTATAGTAATTTGGGGCAAATCATTTCTATGGCAAATGGTTAAATTGTTTAAAATATTAGAAATTATGTCAAAATCACAATCTGTTTTAATAAGCTGCACATTTTTTAAATGTTGATATTTAAACCCCAATAAAAAAGATAAAATACCAAAGCCTCCCCCCAGCGTAGCAGACTCATAAATCACCCGACTGAAGTATGCACGTACCATATGATGTGAGCGTACTGAAACCAATTATCTATTGTCACATATATGTTCAGTTAAGACATAAACAAGGACATAAACCATGACTCACTTGGGGCTGGGACTGGGAACGCTGCCGTCACTCGGGCGTGTTCTCTCACCTAAAAAAACAAAACAATTACTGAGGAGCTAAAGCCAAATTCAATATTGACACGACTTATTTCATAGATTAATTATACAAAGGGACTTGTGGGTAAGAGCAGAGCACTTTAACCCAGGTCTAGAGTGGTTTAATCTTTCCCATTTATTTTTGGAGGCGGGTATCAGTGAAAGCTACACAGCTCTTTAGCTTCACCTTAACCACTTCACCAACTTAATATTTTGTCTCATAGCATTTGACATTTTTTGTTTAAAAGGTCCTATATTATGCAAAATTGACTTGTGAGCTTTAAGCCATGTTAAAATATTGTCACCTCCTCAAAAACATACGGAGTTGTGCTTCATTCACACATTTGAGTAACCCTGCATTATTAGGCCGTCTCCTTCAGGTGTGTTTTAGATGAGGAAACAACATTACAACACAAATTAGAATAGTGTAATAGTGTAAGGTACTAATTGACTTACTGTCCCCAGCAGGTTTTCTGTGAGCCTCTTTGCTGCCTCCAGTCCTTCTGCATTTGGATGACTAAACACACAAAAGGATGATTAAATATTGAGCAACTTAGAAAGTGAGAGAGAGATTTGACTGATTTGTGTATTTTTGGCCCAGAGTTAAACATTTAAAAAGCTTTTTTAAAGTGGAAGCAAGTGGTAAACAATTTAAGGTCTTCTGTACAATTGTTTCAAAGGTCCACCTCTTTAACAAATATACAAAAATGTCATAATATTTGTTCAGATTTTCTGTTTATAAACATGGCCATATCTCCGAGTTCATACTAGCCATTTTGGATTTCAAACGTATTTTCTAATGAAGAAAAAAAAAAACATACCTGATGTAGACATAAAGAGGTTCGAATGACTCCCGTTTTGAAGCCTGTTCGATGTATCCAGACCCCTTTCCTCTGAGGAAAACTCTTGCCCCTGTCTCGTTCTGAATGTGGCCCAGATACGCCCCCGAGGGTCCCTCCACTTTCTCCTTGACATTAAACGAAGGCAGCGCGTGGTCCAGACCTACAAATATTTTTGTGTGCACAAAACTCTGAAAAATAGGAGGCAGTGGAAATGTTTAGTTTTTGTTATGAGACTTATTTCACGGACAGTGGGATTCAAATTTTAAGTGTGAATACGTTTTGTAAGCAGACACAGTTATCTCTGGATCATTTCTCAAAAACCAAAGATGTCCTCTCTGCTGTTTACTCTAGGAGGTGGGTATCAGTGAAGCAACATGGTCTTTTCACACTTCACTTTCTTAACCTCCAACTGTTTATTAATAATTGCATGAAGTGGATTTTTCTTTCCCTGGAATTTGAAGCTGGGATACCAGAATTTATTCAGGATAAAAAAAAAATCTGAAGGGAAAAAAAAAAAAAAAAGTGTAGTGGGGGAGGGGGAGTTAAGATTGTGTTAGCGTTTTATTGTTGTAATTGTGTGAATGTCATTTATTCCCACATACAGCAATGCATATCTCTATATATAATGCTTTGGGATGACAGTGGGTTGGCTGTGCAATGGTCTAAAAAATCTGTTCTAAAGCCAATGCCCAAAAATGCTTAAATTTAAATACCTACTTCATGGTTTAAAAATCAGGTACCCCGTCTTTAATAATCTCATAACTAAATCCATATGGGCATATGGCTAAAATCAACAGTATATTCTCCACAGATTGTTCTTACTTACCCCTGTGTGAGGCGCTGCAGGCCGATGTCCCATGACTGGCACAGGGACAGTTGCCGGGGAAACGACGGAGCGTGGAGGCTGAGGGTACAGAGTCAAAGGAGGCACCACAGGAGGAGGCACCCCCGACGCTGCTGACGCCCTCAACACATCCTCTGAAATTATCTCCTTTATTTTCATCACCGCTTCTACAGAGCCACAGAGAAGGGCACATGAGCTACTGTAGGTGTTTTTCATGGTTAAAAAAGGGGGTATTTCACTTCTATGACGTATTAACATGTTTTACAGGTTTCACTTCCTTTTTTTTACGCTCTGAGCCTCCACTCCCTTTTGCCCTCATTTTCCCTTCAAAGTGTTATCACAACACACTCAGCGGGCATCTCCATAATGAAACTACTTCACATCACATCAGGTTCGTCAAGTTGTTGTGCACAGTTTGGATCATGCTTTTACAGATTTATGAAAAATTGTGGACTGAGCACGGTACAAAACTAACAACCAACCGTAAGGAAGGTTTGAATAAGGAGATCACTAAAACACTGAAAAATGCACGGATGACATCCAAACCCTCTTCCGGCATGTTTTTGATGAGAAACAATGTTATAAACATCTTTAAATAGTATGAAGTCACTTACTGTTGACTTGCTCCTGCGTCTTCCCTTGGACTTGTAAATACAGAGGTCTTTGTCTGAAAACAAATATAAACTTGAGTAAAATAGGGCATCAAAATAAATAGAAAAAAATGCATATAAATTCAAACAATCATTTGTACCCTGCCACTTTGCCCTTCTCAGCATCTGTCATGTAGTGCCCTTTGGTTGTGACAACGGCCCCACTAAACTGTCGAATCTGCAAAGACAAAGGCAGGCTTAAAAGAAACTGTTCATCATCAAGTGAACAAGATAAAGTAAAAGAAAACATACCTCCTCTTGGGTTTTGCCTTTGGTCAGAAGGTCTCTGCTGTTTATAGGCACGTCATTGATGTCAACCTCTGTGACCACCATTTCTTCAACAACAGGCACTGGGGCAACTGGGGGCTTCTGAAATAAACCATAAGAACATATGAGCACATCAATACTGACTACAAATAATGTATATTAAATAGAATACATAACATTTAGTTTCAGAGCAGTTTCATTATGGTTAGCCCCTCCCCTTCAGGCAGTGTCCACCAGCATTTTGACCAAAACTGAAGAATCAGCTTGACTGAGCTGCGAAATGTATTTGACCACAAATAAACTTTTGTCCAGATGACCAATTGATTTTCTCCTTTTGCTACATTTTCTTTACTTTTAATATTCATAAAGCTTGATTATATGAAGCCAGTAATATGAATAATTTATCTGTTTTTTGTCTTCTCTTTATTATTGAAAGAGTAAACTTTAATATTGTGACATATTTTGGGAGCGACAGTAGCTCAGTTGTAGAGCGTCTGTCCACTGATCAAAAGGTTGGCGCTTCGAATCCTGCACTCACTGAGATTTGTGTAATTGGGTAAGACACTTAACCCTCCTTGTCCTGGTGTGTGAATGCATGTGTGTATGAATGGGTGAGAGGTTCCTTGTTGTAAAGCGCTTTAAGTGCCTTGAAGGTGGAAAACGCTATATAAAAATGTCATGTGAAATTGTAAATGTCACATCTCTATGAATAACTCAATCATAATAGAAGCACCTTGGCTAATAAGGGAGGCGGGGTCATGAGTTTTCCTTTTGCCATCAACATCGCGTTTATTTTAGCGGCCATGGCAGCTGCCTTCTCCACTCCCCCCGCGGACACGGCTCCATCTCCGGTCTGTGGGGACGGGGACACTGCGCTGTTTGAAGGGGCATTCGTGATACTCTGCGCAGGTTTGTCCCACCGACTGTTTAGGCATCTGGAACAACAAAAACACAACACTACACGTTATTATTCATCAAAATAATTATAATAACGTGTAAAATAAAATAAGTATGCATTTGTAAACAGATGAAGTAACCCAAGGCTCTTTCTTTTCGACCAAAGGTGTTCTTTCTGCTCTTTGATGTAGGAGGTGGGTATCGGCGAAACAACATGGTCTTATTTTGTTTCACTTTCTTAACCTCCATTTATCTTTTTTTTTATCAGTTCATCCAAGCAAGATAAAGAGTTATATAACCCGGCGTGGTTAATTATTAGGTGTGACCACTGTTTATTTTGTTTGGCGACAGTAAATTACACAGATCACACTAATTGACCTGTAGCGTGAGCAGGTTAGCGCGATGGGCTAACGCAGATAGCATGTTATCTTGAAGTTTGGGCCACGTTTTATTGCGTTAATTGTTCACAAATACTACAGAGTTACACGTTTAGGTGCCTCACTGTCCAATGTGGGTCTCGACTCTGTGTTTTATCAGTCAATACAAAAGCTACAAAGCGAAGCTGTGCGGCTAAGTTAGCATTTAAAGCTAAGCTAAATAGCATTGCACATAGCACAGTCGATGGTTAGCCTTTTATTTCAAAGCCCATAACTACAAAAGAAAACTACTCACGGCGTTTGGCCCGTCATCCCCCAAGACATAGCACCACACCACGAAAACTGTATGAATAATTTTGTTTAAGAGCTTCTAGTAAAGAAATCGAGATACAAAATCCATCGATGATCTGCGGCCAGAGACCTGAGGAGCGGATGTGACGTATGAGCGTATTTGTGTTACGTAACCAGGGCCTTATCATAGATCTATCATGATTTTTTTTTTTTTTCAATTAATCAATAAAACGCATTTGATAAGTCAAAAACTATTTTAACTGGAGTCTCTAGGAAATAAAACATATTTCCCTTAGCTTGAAATGCAGACTGTTATTTTTTTTGAAGACTCATCAGAGTAGCTACACTGTTTATATCATCTTTGTGTATAATATATTGTTGTTGTTTTTTTTCTTTTTATTAGATGTTTTGAAATAATATTTAATAAACACCTACAGTCTTGCATCTACTCATAGTGTTTATAATGCTAAAAAAGTAACCTAAAAACATTCGTTCCTTTTATGGGTGATCTGGTTTCCACGGTGATACCCTTCAAGACCCTGCTTGAGTAAAGTTACACATGCACCATATATTTAACCTAGAATTTAATTGGTTTAGTATGATAGGCCAAAAGACTTTTAGTAGGATACTAAAGAAACAATTTACAGATTTTTAGTTGTATTGATAGTGAGACAATATTCTGTTTCTATAGCGCAGTAAAAAATAAAAGTAAATTATCGAAAAGTGAAAATGCAGATAGGCTTAGAGAATGTGCAGATATTGACTGTGAAGTGCTTGCCTGTATAGAGTGACTTAAAGGTCCTGTGATGGTGTGTTACTTGTGGTTATTCTTGGTCTCTTATTTATGTTCAGTGGTGGATGCTGTCTGTATGAGCTTATATTACTCTGACGTCTTCTCTGTGCTAAAGCATGTGATCTCCTACCCCAAGACAAATGGGAGACAATAAACGATTATCTTATCTTATCTATATAGTCTGTACAATTTAGATATTTATTTATAAAATGTCCAGACTCAGTTGTAACTACAGCCTTATGTTATTCCGTGAGGCAGTGTGCTTACTTTGTGGAGAGAAATATGGGCAACTGACACTTGACATAAACCTAGTAGAAGAAACTTTACTTAAATTCAAACGTGTATCTACTGCAATGAAATGTAGGGTCAAAGATTTCAAACACAAATAACAACAGACATATAATTGACATTATTTTATTCTTCATTGAATAGTTTCTATTTTTTCCGTGCCTTCAGACCAAGATGTGAATCAGAAGAAGGAACAAACAGATCCCCTGATTGTGTGTATACAGTTCTGTCTTAGGAGAGAAATAAAGATATAACTATGGTCTTTTCATTTACCACCATTTGCTTAGCTGTAATGGCATTTATATACTGTTTAAAGAGGAAATAATCTTAATAAGCAACAATCTTTAACATATATTAGTATCCTAATCTGAAACCAACCTCCAACTCCAACAAAAAGCTGCTCCCTGGCTCTGTGCATAAAGATATTGGCCCAAAAACTGAACTGATTGAACTTATCAAAAGGAGGCCTCAATAACAGTGATAGACAACATCTGAAATCCTCTTTCTTTACCATACTGCTTTCTGAATACCAGAGTATCCAGATCGCTATAATGGTTGATCTCACTCTGCTGCAAATCCAGTGTAAAATTCATTGCCTATATAAAAATAGTGAGATTTACTTGATCATAACCTTTGGACTAATAAAAACTCCAGATGTCCTTTGCGGTTGCACAGTGGGATGTAGTGTATAAATATTGTATAAAATAAGGCAGTCTTTTCAGTAGGATAAACCAGATACAAAAATTTCTGGGAGAAAAAAATTTCAAGTCCAAAATGTTTTTTTTCTTCACATATATTTTTTCTTCTTCCTCCTGTTGTTGTTCAAATGTTGAAGGTTCTTTGACGGTTTTAAACCAAAAAGTCATAAGGGATTGTTGCAACTATGATTACGCACCCACCCACCATTCACACACACACATACACACAAACTCCTGATTTAACAAAACAAAAAAGGAAAAAAAAAAAAACAAGAAAAAAAAACAAAAAAAAAAACAGCTTATTTCCAACACGACATCCCGTATCCTTAGGCAAATCTCTGAGACGCTTCTACTGTTACAGTGCAATAGAAAAGTGTCCATTCAAACTTTGAGTGTTTTTTGATAAGAAAAAAATAATATGGTAACACTCTGTTTCCATAATAATTTTGATTTTTTTTTCATATTTTCCATAATTAACTTTGGCTTTTCTGTCTTTTAAATTTTCAACAAAATATCTAAGAAAATTAACAAATCATCTGTAATTAGTTAACTATGATTGCATGTCTCTTAGCAGTGGCCTAAATAATATTAGCGACCCATTCAATAGAAAGAGACACGCAGCTGTTATGTGGAGTTACAGCTACGTTTTGTATGCTTCGGAAGGACCCAAAAATATTGCTAAAACAAAAAAACAAAAAAATAGAGGAGTGTTCATTTTTTCAAATCAGGGGCAGTCCGGCGTATTTTCGACCACAAGAGTTAACCTGAGTGAATTCACACCCACTCGGCATCCATCTCCCCACTGTAAACTGTTCAGCTCTAGACAAGAGAGTCCATGTGGGGGAAGAGAAGAGAGGATTTGCCCAAAACAAGGCCGATATGAAGGGACCCTCGCCCAGTCACCAGCTACGAATGCCTCTAGAAGCAGGCATATATAGTCTTATTAAGGATTCACTGTGTCCATCTTTGCACTGTCCCCATGTATTTGTCCTTCTGTATTTGCCATTTGGACGGAGATACAGTACTGCTACAAAGGCAGGAGTGTCGAGGCAAGGTGACCCAGGTTTTGGCTGGCGAGGGGCAGGGAGGGAGAGAGAAGCATGCCTCTCTCTTGCTCTTTCTCTCTTTCTCTCTCTCTCTCTCTGATGGGACAGGATCCAGAGGAGCGCTGTCTGGTTTAGAGACACCACAGACCGGTCCTACTCGGGAGGTGGTCTCAGGCTGTGGAGCTTCCTCTCGTCCAGCCCTTTCCAGTACTTGAAGTTGTTGTCCAAGTGCTGCATGAGGTTTGGGAGGTCTGCAAAAGCTGAACATTTGAAGATGGAGTTAGATTTCAGGTAGATCACTTTCTATTTGACCTAAAGAATATTTCAGTTCTATGTTCTTGATAAAAAATGAAAACAAAAAGACAGGAATTGGCAAAAAAATCATACTGGACTTAACCCTTGTGCACCCCTTTAGGAGAATCACACCTGTGGTCCTTTGTGACAAAAATGTACACCGGAAAAGAATACCACAATATTTTAATGCAGTATGGATTTTTGTCCAATTTTTTTTTATATCATATTGCATTGCATTGCATATTGCATTAATTTATTTCTGCCCTACTCATACATACCAAATACTATCAAATATTTTGAAATTTTAACCCCTTAAATGACATTTTTGACAGCAAAAGTATCAAATTACTGTATTTGCATGAAAAATGGAAAAAATTAGACTTGATTTTTTTCTATATATTTTAAGTAATTTTAATTAGTTTGTGTTGGGATTATCTCATCTAGAACACACTCATATTGTTTTAATTTCAAACATCGACGTTTCTGGCCTTCAGTGTGGACTCATATGTACAAATGTCTTTCTATTGATATAATCTTATAATGGAAGATACAGATTAAAAAGAAAAAAGACAAAAAAAAGACACAAAAAAAAGAAAAAAAAATGAATGGTTTTCAACACCAAAGAATGAAAAATAAATCATAAACTAAAAATATATTGGAAAAGTTATATTTCCAGTATATTTTGAATGGAAGTCAAAAAAGTATGTAAGGACCACAGGTGTGAGTATTTTGATTATAGACCGTACAATTAATGTGATCTTGAAAAAAAAATCTACTAAACTAAAAATACATCACAAAATACACAAACTGGCCAATTTTGGTGCTATTTGTTGCAATATAGCCAAAGTTATGCAAAAAAGAAGAGTTGAGATGTACAAAAATTTACTTAGGGGTGCAGGAGGGTTAAAGAGGAATGAGAACCAGTGTAATATTACTGTACTGTTATTTTTAATTTTAATAACAATAAGATTCCCTTGGCTGCAAAAAAATTATATTTAAGTTCACATTTACATCCTCTGCTTGACAGGAACAAACTTGGAAAAAAGTCTTATGTAATATCAGTTCTATGTACCAAGTATTCAAGAACAATGTAGTACAATGTAGTATCTTTAAAGATTAGAGAAAGATCATAACTTTTCTGGTGGGGGGTCTGCCACGTGCTCGTCTCCATGGAAATATTATTGTTTTGGCTGGAATATTCCACAGTATCACATTACACTTATCCATCTCAAAGGAGGCAGGTGATGCCACAAGGCCAAATTAAAGGTCAGATTTGTTGAGTATTTTTGAGAAAAATAACACAAAACTAAATGAATAAATGGAAGAGGTTTAAGGCTCTACTGTGGAAAATTACAGGCAAAGCATTAATATCTCCATGAAGACATGCTGGTGGCACTTTTAAAAAAATATTTCAGTACAAAATTGAAAATTATCAAATGTTTTAATCTACCATCCGTTCAATAACAAGTGTTCAAGAGTAAGTTTATCATGTGTCGATTTGTTTGCACTTCTCTCACTAATTTGCTTCCTAAAATAGTAGTGTGTAAAATTACCATCCCATGCATCGAACATGTCTGTGATGAAGTAGTCTATGAAGGAAATCTGGGACTTCGGGATGCTACAGGTGTTTCTGTCGAACACCGGCATAACCACCGGCAAACCCTGTCTCTTCTCCTCATCCGTCTGTCAAAAAAACAGAATATACTAGTTACATTAAATAACCATAGATCCTCGTTAGCTTTAAACAAATGCAATCTGTTTTTAAAGTGAGCTCTGAAGTCGCTAAAAAAAAAGAGGAAACTGTAAACATGTTCATTGTTTTCAGCTGATGGACCCGGAAGTAGGCCTGTCACGGCAACAAATTTTAAAGCCCGATATATTGGTAGAGAGATACACTGCAATAAAGGATAACATTGAAACTACTTCATGCCACTGACACAACAATAATAATCTAAAATAATCCCAGTAAAGCTTTTTTTAATAGACGTATCATTAAAGCATGGGCTGCAACCTATAATTAACTATTATTGGTCCGTAATTAGCCATAGAAGTCTACAGCTCAAATCATTTTGCATTACAACAAAAATACCTCAAATCTCTTGATATACAACATATACAAATGATAAATACTGAGCCCCAAAATACATTGTTTGAAAATACAAGTCAAAAAGTACAAAATACAAGTCGATATGGAATTTATTGTGACAGGCCTGCCCGGTAACTTTTCTGTTGGAGGGCCCCACCTACTTTTCTCCATGGTAAAATTGCCTGGAATGTTCCACAGTATGGCATTATACTTATTTATCACAATGGGGGACAGCAGGTGACACTATAGGGCCAAGTAACATGTCAGATCTGTGGTGAGGCGAGCCAACTCACAGTAAGAATGCAAGTTTTTTGGAAAATAAAATCCCATGTTATTGAGTAAATGAAAAATGGATACGTTTTATGACATACCAGGACATTCCAGACAAAACAATAATATCTCCATGGAGACAAGCAGGTGCAGGACCCTCCACAAGAAAAGATGCACAGTGCACCTTTAAGAATTCTATTGTATCTACAGTAGAGAATCTTTATTCACCTGTGCAAAATACTCTTCGGAGATGCGGCCAGGCCCACTCGATGCAGAGCTCCTGGGGTCGACAGGGGTTGGAGATGTCAGCGCATTTGATCAACATCCGCTTCACCAGGATTCGGTTTTCTGGCGACGTCAACACACTTTTCACAGCCTCCTCGTCGTTATTACCCTTGAAACATTAGAAACATGTGAGATAAATAATAAATTAATAAATAATAAAAGAAGACAGATAAGAGTTTCATTTATGGATAAGTTTCAACTGCTCTGAAATGATATGTTTGTGCAGTTACATGTTTACTTATAATTAATTGGCATAGGTTTAATTCAAATGTTGACTTGTGAGCAGTAGGCAGTGGTGGTGAATGATTTCGTAGCCTACAGTGTTTAAAGACATTAGTTAACTAGACACTTAAGTGATCAATTAGCCAAGTCATTTTGACAGTATAGCACAATTAAAAACTATTTTTTTTTTTGTTTGCTTCACAAATATGCGTAAGTGAGTAAGTCAGTGTTTAGAAAAAAAATGACAAAGGAAAGGAAATGCTAAAATCATAAGAACTACAATCATGGAAAATCATTAATTGGACTCATTAATTTTATCACAAATCTCTAACTCTGTACATCTATAAAGTACTACTAATTTGAGAAAAGTCTGGTTTCAGTCTTACAAGCACTTAAAATAAGTAATACATGTTAAAGGTCCCATATTATGCAAAAATGACTCTTGTGAGCTTTACGCTACTTTAGAAAGTTGTTACATCATCAAAAACATACCTGGAGTTGGGTTTTGTTTAATTCACGCGTCTGAGTAATCGTTTATTATTATTTATTTATTTATTTAACTATCTGTCTGTCTAAATTTCCAAAGATAAAAATGCTCTGTTCCACCATATGATATAATGAAGTGGTAGATTTCAAGCTAACAGCTACACTGTTCAGTAGAGATTGGCAATTCCAAAAATGAAATTATCCAAATGATTTTAAAGAACTTCCTGTATGACATCACAATGTGGAGGGTGTTTTCTGTATGAGAGATGAGCTCAGCCTAAACTTGCAGGATTTGTGTGTTAAACATGTGTGAATGAAACAAAACACAAAACTACAGTTTTTTGATGAGGAAACAACTTTATAATCTAGATCAGAAAATAGCGTAATATGGGCCCTTTAAGATTACGACTACTACTCCTACTACTACGCTTACAGATTCTACAGTGATGGTTTTAACAGAGTAATATCTTTTTAAGTGTCTGTGTGAGGATGCCTCACACAGATGAGAAAGATGGTACAGAGTTGTAAAATTCTCTGGTCCCAAAGACACGAGGCAGGTCACGAGTCTCAGCTCCACAGGACGAGAAAATACAGCAGATCTAAACCTCTCCACAGACCAAAAGGGCTACTACAACTAAACAATATTACAAACTGCATAAAGAAACAATCACCTCTATTTTTAGTAAACAGTCTGGAAGCTTAATAAGTGTATGGGAGTACTTCTGGCATCGACAAAGAATACACATGCTGAACAATTATTGCCATTACATTGTAGCATAGACTGTACATGTAAACGGACATAGCAAAACCTATAACCGCCACGTTCCAAAAAGGAAGCGATCATCGGCGTACTTCCGGCTCCATGGACTCCAATTCTGGCTCCAATTCATTTTAGATTGAAAAATTTTCTATCTGTAACTGCTGCTGAGTCTCATAATTTTCTTAATACTTAAAATGTTCATAATATCACGCTGTACATGATCCTGGGCTGGTTTTTATTTCGCTATTTTGTCCATAAATCAAGATATGCACATTAATAACAGGCCAATGAGCTGCCCTCTTTTGCCAAGGTCGCTCCCAATAGCATTAGCAACAGGTCTGATTGACAGTGTTGCAAATCGCCCGCTCCCTGCTAAACCTGTGGTGTGAGCGAGAAGCCGCGTTACCTTCAACAGCCAGTCAGAATTCCAAGATGTGCCTCTATTTACAGTTTTAGAAACTCCATCCAAACTTATGCTCCATAAATGTTGAACCTTACCATTATTTGTTTGGGGTTGTCTTCACATACATGCCATATTAATCTTAAATCCTTTCAACTGACAACGATCACGTCTTTAACAGCACCTCTGTGAAGCTGCTGTGATAAGACTGTAAGATGATAAGATGTGATAAGGCAAATTCCACCACAGAAGTCAGACCTGTCCTCCATTTCAATTTAAATGATACGAACTCTGCTTTATCCCTTTCCACACACACTTCCTTCAGCTCTGTTCATTCAGTCTTACTTTACTGAAGGCTGATGGGTCAAGAACGCATAAACTCTAAACAGAAGGATAAGGACCTTCTCACTGTGAGGCACACATACTTTCACGCTGCTAATGAATTCAACACCTGGAACAGTACTGGCAAAATCCCCATCTGATTATTAAGCTCAGTATTGTGGCTCACCCCATTCTCCTCCAGAGCAGCTAGTGGCTTGTTGATGCTGTTGACGAACTTGTTGACGTGTTCAAAGTGCTTGGTCATCTCCGTGGCTAGCACCATGTCGATGATGGCCTGCCGCAGCGTCCGGTACTCGTTTCTGTGACAATGAAGGATTAAAGCAAAAGTATGGTTCATGGCAGTTGTAGGGAAAACATAGATATGTAGGCACTAATAAGGTTGTCAAAAGTATCAATACCCAGATACAGATACACATTTTAAGTAATTAGTTGTTTAGACTGCAAGAGGCCAGTGAAATTTGAGCCAGATGAAACTAAAATTCAGCCAAAATTTAGGGACAAAAACCTGCAATTTTAATTCATACAGGGTCTGAGTCATAAAACCATCAGCTCATGATATGTTCTGGAAACTGTTTGTGGTCCAAATAACAATTAATCGAAAAGCTGACTATTACCTGAATAATTTACTAGCTGCAATTAATAGATTAACTAGTTTCAAGTCTAAATTAGATTCTAATTTTAAATATTGATACAGAAAAAAAACCCCAAAATGGATTGATTCATATTAGAACTAGAGCTTAGGAAGAGGGGTGTGCAAAAATACTGAAATATCAATATATCGCATCGTTTAATGTGATGATACAGTATTGATATCGTGGGCTGCTGTATCAATATATTGCCAAGAGTATTTTTTGGTGTATTTTACTAAATTATTTTGTTTTGTCAGTTTTGTTGCTTGTTTAGTGGAAGGAAACTTGTTTATGAAACACATTTGATGATTTTGATGATTAAAATGTGTGTTTCATATGAACTTTGCAGAAGAAGTGGTTTAACAAAAACTTTTAGTATCACAGCGGTAAATTAGCCTTTATTTTTTATCGATCTGTATCAAATTGATTTGAAATGCATTGTATCGAATCGAAAGTGCACTGTATTGAGGTACATATCGTATTGTAGCCTAAGTATCGAGGTATGTATTGTATTGGCAATTTATTAATGATACCCAGCCCTAGATGGTAATATTTAAGAAACTACTTTTAGTCTGAGTTGCAAATTCCATTCTATTATAAAAATTGTATCAATATTGTGGTATCGAAATAAGGAGTATTGCGAGTACAGTTACACACAACACATCTCTGGCTAATTAATAATGATAGTTAATTTTTATAGTGAATATACTGAATGTAGGTTTTTAAATTAAAACTTTTTGCTAAACCAAAAATTAGTTTCATCGCATAAATATCCTTTCAGATTAAACCACTTAACTAAACAGACCTCATCGACAGTGTTTTAATTACTAGTTACGTGCTTTTATTTTGAAATGTGTTTGTACTGAGTTGTTGCTGTGACAGTGTGAATGAATGGGGGCTTTGTCTGGACCAGTGCATGTGAGCTATTCTGCTTTGGGCTCAAATCACATTACTGAGCTGCTGCTATCAACAAATACACAAACCAGCTTTTATCAGGACATGCATGGCCTCAGCTTATCTGCATTGATCAAGGTGAAAACCTCATATGATGACGTTTCCTTTTCAGATAACAAGGAATATAGAAGTAGTGTATAGATAAGCACATGTACTGTACATAATTTGAATATGAGGCAGATTCGCTTATCAGACAATTCAGTTATTGTTTTTAAACCTTGTCCGTTTTTCCTCCAAGGCTTTTAACTAGTTTCAAGTAGTTTTGTCACGATATTAAAATTTCAAGCCTGATTTTGATATTGAGAAATAGCCTTGATGCTCAATTAAAAAAATAAATCTTTATTATGACAACAGAATGTGGTTTTCAACATTAAAAAAATCAATACCCGCTCAAATGAGAATCTAGTTTTGTTTCGATACTAGTTTTAGTTTCGATTAATATCTTACAGCTGTGGGTTTTCTAATATTTCATGCAGTTACCAATCTCTCAATGTATCAATAATCTGACACGCAGTAATATGGACATTTTTGTGAATTGTTTTGTCCCACCTCTCTATGTTCTTGAAGATATTGCACTTGTCGTCTCTTGTGGTGATCTGAAATGCGAGGGCAGCGTGGTGACTCTCCAGCACGGCCGTATCGTTGTACAGGATGGCGAGCTCGGAGCCGGCATTACACAGGAAGCTGTTGGTGCGTCCTGGATGGTCCACGTCATGAACCGTAGCAGCGATCAGGGCAGCCACCTCGTCTATGGGGTCCAGGCTTTGCTGAAGAGGCACAAACAAATACAGTTACATTATTCACATGTTTATGCAAGACTGGTACAGTTATAAGGGTAAATCCCGAAAAGGTCAAATTCTGTGCTTTTTTAAAGGTCCTACATTATGCAAAATTCACTCTTGTAAGCTTTTAGTTACATTAGAATGTTGTTACCTCATCAAAAACATACCTGGAGTTGTGTTTTATGTCACTTATACATGTTTGAGTAATCCTGCATTATTGGTCTGTTTTAGCTCAAAATTCCACCTTTTGACATCATGAAGAGGCATTTTTCAAGTTTATAGCTATATTTTACCTTTTGTTCAGTGAAGGTGTATGAAGTTTAAGAACACAGTGGAGCATTTCCAGTATTACCACATGACATCATAAGGTGGAAAAGAGTGTTTGTTATAATGACCATTAAAACAAATGTAAATATGTTTACAAAAGGGGACCGTTTTGGATATAGTCTTAGTTGCCTCTGATTTTTTTTTTGTGCGAAAAAGATATTTTTATTGCCAATTTACAATTTTATTTCATGCTAACAGCTGAAGATGCCTTTGATGTGCTCACATCCTTGTTTATTTATTAGCTTATTTTTTCCTTTAATTTGGAGACCATTATGCAAAAATGAATCACCCCAAACACACCTACACTAATTAATTTTCCTTTTCAGTAAACCCTGATGTAATGTCTCACGGTGATGTAAGCGCGCCATACTTAAGCCAATGAAAGGTCACCGAGCGGAGGTCAGAAATAGACGGTTAAACCGTCTTATCCTCGTCCTGAGCCACTGACACAAAAGCAGGGCTGGCACTGAGCGAAGTGGGACACGCAAAGGGCATCCCCACAGGCTACAGACACTGAGCTAAGAGAGAGGTGTGTAGGTAATGATGCACGTAAGAAAAGTAGTTTCCCTGTTTTTCCTGTTCTTAATTCAGCTTTTTAATTAATTTAATTACATTTTCCCTTTAAGACAATTTTGTGTAATTAAAAAAGAAAAGAAAACGTTTAGGGCTTCCAGTAATAATTATACAACCTCGTGGCTATTTCTTCCCAATAAATTATCATAGAATGACTTTGTACCATGCTGAAATAGAGTTAAAATAACACTAATTTGGGGTTAATTAATGGCAGTTCACACTTAAAAAAAAAAAAAGAAAAAAGAAGAAAACATGCTTAAAAAACAGCATTAAAGACCGTGCAGATTTTCTCTGAATCAACAACTGAAACACCAAACTATTAATTATCTCTGGTAAAAGAAGCAATACATTTTGTTCTGAATGTTGCAAGAATTTTCAAGAGGAGATGTCTTCCGCATTTGAGAAACATGTGATAAAAATCAGCGGCTGTGGTTGGATCTCAAGTTTGGACAGAGTTTTTTTTTTTTTGTTCTAACAGAATGTAGAAGGGACTGGCTAGTCAGGCCACAAAAACAGACAATTTTATCCACCATCTCCTCTTAGTGGTCCTTTTGGTTTTGACTGAGTGATAAGTGGATTTAACCAATCACACTGAAGAGCAAACATTCAGAAACAGCCAAAAGCTTTATTTACCTCTTAAATACTACATATCAAGAATCAAAACCGTGATGTAACAAAATTGTGATATGAATTCTTGAGCATATCACCCACCCCTACCTTGACTCTTTCCTTGCAGAGGAAGTATGCGGTTGCGTGTAGGACGTCAGCTGCGTGGGAGGAGTTGTGGTAGGAGTTGGTGGAGTGGTAGTTTGCCTCGATCACCTGTAACCACGAACGCAGTGTCGCCTCAGGGCAGTTGAGAAACTCACACACTCCAAAACGAGAGAAGATCTTCAGCCCCAGGTACGTCAAAGGTCTGAGAAAGAAATATATTAGTCATAAGAAGATCATCAATGGTTTAATACGGCAGCTCAAAACAACAACAAGTACCACTTACAGCTTTCAGCACACCACCAGATCTAAACCTGGACTCTATCAGGGCTAGACAAAATGAAACTAAGCCCAGACTAAAACAAGACTAAACCACATCTAATGGGGTGGTCCTAAATAATGATACCAGAGTTTGAGAAACACAGTGAATTTTGCCGTGTTTCTACGAGAATCTGCATTAAAGGTGTACTATGTAACTTTACTGGGGGGGTGTCTGCCACCTGCTTGTCTCCATGGATGCCTGGAATGTCCCATAGCACGGCAATAAACATATCCGTCTTGCTTTTATACATAGAATAATATAATGCAAAATCAAGTTGCACCGTCATTTGGTTGCAACGTCTTCACATGCTCAAAAGCACCCAGAAACTACAAAGACCATGGTCCTTTGCTCCATGTGAGTGTAGCCAACATACAGAAATTATCATAATCATTGAATATCATAATCTTGCGAAATATGACAAGTAATAATAAAAGCTCTGTCACAAATTCTTTAACAATAGAGCAGCTGGGTGTCAGATGATATCACAAGATTGTATAGGCCAATAATATTTAATACAAATGGGGAGCAGATACAGATATAGATTACAGTAAGTTATTGATTCTAATCCATAATAGAAATAATCAGATTCAACATTTGTGCTTGATTTGAATATTTAATGACAAATAAACAGTGAAATCAATAGGGAAATCAGGCCCTTGATGCCCATCTGGGAAAAATTTTCATATTGATTACACTGTACACTGTACTTTATCTTGAATTATCCAAAAAGTAAACGCACAAATGTACAATCTGATCTTCCTATTATGGACTAGAATGAAGAACTCACTGAAATACACCAAAAAACTACATTTTATCCATACAAACTGTATTTGCTGCCATCTCTATTAAATATTATTGACCTACAGAATACCTTGAGGTGGAAACTGTCATAATATCTGAGCGATCTGTAAATGGTTACACCATACATAAACATTGGTATTTTTACCTGATTCAAAACAGGCTGCACTAATCATCTTTTCAGGTAAAGGGTCCACCATCTAATTGTCTCCAGGGAGATGTTACTGCTTTGCCTGGAATGTTCCACAGTATGCCATAAAACATATCTATTTAACATTAAGTGTATTACAGGTATTTCTATTGCTGAAAAATACAGTAATAACATGTATTCTCGTTTGTAGCATAGTCGCCTCTCCACAGATTTGAGTCAGACCTGTAACTTTGGATATAAGTCCAAAGTCACTTGCTTGCTTCTTGGGAAATTGATATATTTAATTGCCATGCTGCAGAAAATTCCAGGCAAAATAAAGACATGTCCATGGAAAGAAGCATTTGGCTGTCCCTCCACCAGCAAAGTTGCACCTTTATGCTAAAACATCTTGCATCTAAAGCAACCCAGCTTCACAGACTTGTCCATTGTGGGTAGTTGTGTATTGTTGCTGTACCTTTTCATAGTTGCTGCTTCCAGGTTGAAGATATCAAAGTCCCATGAGTCCTCGTTTTCCATGGTTTGTGCGATCCGGGGCGGGATGTCATTCAGAGACAGGGGAGTGGTCAGGTGACTGGGGATGTGGTGTGGCTCTAGGCAAATGCATTCGAACAACCAGGAAACGGATTATATAACATGGTGAGGGCTAATTAATGACTTTTATAAGAGAGAAGCGTGGCATTTTTGTGTTTAAAGGGCCCATGTTAAGCTGTTTACTGTTCTGTTCTGTTGTTTCTTCATTAAAAACATACCTGAAGATGTGTTTTGTTTCACTTACAGATGTTTTACACATAAACTGCATATTTAAGTTATTTTCTCAAGCAGAAAACACTTTGTCCCATCTTGTGACATCATGTAATAATACAGGAAGTGCTCTACTGTGTTTTTAAACTCCAGCCCTGGTGCTTCCAATCTCTACTGAACAAAAGGTTAAAAGGTAGCTGTTAACATGAAAACTACCCCTACATGACATCAAAAGACCAGAACATTTTGAGCTTTGGAGGTGATGACAGACTAATAATAAAGGATTTCTCAAATGTGTGATGGAAACAAAACACAGAGTATGTTTTTGAAGAGGTATTGGCATTATAACATGGCTTAAAGCTCACAAGAATCAGTTGTCACAAATAACAGCTAAATAAATATTATGTTATGTTAAAATACTTACGTTTTGTGGAAAAGATGTATTCATTTCCTGATAATCTTCTAAGGCCATCCTATGAATTAGACAGAAAGAAGAAATCACGTAAGTTTAAAATTACTTAATGAAACCTGTGGAATTCCCAGAAGAACACACGGAGAAACACGTAAAATTCCACACAGCTCGGAGGTCAAACTCAGCTACTGCATAATAATACACACTACTCACCTATTCTGCAAAATAAACATGGCATAAATCTGGTAATGCTTAAGTGCTCAGTGGAATATTTATAGCATATTTTAAGAGACCCTAGAAGTATAGGTTTGGATATTGGAGATTTGGATATTGTTACATCTCTAATCATGAGACTCCCCACCATATTGTGATCTTTCCCACAATATCGCAATAAATATCATACCGTGAGAATATCATATCATGAGACTTGGATATTGTTACACCCCTAGAGGTTATTCATTTTTTGTCCCACGTAATAAATCAATGAGTAGCTTGAAGAACCCATATTACACCATTTTCTAATCTATGTTATAACGTTTCCTCATAAAAAACAAACTTTAGAGTTGTGGTTTGTGTTTGTTCATTCACACATGTTTAACACACAAATCCTGCATATTTAGGTTTTGTTTTAGGATGTCATGTGGTAATACAGGAAGTACCACTTTGTTTTTAAACTACATGCACATTTACTAGAACCACATGAATGATTTCAGACCTGGAATTGCCAATCTCTACTGAACTAAATAAGAGGAAGCTGTTAACTTGAACAATACCACTTCACATCACAAGGTGGAACAGAGTATTTTCAGTTTTAGACATGCAGACAGTAATTCTAAAGAGTTATTCAAACATGTGTGAATGAAACAAAACACAACTCCAGGTATGTTTTTGAGAAGGTGACAACATTGTAACATGGCTTAAATTTCCCAAGAGTCAATTTTGCATAATACAGGACCTTTAAACTAAACTCCACAGATCAAAAAAAAAAAAAGCTGGTTATGGTTGCTATAGGTTTTATCATTGAAATAAGCATTTTGTTTTGCCCTGGCAGACACACACATTTCTTGGGTGTGTGTTACGGATTTAAATGTTTACTTGACAATTGAAAAAGGAAGTGGACTGTCTCATCTTTGACCCGAGCATTGTCTCCTGGTGGAGCTGTACTATTTTAGGATTTTTTTTCCCAGAAACGAGGCACTATCAGTTTGACTAACGCTGAACTTAAACCAGCAAAAAGGACACAACCCAGAAAGACAGGTGCATAAAGGAAAGTGGGACAATGCAACAAATACAGTGTATGTACTAACAGTGTCATGGTATTGGGACCTGGTTGAGCTACGATTTAGTCCAAGTTCAGTCCTGGGTCAGTCCTGATTCAATCCAGAACTGATCTAGTCTTAGTTTAATCCTGATTCAGTCCCAGTTTAGTTGGTACAGGAGATTACTCTCAACAGAATGTGCCAAGGTCATATTTAGGGTAGAGCTGTTTAAACCGACTTTAGTCCTGGTTCAGTTCTAGTGTGAACCAGTTACACTAGTTTAGTCCTAGTTTAGTCCTCGTTTAGCCCTAGTTTAGCTCTAGTTTAGTCACACGCTGGACAATTACCTTATCAAAATCCTGGAAGTAAACCTGGACTAAAGCAAGACTAAATCAAAACTTGAACAGGACCAAACAAGGACAAGTGTGGACACATCTATCCATAGTTTAGTCGTAGAACAGCATAGAAATAGCTGTATATAAGTCTCTTTGTATAAATGAAGGCCGACTGGGGGGTAGTAGCGGGGGACCGTAATGACGTAGATCCCACAGAGGAGGTGGAGGAGCATCCTGGTCCGGTCCTGGTTTAGTCTTAGCTAATTCCTGATTCAGTTGAGGAAGAGATGTATATGAGTCTATTTGTATAAACACAGGGTGATGGGGAGTTGTGACGTAGACATAGATAAGGGGAGGAGAAGGGGGGACTGGATGGGGAGGAGGAGGGGGACTGGATGGGGAGGAGGAGGGAGGGGGGACTGGGTTGGGACGGGGAGGTGAAGGGGGGACTGGGTGGGCTGGGCTTTCCTCTCCAGCAGCAGCAGCACAAAGGACAATCCAACACTTCCTCCGGGGGCTGCTGCCAGGACTGCCAACTTGGCTCTGACTCAGCCCCTGTCTCTGTCTGTCCCTCTCTCAGTGAAACATCCAGAAAATATTCAAATAACTCCACCTCATAAGCACCGAATACAATTGGAGAGGAAGGATATTTTTAAAGCAGTCGTGTTAGCGTAAAAGGGACTGTAATCATTTTCATTTCGTCTAATTCAGGAAAACTATTTTTACACCATAGTAAATTCTAAACGCTATAAATAGATACTGGTACTACTTTAACTACTACACCATAATTAGCAGAATAAAACATGAAAAAAAAAAGGTTAATTAGGAATGATTCAAGAGGTTAGGAGTTGTGGTTAGGGTAGTTACAAAGCCTGAACCATCTTTATTAAACTATTTGTTGTGTATTGTCTGCATATAATTAGAAAGCATTTTATTGTCTGATAAATCGAAAGTGCGCTGTTAGCATGCTGGTTATTATTATCTTTACTGTCATGGCAAAACTCCGCTCTGGCCTCTGAAATAGGGCTGAACGATCTATCGCAAAAATTGCGATCTGATGTTTTTTTGCAAATTATTTCGAATCTATGTGCCTCGAAGTAATTCATCGCCACAATGCAAGGAGGCAAGGATTTAAGGGGGTTCACGTCAAAGAAGACTCTGCATCATGAGGCAGGTGATTTGACGCTGAACCGTAAACTGGACTTTACGGCCCAGCGTCAAATCATCAGTGCTCAGACTCTGGTCTGATTTAAGTTTCTGTGATGTTTCCAAATGTTCATGTACACTGAAACTTGATTTAAAAAAAATCGTAGATGAAATCAAAATCGCAATATCTCCCAGAAAAATCACAGATGAATTTTTTCTTAAAATTGTTCAGCCCTACTCTGAAAGTTGTGAAAAGCACTTAGAAACTCACCCTGGTAAATAACTAAAATGCTCAGAATGTATATGGCAAGTGAAGAATAACTTAAACCCCTGTAAACAGTTTAAAATGAAGTAGCTCTGTTTTCACATTTTTTAATGCAGTAAAAATCTGCTATAACGCCTTTAAAAAAAACATGTCCCAGTGAAAGTGCACCAGCATTTGGCTTGTGTTATGGTGAAGTCATTTAATGAAGTATGTGTTAAACGATGAGGTTATGGAAATATAAAATGGTCATCGTGTGTTACCGTCATGAGCCCCCCCACGAGGTCGTTGGTGTGGGGGTCTTCATCCTTGGTTCCCAGTTGAGGCGAGTACAGCTCTGTGGTTCTGAGTATCTCCAGAACCCGATCCAGAGCCTCTGCTACAGGCATGGGACTGCTCTCCTGCGCCGCATTTATGATGTTTATCACCTGAACAAAAATATACAATAGAATCAGCTTTTATTCTTAAAGGACCCACAATACATCTATGTCATAATGCTCTTTCCTTTGGGGTTGTGTTTTGTTTCATTCACGCTTGTTTAACACATAAACTGAAAACACTCTGTTCCAACTTGTGATGTCATGTGGTAATACAGGAAGTTCTCCATTACGTTTTTGAACTCCTCACACCTTCACTCGAAACATTTGGCTAATTTCAGCAGCAGAATTTCCTCTACTGGGTAAAATGTAGCTGTTAACTTGGAAACTACCACTACATGACATCATTTGAGCTTCGGAGATTTAGAATAATGCAGGATTGCTCAAACGTGTGTGAATGAAACAAAACACAACCCCCAGTATGTTTCTGATGAGATAACAACATTCTAACGCAACTTGAGTAACCATGAAGCTAAGCAGGTGGCAGACACATCTCAGAAAGGTTACACAGCGTACCTTTAAAACACACAGAATATCACACATTGCATTGTCTGAAATATGTGTATTTTTTATTTTTTATGGATTGGATATGGTTGATTAATACAAAATCATCAAAAATTTAAATGTGCACATTACGTTGGCAAAGAGTAAGCATTAAAATATGTAAAATATCTGCTCTATAAGTGAACTTGTTTAGATAATCAACAAATCAGAAACCACAGCGTCATTTAGTGCACGTTAGTCCCATAAACGATCTAGAGTAAATTAAATATCTTTACATCTGTACGTCTACAGCGGGGTCAGCAGGTGCAAGTGCATTTCTATCAGGGGCTTTTATTCTGAAGGAAGTGATGCCTTCAGGGACCTGCTCCAGAGTCAGATGATACAAAAGAGACAGTGCCTCGTGTCATATGATCCACCCCAGGGACTTTCTCTGTTTCCGACTCACGACTAGACACTGAAGGCAGCGAAAAACTGGGGGAAGAAACCAATTATGACATATTTTTCTGTAATTTATTGACATTTTGAGGCTTAATATTAACATACGGTAAATCTGTTTAATTGTGTTCATGAATTTATTAAACCATTCATGTATTCATCAACTTTTCCCATTAAAAATACATATTTAGTTTTATATTGTTAATCATTAAGGCAACTTTCTAATATTTTCTTATTTTGAAACCCACAGATATGTAATGTAATGTGTGACAATAAAAAAATGTTTTTAATTCGCAACAAAGAACACAGAGAGTCTTAGTCTTAAACTGGAAATATTCAACAACACTATGTATGACAATTATTTTAGAATTAGAGTATAATTATACATTCTATATTGATAAATTAAAAGCATTATAACCATTTTATAACAATTTTTTTCTACTTAGACACACATTTCACTAGTGGTTAAACAAAGACCACATAGGAACTATTAAAAGGAAATATGTTTGAGAGATTTCTTAAAGTAAACTAAAGCTAAAATACCTAAAATAATATGACCAATACTACAGATTAAGATGATAATTCAAATCAGAAGCAACAATATCTTTCAGTAAAATTACCCATAACAAATGCTATTCAAAAATATAAATAATAACTACATCTTATACTACAAAGGAGTAATCTATAATTACCTCCGCCAAGGAGGTTATGTTTTTGCCGGCGTTTGTTTGTTTGTTTGTTTGTTTGTCTGTTAGCAACATAACTCAAAAAGTTATGGACTGATTTTGATGAAATTTTCAGGATTTGTTGGAAATGTGAAAAGGAAGAACTGATTTCATTTTGGGGGTGATCCGGAAGAAATCCTGGATTCTGGATCATTTTGAAATTTTAGTTAACATTGTGGTAAATGGGGCCAAAAATTTTGTTTCTCAATATCTCGGTTAATTATTGACCAAACCCCATGAAATTTGACTCAGGGATGGACAATGGGATCCTCTTTCATATTCCAAAGGCTGATCCGGATCTGATCCAGAAGACTGATTTTATCGCAATTTATATAAAAAATGGGGGTAGTCCTTGGCAGAGGTCTGCGCTCTCTGAGTGCTTTTCTAGTTAATGATGTATTTATTAAGCTATTCGTTATTATGTATTTATGTATTTATTAAGCTATTTGTGTGCCTGAAGCATTCTTAACATACTATTTGTTTGTTATAATCTATCTAGTTTTCTCCATGCTTTATAAGGCTATTAAAAGTGCAGTTGTTAAAAAGTGTTAACAAAACATTCAAATTCCCTAAAACATCATGAAACTTGATCACTTGTAATTGGTTGCTTCCACTTTTGATAATTCTCTAGTAAAACCGTCAGTGGGCAGAGAGCAGTATTTTCTTGACCCCTCCTCTTGTGTACTGTATAATACGACATTTTAATCGTGTGAATGGTTCTCTGGTGTGGTATGTGCGGTATTTAGAAGCTCCACAGCTGCACCACGAGCGCTGGGGCAGAAAGCTGTTCTGTTACCACACGCTGGATTGGTCATGGGGCAGAGACACTGGGAGAAGAGGGATGGGCATTTAAGATAGTATAGTGATTTAGAAGTGGTGGGCACAGTGGCCAAAATAAACTATAATGCAAAAAAAAAATTGAAATAGGTCATCTAGTAATTGTAAATAAATTTGCTGGTACAATTAAATAAAAACAATAATGTAAGTTTTGTCCAGGTTTCAGCTAAATTTAAGGTTCATACTATTTTGTAACGTTATTGTAAGCTGAACTTGGGTGTCTTCTTCCTGTTACATTCAACATTTTGAGGACTTTTTCCAAATCAAAACATATTATCTTTTGTTTTAAATTGTTAATTACAATATAAAATATTGTTCAATTGTGTTTTTATTTCAAATAGACAATAACTTGCACAAAAGAGGTTAACTGAAATCCTTACATAAACAGACATCTTGCAGAATGAAGTATTGTTATTTTAAAACAAATTACTTGTGTAGGTGTGGTGACAGTGCTTCTCTAGTAATTGCAAGTTTGTAGTTCCAAAATAGTTTGCCTCTAAGGTAATATCTTTGTAATAACTAGGCCTATCCATGCAAAACAAAAACTGGCACAAAGTTCAGTGTCTTTTCTCTGCCAGTATAAATAAACAAAAGGGAAAATATTTTAGCTTCAAAAAGTGGTGCCATTACTCAACCTCAACTATGCGATTGTTATCAATTTAAAGGATTTTACGAAACAATATTAATGTGATGAGTTTGTGAAGTCATAATAAGTAATAATAATAATAATGATGCTACTACTACTACTAATAATAATAATAATAATAACACTTGGGCATTATAATTTGGTGTTGGAAAAACAGTGAATCTCCCATAGAGTTTTATCGTGCCCTTCCCTCCATCAGAAATATTAAAATGTGAATGTAATCTATGAGAAACTTCAAGGACAGAATGAAGAGTGAATGTTAAACCCACCTTTGTAATGGGAGCTTCGATGGTCATGGAGTGGATTCGAGCCATAGAGGAGTGTCTTCGCTGGGAACTCCCTACAAAAACAAATAAACAAATTAAACATTTTCTTCAGTGGAGACTAGACTATTACTAGACCAGACTAGTGTAGACTAGACTATGAAAGGGATTCAGTGTTATGAGATTTATAAACCAATGCATGTTCACTGCATGGGCAAGACTCTGAATCATTTAGTTGTGGCCATTTTGAATTTGCTATATTATTATTTTCTTTTTACATTTTTGAAAGTTTTTCATTTAATATTACAATAAGACAGCATGTACAAAAACACCTGTTCAAACTTAATTCTATCTGGAGTGAAATCATAGACTGTATAAAGAAGCAGACTAAAGGCCCCCCCACACAATACAGAATTTTTCAGTCTTAAATGATTTGTAAATATGCGACAAAAAGTGCACTCCACAAACACAAGGAGAATTTTATGAGATTTTAAATCTCAAAGATTGCTGCAGGATATGGCTGCGGACCACAGTCTACAAATGTGTGAGTGCACTTTGTGTCTGCTGTTTCTTGTTTAGAATAAAACCACTCATTATGAGATCAGAGCACTGCATTTCTAGTTTAGATACAAGACGAAACTGTGTTATTATTTGTGAAATATGGTGCAAAAGTTCAAATAAACGTTTCTTAATGCACAGAAGATTGGTGATAACATACACAGGAAGTAGAGTCAATATCACTAATCAGCAGCTTTGCCCTGATCTGTGCACTGTGTGGATGTAAACAGAGATACTACTTTCGCTTTTTTACTTTTAAAGTGCTGTTTTGTCAACTAGGTGTCATTATTTATAGAGGAGAAATTCTACGGATAATATGGACAAAATGCTGCAGTTTAACTTTACCACTTCACAAGAGGTGAGTAATAAAGTCTACTCATTATTTTTGCTGTTTGTATCTTGCGCCTCTGTGTCCGTCACTCGCGCTCTGTTTTATTGGCTGTTGCCATGGTGATGTTTTACTGTTATGATCTGACAGAGCAGCTCAGAGTCACACTGACACTGCACACGAGGAGCGCAGCGGATTCAAAATAGCATACGAAAACACAAAGCCGGGTCACGCAGCCTAAACTGGGCAAATTCTCCTGTAATGTGTGGTGTCACCCAGAGCGTTTGTCTCCAGTCTAATGAAGCTCACGAGGCTGGCAGTGTTGGGGTGAATTTGCAGCCGACTTCCAGATTATGAAAAGAAATTGATTTATGGACAAAATACCTTTTAAATAATTTGGAAGAAGAAAACAAAACAACTTATTCAACAAAGTGTCAGTGCGCAAATATGTATATATAAGAATAGAGATTAAAATGTTGACACTATTTAAAGGGCTTATATTCTGCCATTTTCTGATCTATGTTATAATGTTACTTATCAAAAACATACCTGGAGTTTTGTTTCTTAAGGTGGAACAGAGCATTTTGAGAACATACAGACAGACTAATAAACCAGGGTTGCTCAAACGTGTGAATGAAACAAAAAACAACCAGGTTTGTTTGTGAGAAGGTAACAACATTATAACAGAGTCATTTTTGTGTAATATAGGACCTTTTGTTTTTATGTGTATATTTAAATAGATGATGTTAAAATCAAATTCAATCCACATAAATTAATTAAAAGGAAAAGGGAGACATAATATATTTAACAGGGTCAAATTTTTCTTTGTTAATTTTTATTGTGTTGTTGTTCAATGTGTTTTTTTAACACTAGCTCAGATTTGTTTACATAAGTTGCCCATCATTAGCTCCTAATGTTGGCCCCTTAGACATCCAATCAACACCTAATGAACCAGGGGAGGTTTGTATGGAGTAATTTTCCGTGATTTTTGTCCCTTCCCTCTCACCGTCGCTCCCTCGTGACGTAGTGGATCTGACGTCCAGTGAGCCTTTCCTGCGGTCCTTATGTTTGCTGGATTGGATGTCTGGGGAGGAGATCGTATTTCATTAGCCACAAAAACACATCTCACTATAAAAACGCAAGGTCAAACAGAGGTTAACACCAGGGAGCAGAAGTTTACACTGGAAAAAATAATATACGTTAATAATATATGTTGGACTATAGTCTTTTAATATTTATTTATTGATTTTTGATCTCTGTCATCTTAACGCTGGAATTTTCACATTGTGGGACAAATAAAGGCTGTCTTATCTCAGCTTCTCTTAAGAATATGTTGGTTCTTCGCAAAAGATTGTAATAATTTTGAGAGCTTTTGCTTGCTACACCACACCGCTTTTTAGTTGATTAACTGACTCAAAGGGACTGTTTTTATTTAGCATGTCTGTATATTTTATGTTTATATTTCTTCTGGTTTAGTTTCAATTAAGTGAAGTCCATCTGTCAGAGGAGTAAGGTTTTAGAAAGTCTTGCCTTGTGGGTGGATAAATAAACTAAAAATAGGGAGCGAGGTAAAATGTCTTTGTATTAACATTATAAAAAGTTAATAAAATATATAGTGACTTAAGCCAACTAACCAACCAACAGAATACCCTCAAAAAGCAAAGAAAAAGGAATGTGTTGCAACTTGGTCAACATCACATGAAATGAAAGGTAAATAATGGGTCGCGACAAATTTATCTTTCAGTCAAAAGCCTGTCCAGAGAAAGAAACGACTCAGCAAAAGCCTCCGTCTCACATGAAGATAAAGCACATCGGGACGAGGAGTTCATTTATTTAAGAAACTGGATCGTGATTAAAGAAAGAATCTTAGACCCACCAACCTCCTGAAAATAACTCCTGCTAATAAACTGAACTCTGTGAATCGTAGAACTTTAAGCTTGAATAAACAACCAGATATCGGGCAGTATTGTGTCTTAGCCAAAGACCTTAACAGAGATTTTCAGTGTTTAGTGATTAATGCCAAGTTGTATTTTGGGATCAACTTGTGGTTTGTTTTACTAATTTGCTTTATAAAGTGAGCAATTTCACAGAAGGAAGAGAAAAAACAATTGCGGTTTTAAAAACTCTCACCTGTTTGAGACTCCGCCTGCACTCGTTCACTGGGTTTTTCACTCTGGTCAAAGAGAAAAAGTTAGATTGCTGCACTATTATTAAGTTATTAATGTTTCTTCAATGAGCCCCACCTTATTATTATCATTTAAAGGCCTGTTGATAGACACATAGTGTCTGATTTTACTGCAATAAAAACAATAAAAATGTCTTATTAAAAGTCATAATGGTTTAATTATTAAATGATTCCAGTTTCCGCCTGCAGAGAGGCCAGAGGGTCACTCACCCTCCCTGTCCAATCACAGGAGTGATCTTCACATTTTGTTGAATGCTGTCTCCATTCTTCTTTTTGGCATAGTAAATCCCCTGCCACTCCTACAGCACAAACACAAGGGTCAGTCATAGAACATAATGTACAGACCACCCCTCTGTGTAATAGCTCTGTGTAACATTCTCATTCATCTCTTCACTTTTCAACAGCACAAACACAGTAATGAAAATGTCTCTGCCAAACACAGCACTACAGTGTCGAGCAGCACATGAAGAGGACTGCAGGTTTAATCTCCTGTCAGTGTCCACACAGAGGTCAGAGCTTCAGCCTTTAAACCTGTGGAGCTCCTGGGGTCCCTGTTTCATGTCCCGCTTCCATTGACCCAGAGGTGTTTAAAAGACCTCCCTCCAGCTGGTCCTGTCCTGCTGGCATCTGGCAGCACCTGACCTTTAGGATCTGTGTAGTGAGATTATTCCGACTCCTCTGACCATACTCAAAAACAGTTGGTTGGAGTACTAACGGGTTGCACCAAAATTCAAACAGTACTATTTCAAAGCTATATATATATTTTTTTTGCTGTGTAGGTTTGCCAGTCACAAGCCATTATCAAACCTCACCTTCTCCATCCCTTTCTCTTACAGTAACTTAATTTCCTCTTTCACAACATCCATAAATCTCTTGTTGTTCCTCTACGCTTCTCATTTACTGACAATCCCTCATCTGTGTAGTCAGCATTTCAATCCAGCCTCTTTATTGCAAAAATCATGATTTGAAGTTGCCATTGTTAATCCTTTTCATCCTCACCTTGAACCACAGCAATTTAACATAGTTCACTTCCAGTTTTCAAACAATAAAATTTTTCACACTTTAAAATAGTGACACTTTTAATAGTCTTAATAAAGCATGAACAAAAAACTTAAATCATAGTGAACAAATAGTTAATTAATTAAGAATGATTCAGGTCTACTAACTACTTAATAAATACCCTAACCCCGTTATTATGAAGTGATATCCATTTTCATAGCTTTTCAAAATAAATAAGAAACTGTTCACCTCATTGTATTAACCAAACAAGTGCATTATTTTATTGCGCTTTTCCACCTTAAGTGTCTTGCCTAAGGACATAACGATAGTATTCATCTGTGAGACCTCTGCCAACCTGTAGGCCAGCGGATCTGACCAATTATGTTTATGCCAATTATGGTATCTGAACAGCAAAAGGCCTGCAGTACGGGGTTTACAAGTAAAATATCAACATTAAACAAATATAAAAATAAAACTCGATATATACACTAGTACTCACTGTTAGACACATACTTTACAGTGTATGTACAGTTTATTTCCTTACCTTGCCTTTGCGTATACAGGAGTTTATTGTTTCAAGGAGATCAGGCTTATTCTTCTCACTTTTAGGCACTTCTATGATTTCTTTTCCTATCAGCTCCCCCTGTTGGTAGCCCATTATAGACTCGTAGGCCGGGTTCACGTACTGTCAAAGATAAAGAAAGACAGATTATTAACATTAAATCATGCATTCATTGGTTGGTTTTAAAGCTGCATTATATAACTCAGACCTGGAAAAGCAACAACATCTCCATGGAGACATGAAAGTGACACACCATCAGAAAAGTGACATTGTCCCACACGTTTTTGAGCATTATAAATATATTATATGAAGGCCTAGAGTAGACAGCCCTCATTTTAAATCCCCATTGTTCTTGAGACTTGCACGTCTCTATTTATTTGAATTATGGTGGATTGGAAAATGATCTTATTAGTTAATTAATTACTAGATAACCAGAACTGAAAGTAGTTTTATTTTTTTGCTAGTACAATTGCATTTTTGTTTGCAGTCATTGCATAGCATTATTATTATATATATATATTATATTATAATTTTCTTATGATTATTGTTTAAAAGTAAACTAATCTCATTTAATGTCATATTGAGAGAAAATCAAATTGCTCTGAGGCCTCGATCATCAGTGGTACTGAGGGTAACTGGTTGGGGGCTCCTCCAGGTTTGGGGGCCCTAGGCAGCTGCCTACTTTTGCCTAATGGTAGCGCTGCCTCTGGTTCTCATAGCTTTTAAATTTGAGGAAAAAATACTTTGTAATGATAAAAAGTCCTACAAATGGCATCCAGAACAGGAAAAAGAATTGCCTCAGACACTTGAAAGCATTGAAAATGTATGTAACAAACCTGGTATTCAATAAACAAATATACAAATGCACACTGGGTACGACTTAGCAAATACCTAAATTATCCTTAAAGGTGCACTGTGTAGAATGTTCTACAGTATGGCATTTAATTTAAACATCTCCATGGAGACAAGCAGGCCATATCTCCAGTCAAAGTTACAGGTCAGATCTGTGGAGAAGTGGACCTGCTCACAGTAATAATGCAGTAGGTTTGAGAAAAAAACAAAACAAAAAACGGTACACTGTATATTTGTTTAATGTTATACTGTGGAACATTCCAGGTAAAGCAGTAACATCACCATGGAGACAAGATGGAAGACCCTATACCAGAAAAGTCACACAGTGCACCTTTAATAAAGCGTGAACAAAGACTTAATTCTTGTTTTTAAAAGAATGATTCAGGCTTAGTAACTTAGTAACTACTTACTCAGAAATGGCTTAAGGGTATTATTTAAGTAGTTACTTAGCTTGAATCACGGCTAATACTATTAAAAATGTACTTTAATTATGAAGTAAACATTCTCGGAACAATCTGTCTCGCAGCAGGTTAGGATGCAGATAATTTGGTGTGGTCTTCGCTGAAATGAGAAGCCAAAGGGAGAACTTGAAAGAACATGATCAGCTAAAGAGAAACTTATTTAGGTCAAATGTATACGGCCATGGTGCTTTGAAGTGTACAGAAAAGCCCCATTCACAAGTGGGATCACAAGACATGAGCATGCACACAGCAAAGACAAGCAGAGTACACAAGGCAAGCCAGGAAAAACAATAATCAATATGTGATGTGCCTCAGCGAAATGGAGAGGCTTGTTTTTTATTATTGGTGTGGGTAGATTTTGCATGTTTCATTTGCTGTATTTGCTGTGTAGTCTTTGTTTTTTTAACCTATAACCTCAACGCATGTGACACTTCTTGGCCAATGAGTGACCCTGACCAATTAACGCACCTGGAGTAGGGCGTGAGAAAACCGGAAATAAGAGGGAGAAGGGGAGACAAACGAGGAGAGGTGGCCTGGAGTTGGAAGCACATTGCTGTTGAGGTGGTTTCTTACTCAGGATGCAGCGGTGGTGGCCGTGTGACCGGGGTACAACGAGGACAGAGCAATAGGACGAGGACCGATCACAAGAAGGGCACCACGACGCTGAATCCACGCAACGGTAGAGTGAGGAGCTCCGCCTTGCCCCGTAAGTGATGCGAGATCGTGGTGCCCCTTCACATGTATAAACTTACAAAGTAGCGGTCTGTTGTTTGTGGGTTGCTGCTGCCAGTCTCTGTTTTGTCTGCAGGGGCCATGGGGCCGGACAATCTGACCCCCTCCATCGCATTTTTTTTAACTCTTGTAATAAATTATTCATACTTTTTACTCTGGGTTTTCTTTATTGGCACTGCAGTGGCTCTCCCCTTGATTTTAACACACTATCCTCTTGAATTCAGCTTTTAATCTACACTTTTAACAACAACAACCAAACCATGTGACAAATACACAATCAATTCATCAATACACGGGAAAAGTAATATTTTTAAACTGACCTGAATGACTTGATCCTCAGATGTGATTTCTATGGCCTCTTGGCTCTGTTCCAATGCTGTGAAAAGAGCGTTCCCAGCCCTGAGCAAGACAATGAAATCTGTTATGTTTTATCCTCAACCAAAAAGTACAGACTAAAAATCAGAGACCACCGATACTGGCATCGAAACAAGATACTCATTTGAACTGTTCCTGAAAAGCTTTAGGAAGATCTCGAGTTGTATCAGAACAAGTATAGGACCACTTAGATTATGGACCACAAAATACCTGGCGACCTGGGGATTACACAGATATAAGACCTGTCTGTCCATCTCCAAAGCTCAAAATACTCTGTTACACCTTGTGATTTCATCAAGTGGTAGTTTTCAAATTATCAGCTACCTTTAAAAATATTTCTAAATATGCAGGAGTTTTGTGTGAATTAAACAAAACACAACTGCAAGTATGTTTTTGATGAAGAAACAACGTTATAACATGGCATAATGTCGACCCTTTAAAAGATACTAAAGGCAAATATATGAAAATAAGGAATGTACATTATTTTATTATTTTGCTCTGTTTATCTCTTTATAACTTACCACCATATATTATCAGTAGTGAGCAGCGTATTTGGTTGAATTATGATTCATAGTTCTACCAAGAAGTGTTATAAGCCATTTTTCCAGCTACACTATCAAGTGATTTGATACTTAGAATGTTCCCATTTTGGCTCCATCTACAACTTCATAAATTACACTGAGCTGTTAATACATGATACATCTACAGCCTAATGTAAACAGAGAAAGATAGGGATGGGTAGGCCTGTCACTATAATTACTATATCGACTTATCGTTCAATATATGACAGATGGAGCCATATTTTTTTGCATCAATATTTCTCATGGGTATTTTTTCTTTGTTACTAATAAGGAACTTTTTGCTACTTTTATATATTACGACTAGATTTGAGCAATTTTTTAGATTAAATAAATAACTAGTTATAGGTAACAAACTACATAAAGGTCCTATATTATGCAAAAGTGACTCTTGTGAGCTTTAAGACATCAAGTCATCAACTCATCAAAAAACATACCTGGAGTTTTGTTTCATTCACACACACATATGAATAACCCTTTATTATTAGTCTGTCTACATCGCCAAAGCTCAAAATGCTCTGTTCCACCTTGTGATGTCATGTAGTGGTAGTTTTCAAGTTAGCAGCTATTTTTTTATCTTTTCTTTAATAGAGATTGTGATGGTGTGTGGAGTTTAAAGTGGAGGATTTCCAGTATTACTAAATGACATCACAAGATGAAGAGTGCTTTCTATTTGCAAGATTTATGAGTTAAACATGTGTGAAGGAACCAAAACACAATTCCAGGTCTGTTTGTGATGAGAAACAAACATTTTAACAGATCAGAAAGTAGCGTAATATCAGCCCTTTAATCTACTCTAATAATCAAGTATCTAAAAGTCTGTACATACCTTAGTTTGAACTGCGCCCGGACCTCTCCGTGCTCCAACTGCAGCAGCTCGTTATAGCAGGCCATCATATTGGCATTTTCCACGTATCTCTGGGGTCAAAGGTTAACGACACAACAACAATTAGACAAAGGACTCTCTTTACAGGGTTAGTCACATCTCACCACCCTTGTGAGCTTGGAGAAAGACACCATTGAGGACTGTTTTTGAACCGATCACACCGGTCTAGTTACAGATTAGAAATATAGTGGAACACTGATAATATTGCAGTTACGGTTTTGTTGTTTTGAATATGTTTTGAGGAATATATTTTTCAAGTCAAGTGAAACTTTATTTCTATAGCACATTTAAAAATAAACGAAGTTTACAAAATTGCTGAACAGATCATAGTAAAATAAGGTTTGGGGGGGATTATCAAGATGACAATATTCAGATAATATTATGGAAAGTATTAGTTTAAATATCTTAGATTAAGCACATAGGAAATCTTCCAAATAATGTTCTCAATAAAAAAGGTTCATGTATCCCACAAAACATGAGAGAAACTAAAATAAATTGTGAAGAAATTCCATATTTTAGCTTTATTTGAAACATATTTTGTAACTTTGTTTAATATTTATGTATTTTCAATCAGTTCTTTTTATAGGTTTTTAAAAGATTTTCTACTTTATATTCAGATTTTGCAGATTGCAAAATTATCAATGTCTTGATTTAACTAGTATTGTATAGAAATAAAACAAATATTACAGTAAATATTAAACTATACAACTACATGTGATTTTAATATCTTATTCAGTAAAGCACTAATTGCTTTGTGTGCACATTGTGCTCCAAAAATAAACTTGACATTTATTTGTCTCATGATGACAAAGGCATGTGCAGCAAAACGGTATTTAAAGCTCTTGTGAGCTTTAAGCCGTGTTATAATGTTGTCACTTGGTTGTGTTACAAATATATTTGTTTATATAGTATTTTTAATGAAGTAGTCAGTACTCATTATCTTAGCATATCTTACATAAAGCATTTGAAAATATTGTAAATATTTCTGACAATTCTGTATTTTTTTCCATCCCCCGTGTCAACTGAAGTGTCAACTGATGTATAAGTCACAAAATCTGATCTAAAAATAGCTGCTATTCTTAGACTCTCTTGATCACTATTCTGGTGCTGGGGATAGACCAGTCTTTTGTTAACAACACATATAGGTCATAATAATAGATTTAATTGCAGCTTGTTACAAAATGACCTGTGGCCTATTAAACTTTCTCAGTACCACAGACTGCACAAAGACGTGTACTATGTGAGTGTGATGTATGTACAGTCTATATACAGTCTATGCCCAGTACAGATGCAGATCTTGAGGTCAAAATAGGTCAGTTGCATACTATCCGCATCTAATTAGAAAGCATTTTAGTGTCCAATAATCAGGAAGTGTGCTGTTAGCATGCTAGTTATTAGCTTTACTGTCAATGCAAAACTCCACTCTGGTCACTGAAAGTTGTGAAAAGTGCTTATAATCTCTTCCAATTTTTAACATGGTAAAAAAAATCAGGTAGAGCGCTTTTAATTTTGGAGATAATTTTTTGCACCTCATCGAACACTGTTTGGTGTTTATCCTAAATGTGCCAGCTAAGCTTTGTTCTGTGTTATTAATAAACCCTGCCTGGATTTCATTCTGGATTTAATGTGAGTGAAAGATTATCCCTCTAAAAGTGCTCTACACAAGTTACCATGCTTTCAAAAGCCAAAGAGTTTAATAATAAAACAGGACAAACTCACCCTGTTGAAGCCAGCGTTTATGAGAGGCATCACAGAGGCTTCCTCTCGGTCTGGCCTAAAGAGACAAGAGAATTATGTGTGGAAAATGCATTTAAAGCTCCGATATCGTCTCATCCAAAACATACCTAGAGTTGTGTTTTGTTTCATTCATACATGTTTGAGTAACTCTTTATTTTTAGTCTGTCTACATCTCCAAATCTTAAGATGCTCTGTTGCACTTTGTGATGTCACAAAGGGGTAGTTTTCAATTAACAGCTACTTTTACCTTTAGTTTAGCAGAAATTGGAAATTCCAGGGGTGACTTTATTCAAATGATTCCAGTGAAGGTGTATGGAGTTTAAAAACACAGTAAAGCACATCCTGTATTACCAAATTACATCACAAGGTGAAACAGAGCATTTTCAGTCAAAGAGAAGAACTCAGCCTGGATGCAGGATTTGTGTGTTAAACATGTGTGAATGAAAAAAAAAAAAAACACAACTCCAGATATATTTTTGATGAGGAAATAACATTATAACATGAATAAACGTTCACAAGGGTCCATTTTGTGTAATATAGGACCTATAAATGCACTTTTTCCATGTTGCATAACAAAATAGTATAATATGAGTTCACTAAGTTTAACATCAAAATGAGACTAAACAAATATAGTTATAATAACACAGCAGTTAAATTACTAAATTATGACAGACAGGAAGCAAAATGGGCAGTGACCATGTTTACATTCACACCAAAAATGTGATCATTATCTGATTTCTAGGTTTTGCAGGTTTTGACAAAGAAATATCAAACAAACAAACAAACAAACAAACAAACAAAAAACAAAACATATGTGGCAAAGACAAAAGTAAAAGCAAATATTTAAAAAGGTATATTATTTTATTTTCTAATCTGTTATAATGTTGTTTCTGGATCAAAAACATACCCAGAGTTGTGTTTTGTTTCATTCATACATGTTTAACACACAGACCGTGCAAAATTTAGGCTGTGTTCTTTCAAACAGAAAACACAACCTAATCTCTACTGAACAAACGTAAAAGGTAGCTGTTAACTTGAATACTACCACTATGTGACATCACAAGGTGGAACAGAGCATTTTAAGCTTTGGAGATGCAGACAGACTGATAATGAAGGATTACTCAAACATGTGAGAATGAAACAAAACAACTTCAGCAACTCCAAGTTTTTGATGAGGAAACAGCATTTTAACAGGGCTTGCAGCTCACAAGAGTCCATTTTGTGTAATAGAGGACCATTAAAGATTAAAAGAGTTATTTCAAAATGTCTTGTACATTTACTCCATTGATTAAACACATTAAAAACACAGATGCTCTTGATGAGCAGATCTCTTTTATGCATGTAATCACCACCAAGGACACAACAGCGAATACTGTTGTCATGTACTCGGGCACTTAACCCTCTTCGTCCCCAGTGTCTGTGTACACTGGTGTATGAATGCGTGTGGGAATGGGTGAGTGGTTCCCTGATGCAAAGCACTTGAAGGTGGAAAAGCGCTATATAAAAATGTGAACATTTACAAATAATCAAAAATCAGATCTAATTATTGGGTTATCTGATTATTCTAGTTAACTGATTTTTACAGACCATGTAAATGTGTCCAGTGACTTGTGGAGGGCACTATTGTAATAAGTCAAATCATTATTGTAATTAATATGTACTTCTAGCATTTAATTTGATATAATTTCTATGCATTATATACATACGTATAATATAGCAATAGTTTTTAGTTGAGTGTAAATGGGCAGAGATTATCCATAGTTTATATTGAATTTTTTTCAATCACAGATAAATAAGATAATAATTTGAGCTAGTCTTTGTGTATGTACCTTTTCACAACAGCAACTATCACAGTGTTTTCTGAAGAGATGACCGATCGAATTGACCTGAAAGCAAACACACAAAAACGACATTATTGAAGTGAACAAAAGATGGAAAAACCTTTTGCATCAATCAATACGTCCATTATATATTTCACAGTCAGTTTTTCCAATGCACAGAGGGCCTTGTGGTGCAGCTCACCAACCAGGCCAATCGTGTGCTCCACTTCTGGTTAGTTCAAAGCACAGCAGATTTTAGCTTGACATTTACTTGGAATAATGTCAGAAAAAAAAACATTTAAAGGAATTAAAAGTAAAAAACAAACAAACAGACAAACACACAAAAAAACTAATCCAGAAGTAAGCCAGGGCAGATACTAAAGTAGGACTAGACTCTAATCTAAGATTTAAAGGTGCACAAAGTAACTTTTTGTTAGGGCTTCGTCACCTGCTTGTTTCTATAGAAATGTCATTGTCCTACCTGGAATTATGTTAAGCATGACATTAAACAGCTGTACCTCACATTTTTTTCAACTACACATAGTTTTATAGCTCATAAATACCTAGAAAAACAGGCATTCTGACTGTGACCGGTGTCACCTCTCCACAGATCTGACCTGTAACTTGGTCTAGTTTGGTGTCAGTGAGATAGAAAGGTTCAATACCATACTGTGAAGCATCCCAGAGAAAGAGAGAAAAGAATTTGATGGACCCTACATCAGAAAACTTACACAATGCCCCTTCAACTGGTTAAAACCCAGGACTATATACTGTGGTCCAAAGCAAGGAAAATGATCTGATGAAGGATTTTTGCCGAAACATAATTTAAAAATAAAAAAAGCTCTTCGACATCCGCAGTCTGAGTGTGCTATGCATTTTTTTCACTTTTATAAAACCCAAGACTAAACAGGGTCTAACTAAACAAGGATTACAGCAAGTGTAAAACAGGGCATGTAAGACAAGAAAATGTATTCCAAATAGTTGTCCAATAATACTTATACTGCAAACAAGTGCAGGTCATATTGACAAAAAATTATATCTATGCATTCTCCATAACAATATTCAGATTTTAACAAAAAACTAAATCAATAAATCTCTTGGTTGAGGTTCATGTATTGCACAAAATGTGAATGCACCATAAAAATTGACCACTAAAGGGCAATTTATACCATTCTCTGGGAGATTACATTAGATGTTTCTGTGTCCTTTGAGGTCACTTTTAACAGTTTAGATTAATACACTTCAAAAAAACAACTGCAATATTACCAGTTTTTGATTAATCTCCCTCCTCTAACTGCAGAATAACCCTGACCACCAGAACAAGCTCATGTTTTACACATATAGGCAGCCCTATTTGAAAACCACTCATTCAAAATTCCCAGCAGCAGACTGAGCCCTGTGGTGCAGCTCCGCGACCAGGCCCAAGCTCCTGAAAGAATGCAGTGAGAGGAGCCACTCATGGAGCTGTGGTTTTGAGTCAGGCCATTGGTCATAAAGGGCTTTTAGTTCAGCAGTGAGTACAAGTAACATATGGAGCGTCCAAAATGAATAGGGTTAAGATCCATGCGCCGCACCATCCCCAGTGAATGTGTATGAGTGTGTTTTTGGTTTGGGCACAGGCTAAACATAGAGAGAGCACGGGCAGCAGGCTCGTTTCTCATAGACATGGCAGTGAAGCAGTGAGATTGAGGGGGAGAGAGAGAGAGAGAGAGAGTGAAAAAGAGAGAGAAAGAGGGGGGGTTGTATTGTTGTAGAGTGGCTATAGAGTGGACATTATAAATGAGACTGTGTGATCATCTATTATTATACTGTAAACCAGTGACTTTAAAGACGTTCTGCCCCTCTGTTGTTTGGTCGTTTTGTCCCTTACACTCCTCCTCTGACTGGTCAGCATCCGGGTGAGTGACAGGCACATTTGTCGATTAGTGAAGTAAACTTCAAGTAAATATGAAACCAAATATACGGAAACAGTGAACATTGTAAGCTGGGTTCTATTGTGATAAACTGTATATTTTTTGCAAAGGAAAATGAAGAAAAAAATAAGATAACTGTCAGACAATGTACAGTTATGTACACTAATGCAGTGTTTTGGCAAAAGGGAGATGGGTTATTTACCACTGGAATATTATGAGTTTTGACCTCAGTGTTCTATCTGAATTAACACAAATGTAAACAGCATAGTTAAGGCTAAATCATAGGCTAAAGAAATTAAATGAATGGCTCAAACATTAAACAACAATTTTGTAGATTTTAATCTGTATCGCATGTTTACATTTCTTATGTGGTGGTTAACCACTCAAATCCAATTATCATAGACTGTGATGTATCACAACAATCTTGTACGTAAAGAGTCTCTTGAACATATTCCAGTTCACAAGTTTGAGTCACCAGTTTGAGCGGCGTTCCAAAGCATATTTACAAGTTGGAGGTGGGAATTATCCCAACTCCCTGGAACGCACAATAAGTCACATGATTTACACCACAATGGGCACAAGAGAGTCTGGCTGCAGCTGCTGTATCAAGTACAACACCACTCAGGTGTCGTTTTTTACCTGAGGCAAAACACAAATAACAAATACAGCCTTTACTGATATAGCAGTTATATATAATTCAGTACATTGTTTTTGTGCCAAGTTCAGTTGTGATTGTAGTTCCTTTTTAAAAACAGTGTGATGACAGACAGCTTGGATAGATGGATAGAAATGATAATAATAAAATAAATAAAAGTTCTTTATAAAAGATACAGGTGACAGGTGTCTCACCGGCACAGTGCTTCTGCGTCGAAGTGTTTGGAATGTCTGTGGTCGATGATGACGAGGTCGTGGTGTTTCTCCACGAAACATTCGAGCGCTGACTCGGCTGTCCGCGCCAAACTGAAGCGACAGCCCGCCTTCTCACACGCCCAGCAGAAGCCATTACTCTGACTGTCCTCTTTGGCAAAAACTAAAAGTACCTGCAACACAGAGAAAGAGGGGTGTTAAAGGAAGAGTAACACACAAGTACACTATTAACTACTATGACATTTTGCATCGTCTGCATTGTTTTAGCGAGGACACCTCCAGTTCATTATTGACATTTCTCTGTGCTCAGCCCTGGTGTCATACAACTCTTACAAAATTTGTCCTTCTTTAACATTATCAATTTCCTTGGTCAACTCATCTCACAGAAACGGTGCTCTTCTCATTTCGGCCAGCTTTTCTCCAAGCTTTCTTTGTATTCCTATTCCTAGTTCCTATTAAACCTCCTTATGTGGAAGCAGAGTCAGGCTTGAATAGCCAAAACTAACTCACAGTGTTAAGTATTCAAGTTCACCAGGTCTCGGGCTGATAGTAAATAAACTTCTTCTGCCTCAGACTCCAGAGTCTCTGCCTCTCTGTACAACTCTAGGACTTGTTAGGACAACACTTATTTTCCCTAACAACAATTAACAGCCTTAATGAAGCATGAAGAAAGAGTTTTTTTTTTTTTCAAATACATCAAGCCAAAAGAAAGAAAAGTGAGACCTTAAAGGTGCACTGCGTAACTTTTCTGATAGAGGTCTCTTGCTTGTCATCATGGAGATGTTACTGATTTCCCTGTAATGTCCCACATTATGGCATTAAACATATATGTTTAACAAACATCTAACTACATGCATGTTTATTGCCTTGAAAAACTGGCATTCTTATATTCAGCTAGCTCGCCAATCCACAGATCTGACCAATAACTTGGTTTCTGATGCTACCTGCTTTGTCTCCAGTATATAGTTTAATACTTTACTGTTTAACATTCCAGGCAAAGCAATAATGTCCCTATGACAACAAGCAAGTGACCTACACCTAAAAGTTACGCAGTGCACCTTTAAAATGTTAATTAAGTCTACTGCTTTGTCCTAAGATCTGTCAGATTTTCTCCTCTCTGTCAATTCATTCATAAACATGAACTGAAAAGACACAAACTCCTGCACAGATTTGATACGACCTCCTCCCATGCTGTGAGGTGAAGGTGTTTAATCCTCCCCTAAAATGATCTATGACACAGTTCAAGCGCCAGATCTTTTTGCCTCTGTGCCTCCCCCCACTGACTGAAATCTTTAAAAAACATGACATTCACTATCATTTTTATGCAGACGATTGTCAAATTTACCTCCCTCTCACAAAACTTGCTTCTGCCCTCCTGACACCTCTCTCTGAATATCTTAGTGACGTCAAGTCTTGATTGGCCCACAACTTTTTAAATCTAAATGAGGGCAAAACTGAGAACTGTGTTTGGCAATACCATCCCCCTCACTGACATGGGCCCAGTCAAACAGCAGGTAAAACAAACCTTCACCAACCTTGAACAGTGATTTTAAATTTGACAAACAAGTGCACGTTGTTGTTAAACCTGGCTTTTATAATTTGCGTCTTTAATCTAAAATTAAACCTTTTTTATCGTTTAAATCATTTGAAAAGGTCACACACGCTTTTATCTCCTCTCGTTAAGACCACTGTAATGCACTTTTCTCTTTCATTAGCCACCATGCACTTTCTTGCTTACAGTTAGTCCAAAATTTTGCACGCCTTTTAACTGGATCCAAAAAACGTGAGCACATTTTCCTGATTTATTGTCATTGTGTTGTTCATTTTAGAGTACATTTTAATATTGTATTGTTTGTTTTTAAAGCTTTGAATGGACTGGCATCGCAAAATACATCCTGGACCTCATCCAAATTTACACCCTCGCGTGCTCTGAGGTCCGAGGGCCAGTCTCCAGCTCCAACTCATGGTGCCTAAGATAAGACTTAAAACCAGGGGGGACAGGGTCTTCTCTGTGGCTGGCCTTAAGCTCGCTCGGGAACACTCTGCCCCCCCCCACGTCCAAAAAGCCCCAACAGTTGAGTGTTTTAAATCTCGTTTTAAGACCTACTTTTAATCTCTGGCTTTTAACACCGTGTGAGTTGAGTGTATATTTTATTCATTTCACTTATTTATTGCTATTTTATGATTTTTATGGTTTTGCTTTTATTTTATTTTTAATAGTTTTATTGTTTTAGCACTGGTATGATAACATTTTTTAGCAATTTACCTTTTGTTGTCTTCATTTTATGATCTCTGTGCATCACTTTGGGAACTGCTTTGTTCGTAAAATGTGCTATATAAATAAAGTGGATTTGTATTTGAGTTAGTGACGTGAGCTCTGGCCCTTTTTTTTTCAGCTCCACGTTCACAGTGCGCCCTCTCAGCCTGCATACTTTCATATAGGCCATGAGCTGCTTGCGTAAATACCAAAGGAGGGATTTTTAGGCCCCTCCAAGAGCTGAGCAGCACTAAGGCTAGATACATGAGTCACCCAGTCTCACAAACGTCATCCGCGCTTCTGGCTGTTCCCTCAAATGAACGTGAAGAATGAGAAGTTTGTACTGCGCACACACTTTTGCATAACACCTGTAAAATTGAATTAGCCGAGACTTTGTTGAGAAAACTGGAGCTACTGTCCCGGCCACAATAAGCAGACAGAGGACGTGGTTGTTTTAAAATAGTGCTCATAATTCAATTTGACTGCAGTTAATTGGACAAAGAAGGAAGCTATGCGTTTTAAATAGAAGGACTCGCTGACCCCTGGCATGGCATTTAAAGAGACCTTATTATGTTATTTTCTTATCTATGTCATAATGTTGTTTCCTCATCTAAAACATACCTGCAGTTGTGTTTTGTTTAATTCACACAAACATATTTAAGCTGTGTTCTTCTCTCAAACTGAAAACACTCTGTTCTACCTTCTGATGTAGTAGGATAATACAGGAAGTGCTCCACTGTGTTTTTAAACTCCATACATATTCACTTGAATCATTTGGATTCTTCACCTTTTGAGATGTAGACAAATGAATAATGCAGGATTCCTCTAAGATGTATGTATAAACCAAAACACAACTCCAGGCATGTTTCTGAGGAGTTAAAAACATTATAAAATGATTAAAAGCTCATAAGAGTCAATTTTGCATAATATAGGACCTTTAAAGTTTACTGAATTTACCCAAATATTTTGCTTTAGTTTTCATTTAGGCAAAATCCAAAGCTACACTGGAAAAAACAAAATCTAGCTAAATTAAAATGACTTAAATTAAGAACATTTTACTTTATTTGAGTAGATTTAACTTGACAAGTAAAATTATCTACTAATGGAATAAGCATGTTTTTCTAAAAATAAGAATCAATATCAAATTTTGCTTGAATTAAGTGCGAAAAGTTGTTGTTTTTCTTATGAAAATACATCTTGCTACACTTAAAATATTTTAAGTATAAAAGTCTTGTTCCATTGGCAGATAATTTTACTTGTCAAATGAAATTTACTCAAATCATGATAAAACTTTCTTAATTCAAGTCATCTTAACTTGGCTAGATTTAGTTTTTTTTTGCAGTGTATGTGTAAAAAAAACAGACAACAAGATAATTATCAGCACAACTCAAGCATCAAAGCAGAACTCCACTAACCATTACACTGCACGTAATCTCACGACCTTAAAGTACAGAACATTTCCCTCACATGTGTCATAAATATACGCACTCGGAGCGCTGCTATGTTCAGACCGCTCTGAGAATCAGGTCAGAATTCCACATTGGGATGTTGGTAGAAAAGTCAACATTCCTGCAGAGGTGGAGGGAATGCATAAGGCTGTAATAAGGCTTTTATATGCCAGGCCACTGAGACATGGTAAAGATGTGATGAAGGATCTATATTTAGTTTAACACCTAATTCAGACTCTATTAAAACTGGGTGATACTGACAAAAATGAATGTCTAGATTTTACAAACGCTCCCCGTCCGTCTGCTGCGTTTGGGTCTACATTTAGCTTCCATTTACTATTGTGGTAGTCTTGGGTGCACTCTAGGCCGCTGTTAAACCTTCCAAGCCCATAGTTTTGTCCTCCAACAACCTTTAAATCAGTATACATCTCCCATTCACAAGCCCCACTGTCAAACCCAGCCTCGCTCATTTCCTGTTTTTGTTGCATTATGAGCGAGACTTTGGCATCTGACATCATAGTGACGTGATCGGAAGATGCCGTTTTTTTTCTGCCAAATCAATTTTATTATTCTACCTCGTCGAGCTACAGGTGCAGATGCATGGCAATATTGTAACGTGTATTTTTGTGTATTTTTAAAAAAGATTTTTGAGTAGAAAACTAGTATTTTTGTGTTAACTGGCTCGTGGAAGAAGCCTTGATGGATAAAAGAGGGTCACTCTCCTTCCCTCAGTCAATCTGGGCCAGGGCATGTTACAGACAAGGTTATGAGAGCTTGATTTATGAAATATATTTCTTCTGTCAATTGTTAATACTGTAAATACATTTTTTCACTGTCTTATATCCAATTTATTCTGGAAGTTGCTGTGAGCGGCAAGACTAAATATACAGGATTTGTGTGTTACATGCGCCAATGAAACAAAACACAACAAAACACAAGTCTTTGATGAGGAAACAACATTATAAACTTATATCAGAAAATAAAATAACATGCGCTCTTTAAACAGCAATTAATCTTACAGGTCTACTGTGGAAGTTAGCCGCCGCCACAGTCTGAGCATTCATGCATTTTAAAGACAAAAACACAGGAATACCACATCATTAGGCGGTAGCACATGGCGAAGTGTAGCTCTGCACTGTACAATGGCCCATTCAAGGCAGTAAATGTCCAGTCGCTCTATGGACCCTCAGTGCCCTTTGTCCCAAGAGTGTATTGTCCATTATGTGACGTTCTGGTGACAAATGTTTGGCCCTGTTTCCGTGACAACCCAAGGCTTCAATGAACAATACATCCATCAGGAATTTTAACCATGATAAAGTACATGGGATAAAGCTGCTACTTAGTGCTACTGTAGATTTGAGAAAGAATATCTGTCTGTAATAAAACAAAACAAAAAAAACATTTACATTTTCTGATCAAATATTTGATTTGATTAAAAAAAATTATTTAAAATGTGATATGGTAATACAGGAATTGCTCCTGGGTGTTTTTAAACTCCACGCACCTTGACTAGAATCATTTGGGTAATTTCAGCTACGGCTGGGCAATATGGGAAAAAAAAAGAAAAAAATCCAGATTTTTTTCTCCATTTTGATCAAATTCAGTTTTTGAATAGACTTTCTTCCATCTTTCTGAAAACATAAACAGGTGGTCTTCAGACATAAGGAGCAGAGCGTAAGGATCACTACAGTTTTCATCGTGTTTTGTTTATTCATGTTGATAGGGACAATATTTCCAGAGAAATCCACATTTAAAGTTTGGAATGAGTTTGTTGACTAGTTTAGTTCTTCAGTCATGTACTTAATAGACTGTTACAAACATTTCACATAAAACTAGGACCCAAGAGATTTAGGCTGAAGTGAAATCACTTATGAATGTCCAACCCTGTTTACAAATTATAATGCCAAGAATACAGCTGTCCGCAAACAACAAGCAAGAACTTGAATAGCACAGAGAAAAAAACTACAACATAATAATAATAACAGTACTCATGGGTTCAGTACAGCGGTTCTTTGGAGTGTACTCTATTCTAATTCCTGCACCTAAGAAAACAGTAGTTTTTCCTTCGAAATCATCAGCATTTATCCTACACAACAACCTGCTTCTGTAGCCTATCTACATTATTATATTACTGTTTCTCTATGTGGTAATATCTGAGTTTAAATCATTCTAGCACTCTGGATCTACCATAGACTGTACAAAGAAGTGGACTAAGTGGGTGTGACGTCACACTTAAATGAAGTTCGCTATGCTAACGGTTACAGGGAAAATTTGCAATCTGTTGATCTCTTAAAATGTACTCATAATTTTGATTATTGATTGATCATCCACACTTCTAATATAGAATGAATTGACATTTGATTTGATGTTGGTAATATCTATTCCATTTATATCTGATGGTTGAGGAATTTCATTAACAAGGGTTGGTTCAACCTCTACAAAGAAATTATTGAAAGCATTTCATTTCCCATTTCCTCATTTTTGTTTATCAACACGTGTGATGTCCGTGTGCTAAATGAGGTCTCATAAACAGTGAGAAAGTAACCCTTTACTTTCGTAGCTTGGATTTTATATATATATATATATTATATATATATATATATATATATATATATATATATATATATATATATATATATATATATATATATATATATATATGAAAAGCACAAGAGAAGAGAAAGAGCAGAAAAGGTGAGGAGCTGCGGCTGGATCAGAGAGAAGGAGGGAGAGAACGGGACGCACACACAGAGGCAGAGGAAGAAAGGTGCTGGATTTATAGTCAAATTGTGCAAATTTAAGTTAAAACTTTAAATGAACAAGATGCCTCTTCAGCTGCCTGTCGATTAAAATGTGTTTGCCTTGTCACTGAGATCGACCTAAATTCAGCTCGTGATCTATCGGTCTTCTGATTTTTGGCGCAGCCCTAATTTCAACCCTGGAATTGTAAAGCTCTACTGGATAAAAGGTAAATCATAGCTGTTAACTTGAAAACTGCTGCTTCATGACATCACAAGGTGCAGAACAGAGCATTTTGAGCTTCGGATATGTAGACAGACTAGTAATACACACACAAGCATGTGTGAATGAAACAAAACACAAGTCTGGTTACGTTTTAGATGAGGTAAAAGCATTTTAACATGGCTTAAAGCTCACAGGAGTCAATTTGTGTAATATAACACCTTTAATGCATAATAGTTTACATTTATGATCAGATCAGGATTGAAACTGGGTTAAACATACTGTTGTGATACTCTTTGTATACGAGTGCAAAATGTGAAACCAGGTCTCCAACACAACCAGATGACGTATCGAAAAACCACAGCTTCCTATTGACAAACCAGAAATTGACCACTAAAATCTATCCTGTGTCTCTCTGTCCAATCCTAATGCACATGAGTGAGAAACAAGCATAAATTATTCATGTGTTTGCAAAGTTCTTACCTGAAGTGGATCTTTAAATAACTTCATTGGTCCAAATTGCACCTCTGTTAATGTGGTCTGCAAGAGAAGAAACATACAAGGATTTAGGAACAATGTGTAGATGACATTTTTAATTTGAACATATAATTTTTTCTGCACAAAGTAGATTGCTGTAAGCGTGTATACATAGAAAGACAGAATGTGAGCGACTTTTCATCTCAAAGAGTACTTATTGCACTATTTTATGATCTACATGTGGGAAAAACTGCAGACTAACAATAAAGGATTACTCAGATGTGTGTGAATGAAACAAAACAAACTCCTGGTATGTTTTTGAGGAAGAAACAGCATTATAATAATAATATGCCGACCCAATTTTTACAGTCAATTATCAGTAAACATAATTATAATCGAAATGTGATTAATTGCACAACCCTGCTTCCTCTATAGTTCACTGAATTGTTTCTGACTGTCAGTAATTCATCCTCTTCCTCAACAATGGGACATGCTCAGGGTTTGCCTCCATGGAAACGAGCCCCACGCGAACGCCATCCCAACAGATTCCTGCTCTGTGTAAACAAAACACACGTGAGGTGAAACGGGACTCTGCGAACCAATGTGAATCTATTCATCATGTCAACCAATATATCAATACATATCAGGTCACTTCAGTCTGCACATGAAACCTGCTTGTTTCCATGGAGATGTTATTGCTTTTCTAGTAATATTCCAATGTATCTCCATGGAGACAAACAGGATATAGGTCAGATCTGTGGAGAGGCGATTCTTGCTCACTATTCCAATGCTTGTTTCTTTGAAATATAAAAGCAAATTTAATAGAATATTGATATTTATTTAAGGCAATTGCAGTTGCAGGTCAAAATCTGTAGCGAGGCAAAGCTGCTCACAGTGAGTGTATGCTTATTAAGGGTTTCTGAGCAATAAAAACACCTGTAATGAAATAAATGCAGAATAGATGTTTAATGTATGATGTGGAACATACATACAGTAACAATCAAGCAGGAAAGAACTAAAAAATGACATAGCGTACTCTTAAATAGACCTGAAAAAGGCATAGCATAATGAACCTTAGGGTATGGAGATAATGTTAATTTTTTAACTCTGAAAAAAGATGTCTGAATTATTTTTTTAAATTCTGAAATATTAAGTATATTGAAATATTAAGTATACTTTTTCAAGCTCTCAAATTCAACAGTCAAATTCGAGAGTGAAATTCACAGTGAAAAATTTCATGGCAAAAGTCCAAGATGCCAAGAAGGAAGAAATCGATCATGTGTGAGGCGGGTTCCTACTGGTCTATCTCATCTGTGGATGGGGTTTACACTTAAGAAATAAAAGGGATGAGGTTTTGATGAGGCTGATTCTGACCAATCAGACTGGTTCACTACGCCATTTCTAGACTCTAGACCAGGGGTCGGCAACCCGCGGCTCCGGAGCCGCATGCGGCTCTTTAGCACTCCCCTAGTGGCTCCCTGGAGCTTTTTCAAAAATGAGTGAAAATGGAAAAGGAATGATTTTTTTGTTGTTGTTTTAATATGGTTTCTTTAGGGGTAAAACCCTCGTTCATCTCTGGTCATGGATCTGATCCATCAGCTGTGTGCAAACGCAAACATAGGAAAAGTGTTTCAGCAGAACAAACAGATGAGCTGAAGCGGGGGGTGGTGTCCGGTGCCTCCACCTGAGAAGCGTTTTCCCCGAAAAAACAAAACAAAACAAAAAAAACACATGCGCAGACGGACGCTCAGAACAACATATAATGAACCAAACTGGATTCATGCTTCTGTCCGGATGCTTTGCACCACCTCGGAACCAGGCCGCGGTCGAGCATGGAGGACCGGAGCAGCCCGCCCGGACCTGTAGTCCACAGCGCATTCTCGCTTTGCCCGCACAGAACCAGCGCACAGAGGACGACGCGGAACCGCTCGGACCCAGTCCTTTGCACGCTGGTCTTGCTCGCCCCCATCTGGAACCAGGACACGGAGGACGAAACCTCCGGACAATCTGACCAACACTGGACCCCCAGCCCCGTCTTGAGGAGCTGCGCGCTGACTGCTCCCGTGTATTTTGAGCTGCTGCCCGAGCTCAGAGCTTCTGCTCTGGGCTGATGTTGCGTAGAAAGTTCTACATGCTGTTTTATGAATGCTCCTATGCACGATTAGAAGAAATGCGACTGCTGCTCTGAATACTTCCATCATCGTCGTCAAAGCAACAGGTAAACGTCGGTCTACAGACGGCGCACCGAGTATGAGCGGGTCGCAAAAGGGGTTTGTGTAATCATGAATGCTCATTTTGTATTTGTAGCCTACTTAGTCATTTTAATAGTAGGTTTATATAGCTAATACACTGACAGCCTATGTTGCGTTCATATTAGGCTTATATAAGGCTTTTAATTTTTTGCGGCTCCAGGCAGGTATGTTTTTTGTTTTTTTGGGCCAATATGGCTCTTTGAACATTTTGGGTTGCCGACCCCTGCTCTAGACTCTACTTCCTGAGAAAGCTCTGGTCTTTCAACATGTGCAGCAAGTTCATGGACATCTTCTACCAGTCTGTGGAGGCCAGCGCCCTAGATTTTGCTGTAGTCTGACAGACTGACAAACTGATCGATAAAGCTGGTCACGTGGTTGGCCGTGAGCTGGAGACATTTGTCACAGTGAGGGACAAGAGGACACTGGACAAACTGCTCTCCATCATGGACACTCCTGCTCCCCCACTGCACCAGACTACAGAAGGACAGAGGAGCTCATTCTCCAACAGGTTCCTACAGCTCAGCTAAAACAGTGAGAGATACAGAACTACATTCATTCTATACTCCATACAGATGTACAACAATTCACCCTTATGTAACAGATAACCCTATGTCCTGTCAATCATCTTAACATCTTTGTACTGTCTTCCTTACAATCTCTTGCGTATAGTTGAGATTTTTTATTACATATTTTCTGATTTTATTTTTACTTGTACATACTGTATACATATATATAATTATGCCTTATTTGACACCTGTATCTTGCCATATTTTTTACTACTTAGTTAGAATTTACCATTGATATTTTTACTCTTTGTTATTATATTCTATTGTGATGTGTGAGCTACTGTGTCCATATAATTTCCCTTGCAGATCAATAAAGTTTGTCTAAGTTGTCACTTTGGATCGATTGCTTTTGCCTTGGCATCTTAGCTCTTTGCAGTGAAATTTTGCACTGGGAATTTTGCATTATGAATTTTGACTGTTGAATTTCAGGGCTTGAACATCTTCGTGCTGCATATTTAAAAGGTTATTTCTTCATATTGAATTTTAAACAGTTTGAAAACACACTTAAAATTTCAGCAGCTAAAATTCAGCTAAAAATAATTCAAACATGTTTTTTTCAGAGTTAAAAAATTCAAAGTGAGAAATTCAACGGTATTTAAAATTCAAAATCTGATGGGCCAAATTATCTTCCATATTAGGGCTGTCAAAAGCGTTGAAAATTAGATACTGATTGATACTAAAACAAGTTCTAAAACTAGTTACTCACAAGCTGGAAATTTCTGAATAGCTTTAGAATGAATCAGAGTATACGAGCACCAAGACTTGTATACGCCCATGGATCACTACACCTGGACGACTGAGGGATTACACAGATAAAAGACCACGTGGTAACATAAAAGAAAACACTGATTTGTTGTTTTTTTATTATAATTGCGGTATCAGAATCAGAACTGAGAATCTAGTCTATTCCTTAGTATTAGTAAAAACTTGGAGGGAAATGAAGACAGTAGTTGTCTGTCGTCTGTGTCATTGACGTCACAGTGGCACGAGGATGCGTCTGTGCGGAGTCTGAACCTAAAGGAGCGAATGTGAGTCCAGATCATGTGATTCAAAGCACACGAGGAGCACAAGACCACAGCTGTGTCAGGCAGAGACAGACTGCAGTGTACCAATGTATGGGGACTATGGGTTAGGGTTACAAGGTCGCGATCGAATCAAAATTTGAATGGACTTTTGAATGGAAATTTTTAAGTACTATCTTCCTTCACAAATAAAATATCCTGTCTGATTCTGCTTAAAAACTGCTAATCCATTATTGTCATTTCATCTGGACATCCTTCAAATGTGCAAATAAATCGCAATGCAGAAAAATTAGATATTATTCCCAAATTGTCCAGTCATGCTATGAGTTTCGATGGGCTCCTGTTCTGTTACTGGTAATTACTTTTACTTCACTATAAATTAGAGATCATCCATAAAAAGATTGATTTTTTTGGCCAAACATATTCAGGCATCACAGCAGTCTTGTATGGCCCACGCTCTGTGAACACACCTCATGTATTTCCACAGACCTCTGTATCTGACCCCACATCCTGCCCCCTAGTGTCCGGTGGTCTTCACATCTCCACTTGTCCTCCTTCAGGTTCAGTCTTCCCTCCCCCTCTTTCACCCCCTCCTATTTCCCCCTCTCTCTCCCTCTCTCAGCTCTATAGCCTTAGCGCCAAAGTGAAAAACAGGAAATTGAATGACATTGTTCGTTGGGCCCACGTCAGCACCGACAGATAGAAGGAGTAAACTACTTCCTCAAACCCCACAGCTGGGAATCCTGGGATACCTGCTCTAAAGGCATCATGCTGGCACTTGGCTGGGACCAAAGACCACCAACACTTTCGAGAGTAAAAAAAAAGTTAAGGAATTAAGGAATTGGCTTAGTCTGGCAAGTAAATTAAGACAGATGTTGTTTTAAAAGGTCCTAAATTACACAAAATTGACTATGAGCTTTAAGATGTGTTAGACTGTAGTTACCTCATCAAAAACAAACCTCGAGTTTTGTTTTGTTTCATTATGGCTCCCATTGACTTACAGTGGAATATTGTGGGCCCCGTCTCTGTAGCTGCTGCTGTGAGCCTCGTCATTTTGGTCTTAAAATATTAACCCCCTCTACACAATTCTGGTGTTTTTATTTTCCAGTTTTGTTTATTTAAAAAATTCGATTCATAATACCAAGTCTGGGTCAAAATAGCATCACAAGCTTCATTTGATTGGCACTGAACGCAATGGGTGACATCAAACTCACTTAGTCGAC